GGGGGGGGGGGGGGGGGGGGGGGTGTGGTAGTGGGCAGGAGAAGTCGGCGAGACCCGTGATAGATGACGGCTAGGCAAGGCGACGATGAGGACTCAATTGAGACACACAGACCCATTGTAGTATGCATCTCAAAGTACAATCAATCAGCACAACTACGAAGAAGGCAGAGCGGAGTGCCGGGAGGACCGGAAAGAGCGGCAAGGCGACCGGACAGACGGTCAAGGAGTGAAACAAACGGGCCAACAGAGGCATCATGCACACAGGGAGAACAACGATCTGCCCTTTCATGACGATCCTCCAGAGTGGTAAGGCGAGTGCGACTACGCCACAAGGCAATACGACTCGGGAGTGGGCGACGAGGTTGAGGCGCAAGATCAAAGTGAACTCTGGCCTCGGTCGAGAACCTCTGTCGACATGCTTACAACTTGGCGGACGGCTCCGACCTGCATCGCGGCTGATGGCGAGTTCGGCAGGCTGAGCTGCTGATTGATGAGCGCTCTGACGTTGCCGTGATTTGCCCGTTGACGACTTGGCGAGTACCAAGAGTGGGCATCAGTTGGCCATGGTACTGACCGAAAGCTTAAAGTTTGATTCAGGCACGCGTCTTCTTTTTCTCTTTTTTTGTTTGAATTCTAAACCAATCTATTTACTGACAGGCGCCGGTCTCGTACCTGAAGTCGCAGCGCACAAACAAATCTTTTTGTTTCACTCGGAATTTACTTCTAAATTTGGTAGGCGTATCGAAAGGTTCTTCTTCTCCCGGCTTGGCATTGGAACAAACCACGACTCTCTCGAGGTGCGGATCAAGCATCATGGACCGCTTCCGTCAAGACATTGGGCGAACACGATGGATGCCAAGGCTTGGCGGTACGACGGGTGGCAACAAGATGAAGCGCTCCCAGCAAGTCGGATACTGTCTATCGGAGTCATGGTAGAGACAAGCTTCTGGGCTCCAGTGGGTGACGTGAATCGGTTACTGTAACAAAAATGCAGGGAAAGTTGACTTTTCGCAGGATCTCGTCGGACCTTGAAGTGTTTTCCTGCTCCCGGGAAAAGCCAAAAAGAATCGATTTGTTCCAGGTCTGGGCATGAAGAAACAGCATGCGCATCATAGTGGCCGGTGTCTCTTGGTGGTCGCTGCCCGGGGCTGTCAAGTGCTCGATATTCAAGCTCAGATCGACCCCCTCCTACGCCCTTGCCGCGAGATGGACTCGAGCGATCGCGAGGCAGGCTCGTTCGGTCATGATGGGCACGCGAGTCAAAAACAATGCGGTGCGAGGAAGCCCGAGACAGCCGGCTACGAGGCGTGTTTGTGGATGCGAGACTCGCTTTCACGTCTGAACAGAGCCGAAGCCGATGCTGGTACAGCCGCTCACTAGCGTCGATGATGGCGACCTCATGGGAAGAAAAAAGGGCGGCCGACTCGGAGCACCTGGGAAAAATCTTGCGGGCAGACAAGGCGAGGAAGGACAAGTGAATGCCTTAGGGCAGCCGAGTGGTAGCTTACCAGGCTAGATATGCGCGAGGTACAGTAACGATTTGCCGTGAGACATGACCAAGGCTCGCATGGCATTCGAGGTCGGCAAACATCGAGACGGACAAGGTGGAGCGGAGCGTGGCTCTGCGAACGCACTGCAGGCGTGCAGGCGCTTATGACGGCGGCGTGCTTGGCTGCTGACCAGGGTACCGGCTGCATAGGTTTTTTTCTTTTTCTTTTTCCGCATTAAAAAAGATTTGGCGACACCCGGATCGTCAGAACTTGGCAAAGGAGCCAATGTTTGCTGGCCGCATTGACCTGCAAAGTGATTCGACGTCGCAGTCTTGGATACCCACGCGTCATTGCGCAAACTTTGCTGTTTCTCGCTCCAGTCAGACGCAGAGACAAATCGTGTTTGTGGTCTTGAGCCATCGTACCTCACCGCGCTGGGCCGATCCGCATGGCGTATGCAGGATGATTGATGCTCGCCAAAGCTAGCCTCGATTTGGCTGGAACCTCTACAGACCTTTGGTGCAAGATGGCCCAAATTACTCGGCGATGATCGACATGATCATGATGACAGCTAAGCATGCAGGCTGCAATAATCTCAAGACACACCAGGCACAGCTTTGGAAAGCTCAGCCAGATGGAGGAAGTAGGTTATTTTGAGAACATCGGTCGTGTCTGGTGAGGCGTTTGATCGGCGATTCTGTCAGTTTGATCGCGATACCAGTTTGGCGGTCAAACCGAGCCCAAGTTTGTAAAGTTTGCAAAAGTTTGATTGAAACTATCTGAAACATTGCTTAGCTCCTTGGCGCGAGAAAAGAGAAAGAAGATGCAAAAATGGCGGGCCATTTTCCTGGAAATTTAGAGCTCGAAATTCGGGATGGAAGCTGAGTTGCAAACCCGGTCTAGACCACCGTCGACTTTGGTAGCCGTGCCGTGAGTTGAGCCCAGACGAAGGGAGAGTGAAACTAATTGAGAAATGAGCTTGCCGTCACTATCAGCTTCAAGGTCGATAGCCAACTCAAACGGACTTTTGTTACCGGTCCATCTTGAGACACCGACAGGCAAAGGGATGCGAAGACCCGGCGTGCATGGCGGCTTGCAGGCATGAAAGCAAGCTAACTTAGCGTGCAGCTGGACAGCTGGGTGCCATTTCGCATTTTCATTTGGCTGTCTCCCACGCTAAATTAACAAGAGGCCTCTCTCGTCTGTACCCTGCCAAAGTGTCGATCTCATATCATTGTCAATGGCTTCGCCTCTTGTTAATATCGCCCAAGCCGAGCCTATGCAAAGGCGAGACACGGGGAGCCCGACGTGCTTTGACCTTCTCGTTTGTATGCAAACTTCAGCCCAAGAGCCGTCCACAAACAAGCGTTGCGGTTCTAATTGTATAGTCTACTGTATGGCGCCGTATCTCATCTCACGTTGCGCTCATCCCATCTGCGTGGATAGGCTTGAGGGAAAATGAGCGATCGTCCGGACCCACGGTCGAAGTGAGGCGACGACTGTTACAATTACTCATCCCTAGAGCCCATTTGACCCTCGACATCCGCTCATCCATCACCGGGTCTCGGGTCACAGAATGCCATTCCGTCTTCGTTCATGTCTCGGAAGCTGCAGGAGCCCATCTCGGTGCGCCGACTGAGCTTGAATTAGAGCTCTGGCCCGTGTCACCCTCGACTCGGTTTGCCACTCACTCATGGACCGGGTCCGTCCTCACTGCCCGCGTGCTGACGATGTAGGACTTCGACTTGCGCTCGAGGTCGAGGTCGAGGCCGGTCCATCGTCCTCCGAACATTCGGTCCATACGGCCAACTATCTGCCGTCCGAGCCGAAACAAATGAGGTTTCGCGGCAAACTTCGAGATGCCCGCCAGACCTGCATCTCGCTTGACGCCTTCAGCCGATAGCACATGCCAAGGGCTGCAGTAGGGCCGGGCGAGGCCTTATCAGCATGCTGGATCTTTCCGGAAGCTGAAGCTGCACGGCAAACTCTTGGAGATCAAGATCAAGTGGGCAGCAGCAGACACCCGCTGTTCTCTTCTCCGGACGAAGCTTGGTCTATGGCGACTTGAGCAGCCCACGAGACGAATGGCGCCTCTTGCTCATGTTCCTGAGCGACCAGTACCACCGCGATCCGAGAAGTCAGTCTCACTTTCAAGAGCTTTAACGTTGCGGCGGAGTTGGCCATGCCTCAACGTCACTGCGGAGAGCAAACAAAGCCACAAGGGGCCAGACAATGAGACGGGCAAGTCTGAAGTGTGAGACACGGCGCCAACCGAGGGGTAAGACGACCCAAGCGACTAGGCGACTAATTTGGTGAGTGATGAAATGGGCGTCTTGGGTGGGCCTGCTGATCGGCTTCGCTGCAAGGGCGGGGGATCTTTTTCTCTCATCTCACAAATTCCGGTGGCAGAGAGGCTCAATCTCAAGAGGCGCTTTCACCGAAATAGAATGGCCCGGCAGATTCCTTTACTGCGCCAATTTGTTTCCTCGTCTGTTTCAAACGAGAGGCCAACGGGGAAGAGTGAGTCAAAATGTTGGAATGTCGAAGCGAATCTGGCGGCTGCTGCTTAGTCTGGACTGCTGATGTTCAGCTGACTCTCGGGACGGACTGCCGTTTCATCTGATGCTCTGGTCCCGCCGCCATCCGCACCTTCGTCTTTCTATCACATGCGTCGCCACACGCCGCTTATCACTTCGAGCATCGTGCCCGACGCCTGAACCATGACGGCAAGCGGGCAGTCGATGATGCCTAGCCAGCCTAACCGACAGTCGAGCAGAGCACGAGGGAGCACACAGCGAAACCAAGGAACCGAGAAACAGGGTTCACACCACCCGGCTCTCTTTTTCCCGCCCTTTTTTTTCGGTCCGTCTGACAGTTTCCGCCTGTGCAGCTGCGTCAGGGCGATGCGAGAGATTGCCAATTTTAGGGCACACAACCTTTTTTCTTTGGTGATTTTCCCAGGTTGCGAAGGCTGTCGATCTCGAGCGCCTCCTCTCGCCTGACCTCGTCCTCGAGGCTTGGGTGCAATCTCATATATCCAGCCTGCCTTCCACCATCTTTCTCCCTCCTTCGTCCTTGCAACGCTCCGTATCATCACATCACTCCCGTCTAGCATCGATAGCGATACCATCACTTCAACGGACACTTGCACTCCTCTTCAACGCACTCTCTCTACCCTCCACCACGGACAAGCCCGTTGCTCTTTTGCTCACCAGCCACATTGAACGGAGCTCATAGGCATCTGCTCTCATCTCAAAGAGCTTCCATACGCTAGCTTCACCGAAGCTTTCGATCCTCAGGCACATCACTCGATCAGCTAGCCTCCCACGACTGCGCGTCAAGCGAGCTACCGTCACAGCAAGGCTTCGATCAATCCCTCACATCCATACCGCAGGAACAAATCCTCAACTTGTTCTTCCACAATGGCTCAGATCCTCACCTCGATCTACCCGCCTCTGCCCAAGGCAAGCTACTCGAACATCTTTGACTACGTCAGCTCCGAGTCGGAATCCTCGCTGGCCGACAAGGTCCAGTTCGTTCGCCAGGATGGCAAGCAGTACACGTAAGTAGCATTCTCTTTTCCAATCACTCTGGTCAATGGGTCTCGTTTCGTTATTCTTCTTCGCACCTCTCGCCAGAAGCGTGCCGCTGTCATGGGCTCAGGATCTCGCACTGCTGCCTCGCACTGCCTCTCGACCGCCTTTGGTTCGCTTTCATCTCATAGGCGCAGACAGTGGTGATCACAGTCTCGTGTCTCATGGGACGAAGCGACGGCACGGCTTGGGGAATCGGCGGCCGATGCAGGAAGCTTTCCCTCGCTTCAGTTGCTGGTGAGACCTCTCTCTTTCAGCAGCGATGCAGGCACCAAGAAGGCACATTTGGCGGGGCTTGAATTTTCATCCTTTGATGATTATGTCTCGCCCCTCTCAGGCTATGCCGCCGGTGCCCTGTCCCCAGCTCCTCCCATCGTACTGCCTCGTCTCGACACAGCCGGTTGCGATGCTGCGACGAGCCGATGCATGCGGGGTCTGGCAGAGCATTGTATGCCGCTTGAGCTTGCGTCCACCATCACCAACGACTGCAGATCCGAGGCAAGGGGTTGCCTTGTCACGCTCATGCAGTCGACGGCAGTGCGAGGCGGAGTGGAGGCGAGGCACTTGGCCAGTGTTTTTCCAACTTTTTTTCGGCAAATTCTTCCCCGATTGCGAGCCAATCTGTCCAATTCCGCTCTCTGCGTTCCAAGCCACCTTGCTTCCCCACTTTGCGCCTTGACGCCACGCATGCAGGCGTGTCGATGGGACAATGTGGCTGCTAGTGCGTGGCGGGTGGTGGGGACGGATCAGCTTTGCGATGGTCCAGCCGCACCTCGCAGATCCCTCCCGTCGATCCCCTCTGATCGCGACGGCAGGGGAATTTTTTGGAAATTTCCCATGCCCGCGAGAGCCATTTTTTGTTTGCTCGCGAGACACGGGCGGATCACCGGCGACAAAAGGCGGAAGCGAGGATCGCACCGCTTCCATCGGCATTTTTCGTTTTCCGCTTCGGGTGCGGGGATGACGTCGCAGCACCACAGGGTCGCGACCCCGCACTGTCGTTGACGATGTCGATGGTGGAGAACACGATGGTGCCGAACACACCTTTGAGTTGCATGCTGCGGTAGAGATGCGAACGAGACCACACGACCAGAAACGACGATCGCTTTTTCAGAGCATCACGCATATGCAAGTTCCTGCATGCTGACCTCGATTTTTTTATTACATTTGGACCCTGCTTTTTCTGCCATGGACCCTCGATTTCGCCTTGTCCCGATCCGACGCCGATCTTCAACAGTCACGGCCAAGTCGTCCGCGAAGCTCGACGTCTTGCTTGGACGTTGCGTCACAAGCTCGGGCTGCAGCCTCGGCAGCGCGTGGGTGTGATTTCGCCCAACCACACGATGTACCCGATCTTTGTGTTTGCTGCCGAGGTGGCCGGGTTGGTGACGGCACCTGTCAACCCGGCGTTGACGGTGGGTGAGCTGGCCAAGAGTCTGCAGCAGGCGAGTGTGGATGTTGTTCTTGCTCATCCCAGCTGTCAAGAGTCCGCACGGGCTGCTTGGACCCAAGCGAAGGATGCTATGGGTCGTTCTGACAAGCAAGGACTGTTCATGTTCGACGATGCTGATGAGCTCGTCACTGGTGCTCACGGCGAGGCGGATCTGCGCGCGCAGATGACGGAGAACGAACTCGAATCCTACCGCGTCGAAGATCCTACGACGGAAACGGCATTTATTATGTTCTCCTCCGGCACCTCGGGCAGTGCTAAGGGCGTCGAGATCACCCACTCGAACGTCATCCATTCCGTCATGGCGCTTGTCGCCACCCACGACGACTACTTTGGCCAGAAGGACGTCCAGGTCGGCTTTCTGCCCTTCTACCACATCTTTGGTCTCATCAAGCTCATGCACCACCCTTTCCTGTTGGGCATGAAGATCGTCATCCTCCCCAAGTTTTCCCTCGAGGTCTTCTGCGAGAAGATCGAGCAGTATCGCGCTACGGCGAGTCTTGTGGTTCCTCCGGTGCTGTTGCAGTTGGCTAAGAGCAAGGTGCCGGAGAACTACGATATGGGGTCGCTGAAATGTGTTCAGTGTGGAGCGGCGCCGTTGTCGGCGGAACTGTTCGAGTTGTTGGAGAAGCGATATCCGGGATTGGCCGTGTTGAACGGCTACGGTCTCACCGAGTCGCTGCCCTCGGTGATCTGTTCGGGACCCAAGGAGTTGCCTAACTCCAAGGGTGCTGCGGGCCGTATTGCGCCGGGGGTCGAGGTGCGATTGGTTTCCGAGGAGGGGCACGATGTTGGCCAGGAGCAGGGGAGGGAAGGTGTTCCTGGCGAAGTCTGGTTGCGTGGTCCCACGATCATGAAGGGGTACCTGGACAACGAGGTTGCTACCCGAGAGGCGTTTACCGATGACGGGTGGTTCAAGACCGGCGATGTGGCGGTGATGCTCAACACGGAGATCTTTATCGTCGATCGGATCAAGGATCTGATCAAGTTTAAAGGTTTTCAGGTGTCACCGGCAGAATTGGAGGCGGTGATCACGGGTCATCCCGAGGTGGCGGATGTTGCCGTGTTTGGGGTGTGGAACCAGGACCAGATGACCGAGTGTCCTAGGGCATGTATCGTGCCGAGGAACTTGGAGCTGCTGAATCAGCCAGAGGAGTGCATGGCGTTGGAGAAGAGGGTGAGGGCGCACATGGATGGTCTGGTGGCTGCACACAAGAAGATCCGAGGCGGCATCGAGTGGGTTGCTACCATCCCGAAGAGTCCCTCTGGCAAGATTTTGAGGAGGCTGTTGAGGGACGAGGCGGCTAGGAAGGAGGAGGGTAAGAAGGAGGGCGAAGGAAACTTGTTGAGGTCTACGCTGGTGACCAAGTTGCAGGTGCCTGGGAAGGAGGAGGATGGTGAGAGCAGGGATAGCATTTTCAGCCCTATCAGTCCTGTTGCTGCCGCCTAGGCCTGCTTCGTCGTCGTCGTCGGTTTCGGTTTAGTACTTGCATCGTCTTGGTCTCGGACACTTTTGTTGGATTTGTTAATGGTATGGTTTCTTTCTTCGAAACTGTCTGAACTTGTGATGGCTCAACAAAGGATTGCGATTGCGTGAAGTTGAGGAGCAAAGCATCTCTGATGGCTTAGATTTGAAGAGCAGTGTCTCTGGTGCACTGGTTGAGGTTGGGGTGCTGGTGCGTTGTCGCGACTTGTCGCTGTGGCCGCTTGAGCTTGTGTTCGAGCAGAGGATGCGGGCTCTCCGCTTCCTTCGATTCGATGACCCTCTCTCTGACTTCGCAATCTGATCTCGTGGACGAGTCAACAGAGGGCCACGGTCTCGTCTCGAGCTGGAAGCAGGAGCCACTAACCTCGCAAGTCTACTTGGCTCCCTCACACCGCATCGCACACTCTCACGTCCTCATCCCACTCACAGCCCCACTTGCCTCGACCGCATCGCGCATCGCCTCAGACCATACGGGGCAGGGACGAAAAAGGAGCGTTCTATGCATAACTACACGCGGATCCACTTCCACAGCCAACCAGCAGCCCAAAGCGCGCCATCATCCATGACTCTCGCATACGCCTCTACCACCACCAAACTCGCCGGTACCACTGTGACGAACAGCACTGCCAGCACGCCGGCATCGTTGTTCCAGCCTTGCTGGACGGTCAGGTAGTGCCAAAGGAGACTACCTAGACTCAGCATGACTGTTCCTGAAATCAGCGCGATGCTGAACGCCCAACGACCGGTGTACACGAACACTCTGTTGGAGAGCACCTTTTGCGCAAGGGGGCTGATTTCGATGAGCCACAGCGCGCCGGTGGCGACCAACCAGTTGTCGTATCGAGGATAGGCGTTTTCTGCCGGGTTGAGACCGTAGTTGAGTTTGCCCGTGTTACCGTCCACATGGGCGATGTACTCGTTCCATGCCATAGACGGGAAAGCGGAGATCCAGAGGTACTTGAACATCACCCCGACGCCCAACAACAAGACGCCAGGAAGCCACGCAGGCATGAATCGACTTCCCTGCGCATTGAGCGGGATCTTCAACCCTCGCGTCGAACGTGGGAGAAGTTGGAGATAGACAACGCTCCATTCGGCAACAATGAGACCGGTGAGGGTGTACCAGCTGAACCTGCCCACCCAAGCCGTGGTGAGGATGAGCAGGATGAATCCCATGTTCTTGTACCTCATCACCGTATAGGGCAGGGTGAATGCGAGGACGATGAGCACGTAGGTTTGTTGAAAAATCACCGGGATGATCCACAACGTCCCCGCGGGAGGGATGAACGAAACCGCTCGGTTGGTCTTAAAGTAAAAAGGCGTGCTGAAGAAGAAGAGCAGCGAGATAAAGTACTCGAGTGGGCTGAACCATTGACGCGGGGGTTGGGCGAGCTGGTTGTTCAGCGCGTTGGCCAGGTCGGGTGCGTAGCGGAAGCCATTTACGAAGATGACCAGGGAGACGAGCGCGAGGGTGGCCGCCATGGGAGGGATGAAGCGGAAAGGACGCTTGAAAGCGGTTCCTGCGAGCGAGAGGGCTTGGCGACGCTCGATGAAGGTTTGCATGTTCGTACGACCCGAGAGGAGGATGAAGAAGGCGGCTTGGAGCTCGCCGTCGAAGAGCAAGGGCGAGAGGACCTTGCGCAGCACCGTCTGCCAGGCAGGCGCACGCTCGAGGAAGGTGGCAGGGTAGACACCGTCTAGATCGCGATCGGCGACAATGGCCGGTGCAAAGATGCGGAAGAACGTCCAGATGAGCACTTGCAATCCGAGGATGCCACGGAGGCCCTCGAGGTAGGCTACTCGGCGAGAACGGGGTCGACCTTCATCGTTGCTCTTGTCCTGCGAGAAGGCGGTGATGGTCAGACCGAACGTGTCGGCTGGTTTGAGGGTGAGGTAGCCACGATCGTCGTAGATGGCTTCGGAGGGAACGGCTGAAGTTGGGATCTCAGCCTTCTTGTCGCTCGCCGCACGAGTGGCACCGGGTCGAAGGGAGAGGTCTCTTCGTACGGTGTCTTGGTCCTTGACGGTAGCAGGAGCCGACGCCGCGGCGGGTCCAGCCCAGGCCTCGTGTGGTACGACGTCGATCTTCTTCTCGTCAGCGGGCGTTGCGGGAGTGGGTTGCTGTGGCAGTTCTGGCACGGGTGGAACGTCGTCCTGTGAGCCACGATGGACAGAGAGTTGAGTGTGTCTGTTTCGCTGAAGCGACTTGCGCGTCGCGGGTAGCTCGGCGCTGAGCGAGTATCGGGATGCCATGGTTTGTGTCTGGCTCGTATAGATGTGCGGACTACGTTGGCGTCGTCGTGGTCGGGAAGGATGACGGGACGACGGCCAGGGTCCGGTTGGTGAGCGGAAGGTTCAAGATTGACACAGTCGACAAAGTGGAGCGGCGGACAGGACAAAGGAAATGCAGGCTTGCAGGCAAGCACAGATCTGGCGGAGGCTGTATGCGGCTGCACAGGGCGCAATCAGCTAGAACAGAAAGCGGCCTGGACTTGATCAAAATTGACAGAGGCTGGGTGTGTGCTTTGAGACTTTGATTCTCCAGAGAGGCACTCGCTTTCTCGTCCGAAGCAGTCGGTGTGGGCATGAGACACTATGACCTGCTGGCCCTGGATGCTCGCAGTCCGGAGCCAGTTTGAAACTCCTCTGTTCGACCCTGCCATTGCGCGTGGAAGGGGCCACCTTTGTTTGTGCGAGTCTGAGCATGTCAAACCGCACGGTTTGCTTCTGCATTCGTGTCTCGCCAGGGCTTTACTCGCACCAAGAATACCGAGACAGCAATTTCCGGCTGAGCGATTCGGTTCGGTTCGTCGTATACCCACAGGCTAAAGGGGCGCTTGCGAACCTAGACGAGACACGAGGGGGGTAAAGCGACGAATTAATAAAATAGCAAATCATGACGTTCTCCATGTCTTGCGTGTGCGTAAGGCTAGAATTCCGGGTCCTTGCGGTCTTTCAACGGTACGCACGCCTGTTTTTAAGCTCACGCGCCGAGCAGCTGGGTCAGTTAGAGATTTGTGCGACGATCCGGGACCGGTCAAGCGTGCTGCTGATCTGCAGTCCCTTTTTGTTCATTGAAATGGAATTTGTTTGCTTAGCCGAGGTGCCAGGTGCGACGGGCCAATTTGGTTTGTCTGGTGCAGTTTTCAACTCGAACGGCGACTTGGCCCGCCTTTGTACGTACTGTACAGCATTTCGTCATACAGCTGCGAGCGGAGTAGGACGTACAACTCATATCAGGCCTCATTGTTCATTCGAGCTGCGCATGGGTCAAGCTTGGACTGTGAGAACCGACTACGTAGGCTAGGTGCGGTGATGGAATATAGCGTGTGATGCTTATCGCTGTTCAGCCAACAGCTTTGGCCGCCGAGGCTGCACGAGGGTAGGCTAATCGGTAGGCTCACAGGTGGGCTCTTGCCGTTTACCACATCCATGCACCGTCAGCAATCGGGTATCATGGAGATGTGCGGCGATCAATATGCATCGGAGCGAGCCTTCTTCTGATGTGACCAAAGTTCGGTCGAAGGCCAAGAGGCTGGGCAGCCCGGTGATCAAATGCAACGGAGACAAGACCTGGCAAGGCGAAGGGACGATCGGAGCGAGCGGTGAGACTGGAACACCGACGAGCGTGTGGTCGAGATTGCTTGGCACCGGTCGGAATCCATGTGAGATCAAACAGTCGTGCTTCCGAGTGGATCGAACGGTGAGCTAAGAGTGATGAGCGCACGGCAGTGGCTGTGAACGTGCTCCAACTGTGAGCATCGAAAGCAAGATTCTTTTGTACGTCAGGGTCCATCGGTGCATTCTCAACTTTGACGTACGGAGCTTGTCTTCCGGTGTGGCCACCTTGACATCACTCCGTCCATCGATCTTTCCTATCTTCTCGACACCATCAGCCCCTCCCCACCCCTGGTCGTCAAGTATCAACGAGGTCCCAGGTCGCTTCGATACTCGCACGACGACCGCAACCATGATCGGCAACTCCACAATGCAGCGTGGCGAGTCCGAGTCGTACACGGACAAACCCATCCTCCCCGTCTCCCATCAATCCTCTCCCTCTCGCAAGAATCGCATCGCATCATGGTGGGCCTCCCAATCACGTCTTCGCAAGATCGTATACATCCTCCTCCCCATCCTCCTGCTGCTGGGTCTTATCCTCGGTCTCGCCCTCGGTCTCACCCTGGGCAAGAAAGCAACAGAAGACTCCAACCCATCCGCCGACTACGTCCCCACCACCATCTCCGGTAGCCGCTCCTCGCTTCTCCAACAAGGCTATTGGTACACCGCTCCGTCGAACGGTACGAATTTCAACTGGACTTCTTCCGGCAACCTTGGCAACTACCGTTCCGACAGCCAGGGTGTCGATATCGTCATTGACACCTCCCAACGCTTCCAAACGATTGATGGGTTCGGAGGAGCGATGACCGATTCGTCCGCCTACCTGCTGGATCGACTGCGCACCCGCGAGTCCAGCCTGTACACCCGCGTGATGGACTTTTTGTTCAACAACGCGACCGGTGTGGGCATCACCCGCGTCTCTATGGGCGCATCCGATTTCTCCGTCTCCCAAGAGTATAGCTACATTCCCAACCCACCAGACTTCAATGCTGCTGCATCGCAACTCGATAGCCCGGATAGCCTGCTGTCGAGCTTCAGCACGGCTGGCACGCAGAGTGCGCAGTACACCATCCCCGTGCTGGTCGATGCGCTGGAGCGAAACCCAGATCTCAAGGTGGTGCTCTCTCCGTGGAGTCCGCCGGCATTCATGAAGAGCAACAACACGATGAACGGTGGCCAGCTTCGCAACGGCTTCATCCCCCTGCTTGCGCAGTACTACGCCCAAACCGCCCAAGCGTGGGCCGACGCCGGCGTCCGTCCGTTCGCCATGACGCTGCAGAACGAGCCCTCGCACATCGCCGCCTACCCTTCGATGGGGATGACCGCCTCGCAGCAGGTCCAACTGGCCGAGGCGCTCAAGGGCCAACTCGCGTCGCGTGGTCTCTCGGGCGTCCAGATCTGGGGTCACGACGACAACTACGCCGGCTGGCAGGTTGCCTCTGACATTGTCAATGGCAATGCTACCGCTGTTGACGCGATCGCCTTCCACTGTTATCGCGGTTCACCTTCCCAAATCGCCCAGTACCAGTCGGCGCTGCAAAACGGCGTAAGCAAGCCGATTCACATGTCCGAGTGCACGGGCACGTCCCCCTCCTCTCGATGGTCGGGTATTCAAGGTTGGCTCAACAACGTCTATTGGCCCATGGCGGCGCAGAACGCGTCCAGTGTCATCCAGTGGAATCTCGCACTCGATGGTGGGTACGGTCCGCATCTCAAGACGAGTTACTGTTCCACCTGCTCGGGTTCGCTCACCCTCAGCTCGCAGTGGAACCCCACCGATCCGTATGTGGATTACAACGATCAGGTGTATCTCACGGCGCATTTCGCAGGGGCGAGTACGGATCTGACCAACGTAGGTGGCGGTCCGGCGGTGAGGGTGGGCGCTCAACAGGGGACCCAGTTCTCCCTCGATAGGAGCGATTTCCAGTGTCTCAATTGGGTGGCGTACGCAGCGCCGCTCAGCGGGTCCACGCTGCAGTCCGCTAGCACGACCAATGGAGGTCAGCCAACGCGCAGAGTAGGGTTCGTCATCGCTAACACTTGCAGCGATACCAAAACCACCGTCGTCTCGGTCGATGGCAGACGCACCACCGTACCCGTCAGACAGGGGCTTACGAGCTTCGTCTGGACCGCTCCTTAGAATCTTTAATGAACAGTCGTATTTCTCCAGGGGACATGTGATCGTGCGAGTGAGTGGGTGCAACGAGATCGCCAGTGGATGAATGAGAGTGAGATCTAATCCCGGCGTGCGCGCTTAGTCTTTCCACTACCCCCCGCTTCTCGTTTCTCCAAATTGACCTGGTTGCGCCTCTTCCTTGCCTGATGGTTCTTCCTGTTCCTGGTCTCGTTGCGCCTGGCTTGCGCCTCTGGGTTCTGGATGCCTCGCATGAGCCGGTCTGTCTTGCGCTGCTCCCGTTTGGCCTGCTGACGTCGCTTCAGTATCGAGTAGACCTTGTTGAAGCGGCCCACATCGACGAGGGCTTGCAGATGCGACTGCACTTCGATGGCGAGCGCCTTGAGGTCGTCGCCGCCGTGCTGGCTGGTTTGCGCCGTAGCGGGGGACTCGACGAGCCGGATAATGGGCGATAGGAAGAGCGGCAGGAGGTGCGGCAGGAGGTCGGCTGGGAGGGACGAGGAGAGCGCGGCGAAGAAGCGCAGGATTGACGAGGGTGCGATGGTCCAGTGTGACGGTTTGGACTGGGCGAGAGAGAGACGCGCTTGGAAGGAGAGTCGCGAGACGAGCCAGCGGAGCGGGTCCGTGGCGATGGCGGTAGGTGCGTCCATGGCGGCTTGTTGGCTCTGAGCGCTCTCGACCATCGTTTCGTCGTCCATCTCGTCGTTCTCTCCCTCGTCCTCCTCGTCCTCCTCGCTCGCGTCCTCATCACCATCCTTGCCCTCGTCGTCATCGTCCTCGTTCGCTTCGTCATCGTGACCGTTAAGCGAACGCTTCTTGCTACCTTCCTCTGCCGCACCGTGCTCCTCCACCTCGTCCAGTGCAGGGCGATCAACAGGGAAGAGCGCAAACGAGCGTCCGATCCACACCAGATTCTTGACCACCTGCAGCGCCAGCGTGTCATCCAGCTTGTCCGACCTCAGCTGCAAGCACGACTTCTTGGCAGCGTCGACCAGCGCAGGTAGGCTCGCGATGGGGTCCTGCTGCATCGGCACCATGATCGGCGCCTTTGGCTCGCGCAGTGCGTACATCCCGCCGAGGATGCGAGACGAAGAAATGCGCACCCACTTGTGCGGGAACAGCAGCAGTCGTCGCACCGCATCGTTGGCCTCTGCCGCTTTCGCGTCGCCTGCGCCGATGACCGTGGTGATACGGCCAAGCGTCTGCAGCGAATGGTACGGAAGCTGCCAATCCAGCTCCATATCCTCGAAGCCGAAAGCGCCGCCGTCTGAGCTCTCGAGCGACTCGAGATCGTCCGCGCACTCGACCAGCACCTTGGTCACCACCTGCAGCGCCTTATCCGCCCACACGGCGCCTCTGCCCGACAGCGCCTCCAACAGCAATCCGTACATCTGCACACCCACCCTTGCGAGTTCGGCCTTCCCCTCCTGTCGCGACCACGCATCCATCATCAGCGCCGTCTTGTCCTGCTGCGCCTCCGTCATCGCGCGCAGCAACGTTCGGATCAGCACCGCCGCCTTTTCGCGGCACTTGGAGCTCGAATCGTTGGCGAGCATCATGGCGAGCGCGACAAACAGCATCTCGGCGTACTCCTGCAGCAGCTCGTCGCCAAACTTGTTGAGAATGGCGTCGGTGATCTCGAGCACCGAGAGACGGCCCGACTCGTGCTCGTAGGCGAGGTTCTTGGCGAGGAACCCAATCTGGTTGCGCAGACGCTGCTTGCCCTGCGGGTAGTCGAGTAGGAACTGGAGGTACGTCGAGCGGCAGAGGTCGCGCACCGAGTCGCTCTGGTTGGTCACCATCATCTCGGCAACCTTGTCCATGGTGTCGTAGACCTCGGAGACGACGAGACGGCGACTGACAATGGCGCGGAGCAGAGCAAAGAGCGTGGTCTGCACAGCGGGCTCTTCGAGATCGGGAGAGATGAGCTTGAGCAGCCCGCTGAGATGCGTCTCAGATAGCGAGGCTTGCTTGCATTCGCGCAGGATGGCAGTGAGCGTGCGGAAGGCCGTCTGCACGATCTGCGACTGCGGCGAGCCATACTGGTGAATGATGCCGAAAATCTGCTTGATGAACACGGGCAGTGCCTTGTCGACACGCGAGACGGGCACTTTGACGATCTGAGCGATGGCTCGCAGCGAGAGTTCCAGGACGGACGACTCGTTCGCGTACGCTGCTTCGCCGACGATGTTGACCATGGCGTTGAGCTTCGCCAGCACTTCCTCATCTTGGAAGTCGAAGCGCTCCCTGCGCAGCGAAGTGACCAGCATCTCGAGACCGAAAGCGACGAACTTGTGTGCGTTGCGCGAATAGTGGTCCTTGCCCGCCGTCGCGCCCTCTTCGACGTCCTTGCGCTTGAGGAAGACGGAATAATTGTACAGCGTCGCCGACTTGTGGCGCGACGCAGCTTTCGTCTCGGGCTTGCGCGCCTGCAAGAAGACCGCGTCGCGGCGGATGAGCGTCGCGCAGAGCGACAGGAAGCGGTTTGAGTCGAACTGCGGATTGGCGGGAATGCCGCTCGAGATGCGACGCAGACACTCTTCGACCTGACGCACCGTCTTGGGAATCTCCGTCTGCTGCAGGATGTCTCGCAGAGGCTGAAGTACCTCGGCCATGCGATTGGGCGTGACGATGCGAGAGACTTGCTCGAATGTGTCCATGCTCTTGCTGTGCTTGACTTCTCGGTAGGTCGTCTTGCTGCCGATCGATTCACGGTCGTCGGCGGTGGCGCCAAAGATGTCCTCGACTGCAATTTCGATGATCTCCTTGGCACCTTGGTCGAGCGAGGTAAGCGGCTCGTCTTTGCTCGTCATCAGATGCGTGAGGACCGAGTGCACCGCGAAGGCCATCACGGCCTTCTGCGGACCCCGCATCAGGGATCGCCGCATCTCACGCAGGAACTCGGGGAGGAAGCTTGCACCTAGCGTCGACATGACTTTGCAGGCGGTCTCGCGAGCAAGGTCACGTGTATCCTGGGCCTTGGATCGGAAGACGTTGGAAAGCGTCTTGAGGAGCTTGGAGATCTGGGTCTGACGCTGTTTGGCGGGTAGGCACTGCGCGACGCGCACCACACCGACGGCGATCGGAAGACGAGTCGAGTCTTCCGTCTCGTCCTTCTGCTCGAGGTATGCCATGAGTCGAGGCAGCAGACGCGAAGTAACGGCATCGAGGATCTTGACCCGTTCGGCCTCCTTACCGTCCCTGCTGGCTTGCACGGCGATGCGAGCCTCCTCGTCCTCTTCGGCGTCGGCGCCTTCGTCAAGCGCTTGGTCGTCATCTACGTCGGCTCCGTCGAGGATCGCCTCCTCTTCCATGCCGAAGTGGAAGTTATCCAAGATGGCCATGGCAGTTCGAACCATGACGCGCTCCGACGACCCCTTCTTGTTAGCGAGGCGGAGATAAGTCCATAGCAGAGCATTGTAAGGACCCCACGTGAGCTGTCCTGCGAGCTGGCCGAGACTGGTGATGACCTCTGTGATGAGGTTGTGATCATTAAGCTCCACGGATCCGGGCATGAGGAAGTGACCAAGGACAGGAGCAAGAATGTCGCTGATGGTGCGACTCTTCATGCCGCCCTTCGCGGCTTGCTCTGGCAGACGCTTGACTGCACGTGTCCTTCGATGAAGCTGGATGTGGTGAATGTTGTTGAAGAAGTTGACCTCTGCGTCGCCGGCACCCAGCAGTCCAGACAGCTCCGCCATGACTTCGCACTTTGGAAGGTTCTGCGCAGCCGACGACATGACAGCCAGCACGTCTCGACGAACGAGCTCCGAACGATTGCGTACGGCTTTCTTGAGGCCTGGCCAGACAGCTGACAAGAACAGCTGCATTAGTTCGCCATCGCCGTCCGCGCCCGAGTCGCACTCGCCAGCCGTCTGCGTGATGAACTTGACCAGCGAGGCGTTAGCATTGCTGCGCACCGACAGCTCTTCCGGGTCCAGGATCAGGAAGAGCATGTTGTGAACGAGTGGCTGCCACTCCTTCGCGGTGATGTGCACGTCGCTACCGTTGATCGAGTCGAAAGCGGCAAAGAGCTGGTCGAAGTCGCGCTCTTCGACCCTTCGCTTGCTGAGCGCATTGAGTTGAGTGCACCACTTTGCAACTCGGTCCAGCTCCATGTCCACCTCGGCACATCGGTTGAATGCAGCGCTGAGCGTCCTTCGCGAGTCGGCGGAGCGGAGCAGCGAGAAGAGGCTACTGAACATGGCAAACGTGCTCTTGTACAGATCAGAATGCTTGTCTTGGAACTCGGGAATGAGCGAGAGCAGACGCTCAAAGATGGCGAGGAGCTCGGTCTTGGTGCGTTCAGGTACGAGGAAGTTCGACTTGCGCATCATGGGGCTGAGGAGCTTGATGAGATGGCTGGCGTCCTCCGCAGCGGTGACGAAAGGCGACAAGGCCGCTAGAAGCGAGATTTGACGACGAAGCAGATCGTCTCGGCCCATCGCAGCAGCTGCAGGACCCACTGCCGCAGAGGCCTGCTCGATCAGCGGGCTGACGCTGTTGAGGAACACCGAGGCATGGGGCCTCACGAGCAGGTCGACCAACGGTAGATCATTGCCGTTGCGATAGCTGACATCTGCAGTGATGTCCATCGCCTCCTTACCGGCAGAAGCGGCGGCGAGGACCCGCTCAGCGATGTCGAGCACGGAGCCAATAGCAGAGGGCTTGACGTTTGGTGCTGCAAGGATAGCAAACACGCTGGGCAAGACTTGGTTGTCGTACGTTCCGAGCAGAGGGATCGTTTCAGGCTGACTTGTCCACACGTGGAACAGCTCGAGCAGTGCAGACGGGCTCTGGCTCGACTCCACCTTGAGCAACTCGAGACGTGGTGTGACGAGCTCGGCGAAGATGGCGGGCAGGTACCTGTTCCAGTCGAACGCTGAAGCTGCTTGAGGCTTGCCGAAGAAGTCGCACAGTCGCTTGTAGCCGGCCTGACGGACGAGACGAGCCCGAGATGTGCGCGCGGTGAGGGGTTTGCTGGTCTCGACCGCCGATGTAGCATCGGAGCTCTCGATGTGCACCTGAACGACGGCTCGATGAGCATGGTACGTGAGGTTGAGAGCCACCGAGATGAGACGGTCCCAATACGGCAGGAGGTTCGTGCCGATCTGCTTGACGACCTCGCCGAGCAGGGTGAGGTAACCGACTTGGCGGCGCGTGGATGATACAGGCGACTTTGAGACAAAGTCAAAGCGGTCAGCACCATCTGAGGGCACGACGGCTTGGTCTCCGAAGGGAGCCAGCATCAGATCGACAAGGGTGACGAGCTCCTCGGAGCCAATGTCCGCCAGTGCACCAAGCACAGCTCCTCGTCGAGCCCTTTGGCCGGCACCGCTCGTACGATTGCCGCGTCTCGAGAGCAGGGCACCGAAGAGGAGACGAATGACCAGAGGCATCAAAGCGGGACGATGGTATGGCTGAACCACGTTGGAGTCGGATGAAATCGTGAAGGTGGTCAGCGTGTCACGGAAATTGCCAGCCTCGAGAAGATCTTTGAGCTTGGAGGCGTACGGGATCACCGCTTCATCCTTCCAGGTCAAGATCGCCTCGAGCGCCAGCTTCTGCACCGACACCTCTGCTGTAGCACACAGGCTCAACAGGTAGCTGTGTAGCTCGGCCGTCCGTGAGAGAGCCTTGGGGTTCTTGAGTTTGCCAAGCACCTCGAGATAGGCATTCAGCTGGGCTTGGCGATCCTTCTTGCCTAGTAGCATCACTGCGAGATCGGTACTCTTCTCCTCTTTGCCAACACTTGTAATCTCGTTGTCTTCGTCCTCCTCCTCCTCCTCTTCTTCTTCATCGTCGTCGTCGAGCGGCGAGAGGAGCACGCCGGCGAGGTTGCGCGGCCCAGCATCCCGGAAGAAGATGTGCACGAAGCGCGCGTTGTTGCGCTCGACGATGAGTGCGTTCTCGCCTAGTAGCTTGAGGATCTGGTGGCGGTAGTTGATGAGGTCGAGTCGTGCGTCTGGCTGCTGCGCGTCGATGCAGGCTTGAAGCGTGGTGGTGAGGCCAACACTGCTGCCCGCCTTCTCGGAGCTGATACGAGCGTGCTGAATGCAGCTTCGGACAGCTTTACGCCTTCCGAGCAGGATAACATCCTGGAACTGCTTGTCGTCATCGATGCCCGCCATGTCGCTCTCATCGCGTAGAATGCGATCCGGCTCGACCTCATCTGCTTTGGCGGAATTGGCTTCGTCCTCGTTTACGTGGCCGTTTGCGCCTGCATTAATTTGCGTCCAATCTGCAGGGACGGATCGCAGCTCGGAAGAGTCGAGCTGTCGTCCTGCTTCGAGCTCGGCGATTGCAATGCCAAAGAGAGTGTCCTCAAGTTGACGTTGGCCTGACCCAATAATGTCAGATACCGCCTTGATGGCCTCGGACCAGACGGGGCGCAGATTGACCTTGAGGTTGGCGACCAGATAGCGCAGTACCAACGCATCTCTCTGAGCGAAGCGTTGCACGTCTGCAGCTTTGTAGACGGCAGCAGCACGACCCAGGTCTCGACCGACGCTGCGCATGCGTACGTTACGATCGCGGATCGTTTCGACGGTCAAAGGTGTGCGCTCCACCTCGACGAGCTTGCCAACGAATACGCTCTCGGCGCCGAGCTCTTCCGCTTCGATGATCGAGAGGATCTCGAGCGCCGCGAGACGAATGATCGGATCGGAGGACATGACTGCCTTCGACAAAGGGTCGATGACTTGAACCAGCTGCGGCAGCTGAGGGCGAAGGCGAGCAGGGCAAGAGGCGAGATACTTGCTCAGTCCACGAAGGGTGCCGCGGTGCCATGAAGCGCAACGCACGACTTGCTCGATGGACAAGCGATCCTTGATCTGACCCGCCCAAGATTCGGCTTCTTTGCCTGTGCTGCGCTCTTGCAGGATGGCCAGGCTCTCGAAGGCGAGTCCGACCAACAAGGCAGGGTTGACGATACGCTCGTCATAGCTTGTCTTCACCTGCACTTCGGATGCAAAGAACGCATCCGAAAGGAGGCCATCTAAGAGCAGCTGAGCGATCTGAGATCCGAACTTGGCAGCAGATGCAGTCTTGGGCACAGTGGACAAACGCAGCGCCGGAACGAGCGGCTCCAATGAACTTTGGTCAGCAAGAACGCGAGATGCGGCGCTCTTGGCTTTTGACCCCTTCGCCTTTTGTGTGGTAGCGCAAAAGAGGGCGACGAGCTGGTCCAGTCGAGTTTCGATCTCAGCAGCCGTATGCTTAGACCAGCGCACCAAGGCAGGGCTGGGGTGCGAAGAGCGGACGTCGTCGAGCTGGCCGAGCTTCTCGAGTCGTTCGAGAAGTGTAAAGGCCTGATCCTTGCTGTGCGAGGACGTCGATGTCGAGGCGACAGTCTCTGCGGTCGAAGTCAGGACCGATGGAAGGACAAATTGCTTGAATCCGCTCCACTCCAGAGCCGGCTGTGCAAGTGCTTCGACCAGACCGCTGAATTCGGGCCAGAGCGCCTGTCGCTGTCCCAACGTGTCCTTGGACTTGGACGACGTGGGCACGGGCGCGACCGAGTCGACGAGCTTGATACCAGGGCCGAGAAGGTCCTGGAGTCGGCCAATCGGAATCGACAGCGCAAGCAGCGAGACAAGAGAGGTACGAAGGGGACCACCTTGCGAGGCCTGGACCGAAGCATCTTGGAATAGAGGCGAGAGGCGGAGAAGAAGCGCGAACAGCGCCGGCTTGGCTGCATCTGCAACTCGAGAGCCCTTTCGCACGCCGACAGCGCATGCAAGCCACTCAACAGATTCGGTGAGATGGGCGATATCCTGGGCCGGGCTGTTGTCACGGGACGCTCGCGACTGGTTGGTGTCAACGAGACTGGACACGAACTCGAGCACCGGGGCAAAGTGCAAAGCGTTGCAGTGGTGAACCAGGGCCGTGATGGTCAATCGACCAAGGATGAGGCGTGTCAGGTGTCCGTAATCAGCGGAAGCTGACTCGACTGCTGAGCGGGCGGCGGGACGAAGCAGCACGCTGAGCAGAGAGATGCATTTGGAGTGTAAGCGTCGTTCGAGCGATTTGCATCCTTCCACCCAGATGCCAGCAATACCTCGGGAGAAGCGTACTGATGGGCGACGCGATGGCTGGCGTCGGTAGTGCGGGTGTCGATCCTCGTCGCGCAGCATAGTCTCGAGGTCGGAGAGGATGAGTGATGCGATGCTCTGCAGCTGTGGCCCCCTCGTCTTGCGCAGAAGGTGGGCAAATGCTTCGGAAGCAAATCGTCTCGTGAAGGGAGAGATGCGCGAGACGTCGGTGTTGACGAAAGCGGCCTTCTTTGCTGGTGCCGTCTCTTCGTCGATAGCGTCACCCTGGTCCGAGGCGGTTGAAGCTGCATCGTCGTCTTCTTCCTCTTCTTCATTGTTGTCGTCGTCGTTCGCGCGTGTGACCTCCTTTGCGGTGATGGGCTTCCATCCGAGGTAGGGACGAATGACAGTCCAAGTCTCGATCAGCCGGCGAGTCCTTTCGTCGACCTCCTCTGGCTCTGCTTCTGCATCGACAATCTCGATGTCGATACCTGAATCTGCTGTTTCCTCGTCCTGATCAGCACGTGAAGCCAATTCCTTGCTGACAATGAAGGGGCTGACCGCCTTGAGGATCCATGCTGCCGACTGGAAGCCGCGTTCGACCAGGTTGGCGGCTGCGCGCTCATCTCCGTTTGTGGTGGCCTTTGTTGTCGTGGTGACGTGTACTGCACTCTGGAGTATGGGAGGATAGATGGGCAGGAACTCGGATCCCAGGTCCTTCGCAAGTCGCGGAAGAAGGTCAAGGGCTGCATCCCAGGCAAGCCACTGACTCCGTGCCGAGAGCGTTGTCGTGAGGATTGTCGAGATGGCACTTCGATGGTGTATGAGCTGCGGTAGGGACTGTGTGATGGGATTGAGCTGACGATACAAATCGTGGAAAGCATTGGAGAGGTTGAGGTCGGTCCATGCTTGCAGTGCGTGCGAGAAAGACGTCTTGGCGTGCAGGGAAGAAGAAGCGTCTTCGTCGTTTTGATCCAATGGGTCGTCCTCTTCGAGATCAAGGCTTGTTGCGGTAGCTTTGCTCGAAGAGGCGGCTGCTAGCGGAGCGTCGAGGCCGGAGTAAGGTCGGTAGCTGGTGCTCGCGCTGATGGCAGCTGGCGCGAGATGGACGTCCTGAAGGCGCTGGTTGAAGGAAGCATAACGGAAGCGGGTGGTGACTCTGTCTGCATTCTTGTTGATCTGCTTGAGAGTCTTTTGCTTTGCACTCGCCTGGTTCCCGCTCGCATCTAGCTGAACACGGCGAACCTTGGATGCTTTGCTATCGGCTTTCCTTCGCTGCTGTTCTCTGGACAGCTTCTTGCCCGCCTTGCGAGGCTGGGCAGTCGAGTTCGATGAAGAAGGCGCCATGTCGATATTAGACTGCCATCGATACCGTGAATGCGATATTGGTCGATGCTGCCTGTGCCGGGTGATGGTGTTGATGAGGTGTACCTGCTTGAGGTGCTACTCAAAGGCTCAGTCGAAGGAACCTTGACAAGAAGAAAAGTGGCTGGAAATTCACGCTTTTCTGACAGCCAAAAGGGAAATTTTTTGGGCTTGAAGACCGCCGAATTCCGAGCCTACATAAGAGACGGAAAAAAAGGAAAGGGAGCACACGGCGATGAAACGGGCAAGGGTCCAGCGAAAATCCTCCACACCTAGCAACTTAACAAGCGCAGATTTTTGGCCATACCTCTCCTCTACATCGTGAACTTCGAGCCAATACTACTCACACACACCACAGCACAGCACGACGAATGGTCAAAGCATGCGGGTGCCAGAGAATGACAAGATTGATCCACAAAGAGAACCTTCAGAGCCCAGCAAGAAAGTTGGCGGCCGCGTTGGGCTCGTCACCCAACGGTGCCCACGGATTCGGTTGACGCGGAGCGGGTTGTTGCTCTCCCTGTTCCTGCTGCTGTGTTGGATGCGGCTGCTGTTGTTGTGCATCATCGCCCTGCTCCCTTCTCTCCCTCCTCAGCTGAAGCTGTACATTCTGCCGCACGTATGCCAGATACGCCAGCCCACCCAGCGCCAAGATGAGCAGACCCGACTCGATCATGTCGTCCAGATCCTCGTCCGTCTCGCCCTCCCTCGCAGCCCACGTCTCTGGCTCGTTCGGGTCGCCATAACCACCCCCCTGCTCTTCGTATACCTTTTTCAATTTCTCCTCGGCCTGCTTCTCTTTGACTGCTGCTTGCTGCTCTTCTGCCTCTGTGTACGCTGTGTTGCCTCTGTCCGACGAAGCGTACGATGAGAGGAGCGAGATGGCACTCTGACTCGACTCGGATCGGAAGACGGCCGCCCAAATTGCACGGATGTGAAGCTTGATCAGGCTCAACGTGACCGGCAGATACGCTTCGACATTGGTCTCCACGGCCGTGTCGTAGTATCGCTTGGCGAGATGGAAGTCCTGGCGTGCGACACCGATGCCGTTTTCGTACATCCACCCGAGATTCCAATAGGCGAGAGCGGAGACGCCTTTGTCAGCAGCGGCAGAGTAGCAAGCTGCCGCCTTTTCGTAGGCGGGCTGCCCAGGATTGCCCGTGCCGATGCCATGGAAGTAGTAATCGCCCATCTTGACCATCGCGTCCACGTTGCTCTGCGCCGCCGATCGGGTCCAGTGCATCAGCGCCAACCGGTCTGTAAAGTTGCCGTCCTGCTTGACGTTGCTGCTTGTGAGATCGAGGACGCGAGCGCGAGAATTGGCGCGATCCAGCATGTATGCCACGTTGTTCTGAGCCGATTCGTAGCCCATCTCGCCCGCCAGTGCCCAGCCGAGCAGCGCCTTCTGACGCTGGTTGCGCCGCCAGGCATGCTCGGCCTTGTGCGAGATGCGCGTCGACCAGTCTCCGTGCTCAGCTGTGTGCTTGAAGCCAGACAGCGCCTTGCGACAGCTATCACTCGACTGCTCCTTGCGTGCGATACGAGCGTTGACTTTGGCGAGCAAGTAGACTGCCTCGAAACGGCTCTCTCCCATCGAGGCGACGGTGAGGCACTTGGCTGCGTTGTCCAGGTCGCCCATATCCATATGGATCCTCCCCAGGTTGACGTTGGCTCCACTGTGTCGCACTTTGGCCGCTGCCTCGAAGTAATTGGTGGCAGTGACGATATCGACTGGTACCCCTAGACCATCACGCAGCATCACACCGAGCCCGTTGTACGACTCGGGATCGCCTGTGTCCTTGCCGCGCGAGAACCAGATCCATGCTCGTGCAAAGTCTTGCTTGACGCCTTCGCCCCGCAGGTACATCTGACCGATCATGCCGGCCGCTGAGCCAGCGTGTGCGAGCAAGTGGTCCTCCACCTTGAGCTGCACGTCCTCGCTCTTGTCGCCCGGCTTTGCTGTGTAACCGGCTGGGCCACCGCGCTTCACTTCTCCTGCCTTGCGAGGCCACACATCCTTGGCGACACGCAGGAGCCACGTCAACGCACGTCGGTAGTCTCGACGAACGGCGCCTGCCGCTTCGCTGGACGAGTAGATGCTGCCGTGATAGTACACATGCGCCATGAACAGGGAACTCTTCACGTCGCCGTGCTCAGCCAGGTAGATGTGATACTCGAGCAGATCTTCGAGCGCTGAAGGATCACGAGTCGAGCTGGGCTGGCGATTGAGCGCAGCTTGCACCGCTGGATTCAACACAGCAAAGCCAGTCGAAGCGACGGAGGCGCCAGGACCGTATGCGCCGCCGTCGAGGTCGGAGATGCGGATCTTGGTGTACGGCAACGTGAGTCCGCCCGGAGGACCGGCCTTGAAGCGCTTGTAGGTGTCTTCGGCCGCTTTCTCGTAGAGCTCGAGCGCGTTCCAGCAAGAGGATGCTACGCCGATGCCCTGCTTGTACCGGAAACCGAGCGCCATCTGCGATGGAGCGTGACCTGCATTGGCAGCAATGGTGTAGTGAAGGACGGCCTTGGCTTGTCGTTGTCCATCGTCGTGTTTGAGCTGGGCGAACAGCTCGCGCCTTCTCTTCCAAGCCGAGCGTACGTCGTCAAAGGTTGGCGAAGAGGAGAATGAGGACCAAGCGCTGACGTCGTTGGGGAGAGGCTTCCAGTCGCCTCGAACTGTCGACTCCCAGCCACTGCCCTCAAGGAAAGCCAAGCGAGCATGCGCACTGGCGTTGCCGGCCGTCGAGTTGCCATACTGATCGTGGCTGAGGTCCGCAAGGCGTTGATAGCAGGCACGAGCACGAGCGAGATTGGGCTGACTTCCGTGCGTGCCCCACAACGAATGCTCTCCCAGCACCCACAGCGCATCTGCCAAAGCTGGCGATCCGTCGCCACCGGGTCCCCCGGTCGGTGTCACTTTGTCGAAAGCGGCATGAAGTAAGCTAGATCCATTGCGAGCCGTGGAAGCATACGCTTCGTATTGCCAGTCGACCGAGTCTCGACCCCATCCAGCCAAAATGAGCAGCGAGACCGCATCTCGCGTTGCCGGACTGCCTTCGCTGTCGCCGCCGTTGTGATCTGAAGGTACTGCGATCGTCAGATCCGAGGATGCTGCGCTCTTGCTATGAAAGGGTCCGAACATGATGCTCTCCCATACGCTGTCTGTTGGATTCACTGGCGTCGTTCCTTCTGACAACCTTTCCCAGTCTGGCCACAGCGGTATTGGGCTGTCCCCGGGCCATTGTGATTCGTGCTGAGAGGGTGCGATGGGTGGACCTCGCCACCGATGAGCGCCATCAACTTTGATGGAGCTGGTGCCTTTGGCCTTTGCGCTGACAGCGGCGTCGAACGCAGCGGCATCACTTGCAGCATCCAGGATGGTTCGATACCATCGTCGCAACGAGCGGGCGACACTAGCGGCGTTCACCTCTCTGAGGGATTTGAATGTGGATGGTGTGTCGTCGTCTTTGTGAGAGTATGAAGGCGAAGAGGATGAAGAGGAGACCGACTTCGCTCCCGATCTGGCGACCTTGGTACGAGGAGACTTGGTTCGGATGGTGGTGCGAAGTAGACGGAGAGCTTCTTCGTAGGCTTCCTGTGGAGCATAGTCGGTGCCCGCCTGGGAAGTTGATGCTGCCGTACTGAACGGTACCTGCTCGGCATGCACAACTCCGACGACTGACAACAGGCAGCCAGCTAGCAGCAACGCCAGCAGCGCCTTGCTGCGATGCAGCGAACGTCGATCCGAAGCTGTCATGGTTCAGATAGGAAGCATGGCCGGATCACGAGCTGCGTGGCTGTGGTCGAGGTGCCAGATTCACTTTGTGGCGATGACTGATCGTCTCCTCGCTCTTGGAAGATACAGATGAGCCTGGTCGGCTATGTTGGAGTCGATGTGATGATCACTGACCAAGGAGGTAGGGTCTGTGCTCGAACAGCCGGTGCAGCACAGCACGAGCTCGATTCCTCCACGTCGACCTTCCAGCGCTAAATTGAGCTGCGCCATCCAAATTGCGATCTTACACTTTCAAAAATCCAGGGTTGGCGATCCGTCCGAAGCTGACGCCTCAGCTGACCTCCCTATCCCTCGTTGCTGCGACAGACACCAGAGATGATGGAAACGATGTACTAGTGATTACGAAGAGACGGTGGAGATGTATGACATATGCGAATGGACAAATATAAACGAAAGTATGTGGGGCTCATCACCTGCCGAGACCGCCAGAGGTGGCTCTCCAAACTGCCTTGGAGAAGAGACCACCCCAGCTGTCGAAGGTGGCAGTGAAGCATTCTGCAACGATGAAAAGCATGCCGTACGAGGTGAAGAACACGACCAGGATGGTGGCCCAGTAGGGCACGCCGGCTGTCAGCAGCGTGAGGCACAACCACGCCGACCATGTCCAGAAGACGACACCGTGCATCAGGAAGACGGCAAATGCGTGCTTGCCGATGTACGACCAAATGCGCAGGCGGAAGAAGGCGCGCAGCAGGTCGCTCAGATCCGTGAGCAGGAAGAAGCTGAACGAGAGGATGAACGCCGACACACGCGGATCGGTGTAGCTCACGCCGGTGTCCGTGTCGGTCCAAGCGTGAGGCACCTCGTACGTCCAGTCAGGGTGGAGCCTGTGATCGCCCCAGTTGTCGAAACCGTTGCCGGGCGCGCCAGGGATCTGAGAGAGGTACTGCTGAGTCCAAGCGGCGAGGAAAAGAGCCCAAGGGAGCACCTGACCGTGGACGCGAAGCTTGTCAATGGCAGCGGGAAGGTGAAGGCCGCGGCGGATGAAGCCGGGAACCAGAGGAATGCCTTTGGCCGCCCATGCCTGGTAGTTGAGCTTGCTGTCTAGATCCGCCACGACAAGACCGGCCATGAAGAACAGGTCCCACGTACCGGCGAACCAACTGAGACCGATGCAAAGAGCGTAGAAGGCGAAGCGCTTGTACGCGTTCTTGATCTCGTGAGCGACGAGAGCGCACACCAAGCACGTCCACGTACCCTGCACAATGACCGGGATGGTCCACAGCACACCGGTAGCGTACCCCGTGACGAGCGCAGGCGACACGGGAGGCGCAGACCACCACAACGAGATGAATGCATCGAGGAAGACCATGACGTTGTCAAAGTTCTGCCAGTACGACCAGGTCGACCACGTCCTGGAAGCGAGACGAGGCACCCACTTGAACGCGCCTACGTCCATGAAGAAGTAGTTGGCCAGGACAGCGCCCAACACGGGCAGTGCAAGACGGGGTACACGTCGAACGGTGTTGTCGGCCAAGCTCTGCAGGCCACCTTTGAGCAGATATCGGTTGGTCATGGTACGCGAAGGCAGCATGAAGAATATACCCAACTTGAGGCCCTGGTTGACCAGTATTGGGCCAAGGATGGAGCGGAACCAGAACTCGAACTTGGGGTAGTGGTGCGCCGCAGCGGGTGTGGTGATGCCAAAGTAGTAGATGAGCATGAAATGATGGAACGAGACGAGGAAACACGCAAAGCCTCGCATGCCGTCCAGGTAGTCGATTCTTCGTGCTCCGGTCGAAGTGAGCTTGGTGGTTCCCTTGATGAAGAGCAGCTCGTTGGCGCGTCGAAGGATGGACTGGAGCAACGACTCGGGCGGCTTGACCTTGGCGCCGGCACCATCACGAGCTTTGCGTCCGTCGGCGTCACCGAGCTCGGGCTTGGCGAGCGCACCGACCTCTCCATCGGCGGCATTCAGGTCTCGCTGCTGCCATTGAATGATCTGTGGACGTGAGAGGTCTTCGTGCGCTTCTGATCCCTGATAGACGGACCCCGCTCGCGACGTGCCTTCGTGCTGGAAGTCGTAGATAAAGGAAGGCGGGATTCCGCTGTTCATCGTCGCGAACGAGTCGTTGCGATGATGCATGCTGAGCATCTGATCATGCGTCGCGTATTGGCTGTGGGTGGATGCTGCACGCGCGTGACCATGACCGGATTGGGAACCGCTGGCAAGGGAACGCTGGTCGGGCTTGTCGTCGTCCATCAGCTCGACAGGGTCCAGATCGCCCTTGTCGCTGGCCACTTCGATGAAGGAGCCCCTTCGACTCGACACGGAAGAAGCATAGACGGAAGCCGCAGGCTCGCCGACGTAACCAGGAGCGACATAGGGAAGCGCTTGTGTTCGCCTCATGTCTTCGATCCAGCGAGGCGTCTCGGAGCCGCTAGGTGCTGGCGAATCGTGCCCGTGGAGCGTCGATGAGGCTCGCCTGTCTTTGAGGGCAGCGTGTGTGTTGTAGTGCGGCAAGATGCCTGGGGCTCTGGGTCCAGAGCCAATGTGACTGACGGAAGAGTGTCCGACGGAGCTGCTGTCATCGTCATCGTCATCGTCCGAATCCGAGTCGGAACCATAGACGAGGTCGGGAGACGTCCAGAGCTGCACTGGCATGGTTGCTGTCCTCGCGGCTCCGACGGTGGGGCTCATCCTGCCGGGTGTGGCAGTTGAGTCTTTGCTGGTGAAGAGGAAAGCCTTGTCCTCGACGCTTTCGCCCTCCAGGGGAGTGAGAGGAGGAGACTTGCCGATGCTCGACTCCTCGGCCGCCAAGGCCGAAATCACGGGCGGCAGCTTCAGTGAATCGGCTTGCGTTTGAGAGGACGAGTCGGAGATGGTGTCCATCTCTACCTCCTTTTGCTGAGCAGCGATGGCGGCAGCGCGCTTCTTGCTCTGCGCCTTGATGGAACGGACGACGAGACCGTGGGCGATGGTCATGACAAAGATGCCTGCTGCAATCGAGATGACAATGATCGCGTACAGTGGGGTCTGGTACGAAAAGTTGGGGACCGTCATCTTGCTGAGCGCGGCCAGATCAAAGGGCGTGCTGTCACGAAGCGCGAAGTCTTCGGTGCTGCAGACGGCGTCGGTGTTGGCGCTGGCTGCGGAGCACTGCGATTCGAATTGTGAGTTGCGCTCTTCGAGACTCGAGTTGAAGAAGAAGCGAGCGTAGCGGACGTGGGTCAGCAGAGGCTGACGCTGCGGAGGACCTTGCGACTGGGAGTGTTCTCCATTGGCCCACGCCTCGAAGCTGATGGGCACGGGTGCGATGGGGAGGCGAGTAGCATTGACACCCCTCTCGACGGAATAGAAGTTGGCGCTCTCGTTGGTGGCCGCGTTGCGCCACTGCAGCAGCTCGGGCTGCCAATCGAAGCGGTGCTCGAGGTAGTCGAAGGTGCCCAGCGACGAGATGTTGTTCTTGACAGGCGTGTCGCCCTTTCCGTAAGCAGACCAGGACCATTGGAGCGTCGAGTTGGCGGGGTCATCCGAGGTGAAGATGCCGATGTTGACGGTCTGCGAGTCGTTGTAGGCGGCGCTGAATTTGAAGGCAGCACCCGCACCGCGCGAGACGGCGGGCTCGATCTGGGCGCGGAAGGAACCGTAGAGGATGTCGCGCCTTCGAGTGACGATCTGCGAGCCATTGACAATGCGGTCTCGACGAGTTGCCGGAGAAACCTCCAGGGCGAGTGCGTTGTCGTCGATGTATGTGTTGTTGTAGCTGACAGCGCTGCGGTAGGTTGCGTCGAAGCTCTCTTCCCACTTGTTGACGAGATCGCCAACGAGCGACCAGGCTTGCTGACCGTCGCCCGTGTCACCCGGTGTGGCACCTCCGTACATGCGGGGTGACTGCGCGGGCTGGGTGACCACATCGTTGAAGCCGGTCTCGTTAAAGTAGGTGATGGTGCGATCTGTCCAGAGTGCGTCGGTCAGGGGGTCCCTGTAGCCGCACTCGCATGCTGCATGGATGAGCGGTATTGACCAGGTGGCAATGAGAAGCGCCGAGGCGACCAGCCTAGCGGGGGTCAACGTCTTGATTGCGATCATTTCGAGCTGCACCTTGATGTGTATTGTGAATCTCCGTGGCAAGGAAGGAAGGTCTCTATCCGACGTCTAGAACGACGAGATCAGAGAAGAAGGATGCCGCCACTCATGCAGAGGGGGACCGAGTGAGGTCTTGATGAATGGACGAGTATAAGGAGTGGCGAGGTTGTGATCCGAGATGATGGCGAAGAGCGAAAAGGAATGTCGTTGATGCCGAATCTAGTCGAAGAGCAGGTTGCAATGCACAGTGGGTAGGAAGCAAAGCCTGGCTAAGGGAAGTGGTGAATGGCAATAGCGAGAAGAGTAGTCGCGAAAGGAAAGTGCCAACGGACCCGATTGTCCAACGTGGATGCGTAAAAGTGACAGCTGTAAGAAACAATGAGCGGGTAGTAGAGACGGAAGGACCGTTGGAGCTTGAAAGAGTGGATGCGGAAGGTGCTGGCTAGCAAGGGGAAGGTGAACGAGATAGGCCAGAACTGCAATGGAGGAACGGTCTTCAAATGACCGCCTATGTCTCGGAGAGAGGGGCGTTTGCGAGACGTTCAAGTTTGTGTTGAACTCGGCAAAGCACCATGGCCAAGTGGAGAGCGCTGTCTAAGATTGCTTCACTGCTGAGACCAACGACGGTTCACGCCGCTTTGGACTAAGATAGTGTAGCGTTTGCCAATCGGGGTTCAAATCACAGGGTCCGAGACGGAGCGAAGGCGGCAATGCCATGTAGACTGCCGAACAGCAGCTTGTCAGGGCTGCAACTGTCGAATGACGAGATGAGGCGGAGGCGGATGAGGAGGCGATCAGGGCTTGGACATGAGCAGACTCGAGCGGATCACTTCATCTGATCCGAGATACCTCAGAAGACGACCTCGTGCGAGTTTCAAATGAGTGATTGCGCATGCCTGTGTGTACGCTGTTGTGCGACGAGCAGCAGCCAACGAGGGTAAGGTAAGGCGGAAGAGGTCTCAATCATGACAGCATTGGCAGAGCTCTTCTTTAGAGGATAGGTCGGCAATCTCTCTCTCACTCTCACAAATTTGGCGGAGGTGCAAAAATGTCTCGCGAGCGGCGTGCCTCTCGCTTGGTCTCGACTACTTTCATATCGTCGATTTATTGCGTGCGTTCAAGGGGCCATGAAAAGGCGACGCAGCCAGCGCAAGTCGACGCCGTAAAAACAGGCAGCCAAGCCAGTACCTATCAGCATCGACAACCCGACGCTCGCGTCGACGCTGCACACGCAGATCCGAATTCTGGGTCTGGGCAAATCCAATTTAGCCGATTCAGCTCAATTTGCGTCCGCCTCCAACCGAGACATTCATGAGAAATGACGACCGCCAGCCTTCCACCTCCTCAGCATTGACGCAGCTCTCACATACAAGTCGCCGACGAACAGACGATTAGTTTCATGGCCCTCATGTACCTTTTTCCGCTAGCGTCGTACAAGCCTGTTTGTTGTCTTGTCTCGGGCCCGCGCGTGGCCTGTGTGGCCCAAATCTCGGACCCCTTCTTCACTTGATCCCGGCTGCGGCTGAGATGAGCGCCCGGTCAAATCGTCTGCACGCTGCTGGCGCCGCCTCGCATTTGCTGTGACGCCCGCCCGCCTGCTCTTCATCTGTACATTGCCCATGAACAGCGCGGAGTGCGGCGCCTGGAAGACTGACGCAACATGGTCGGTTTGGCGAGCTCGTCTTTTGCGAGACTCGACAAGGTTTCGAACGGTGTCCTATCTTTTCATAGCCTCCCTGTAGCTTCCTGAATGTCAAACTGTAGAGCGACAGTAGTACCGGTTGTGAACCCTGAACTTAGCCGCTTCCGTCGAGCCTTCACAAGAGAATTAGCCACTTGCCTGAGTGCACTGCTCTGGTATGTTGCCCATCCTTGGTTCTGCGTCTGTTTGCCGGTGTGGACCCCGACCAACTCCGCTCTGAGCAAGGATCCCATCACCTTTGCATCTTCTCCACCTATTCGCAAGTTCCTTCGCAACCAGACATCGTTCGTCCAACGACCATCAAGACCTTCATCCAGCGACTATTACAAGCATCTTCAAAAGCGCTGCTGGCATTTCCCGTCGAACGAGGTCCTTGACCACCACATACAAGCAGGATCCAGCATGGGAGGCTCACAAGGCGCCTTGAGCAGGGCGTTCGCCAACGCTTCCGCCTTCATCTACGGCTGGACGCCCGTGATCCTACTCGCAAGCTACAGCGTCTTCAGCTTCTTCTTCTACATTGTCATCCCGTCCAAGCTGCAGGAGATTCTCTTCTACCTCTACCTCGCTCTCCAGACCCTCACGGCGCTCTCCGTCTCCACCGAAGCGATGCAGTCGATCCGACCTTCAGTGAAGGCGAGACGAGCGTTCCGCAAAGCAGCCAAGGAAGGATGGGGCGAGACCGACAACGGCAAGCCTTGGCCACGCATCGACGTCGTCCTCGTCGCCTACCTTCCCAACGAGAAGGACATCATCATGCGACAGCTCCGCTACGCACTCAGGGAGATCAATTACCCCGCCGACAAGCTCATGATCAACTTGGTCTACAACACGCCCAAGCCCATCGAGCCCATCGAGACCGAGCTGAGGGAGCTCGAGAGCGCCCACGCCAGGCTACGCATCATCAAGGTGCCCAACTCGACCTCCAAGGCCGATAACATCAACCACTACCTTTCGTTGGACTCCAAGTGCGACCTCATCAGCCTGTACGACACGGACCACTACCCTGATCCCAACGCCCTACGATGGGTCGCTAGGAGGTTCTTGCAAGGTGGTATTGACATCATCCAGGGTCGATGCTGCGTGTACAACTACGACGAGACCTTGACCACCAGGCTGGTGGCGGCCGAATTCGACATGATTTACGGCGTTATGCACAGTGGGCGAGCTGAAGTGCAAGGATACGGCTTCTTTGGCGGTTCCAATGGTCATTGGAACGCATCGCTTCTCCGAACTTTGGGCATGCAGAAGCACATGCTCACCGAGGACATCGACAGCTCCATGAGGGCCATCATCTCGGGTGCACGCATCGAGTATGATCTCAAGGTGCTCTCCTACGAGCTCGCACCGGAGACCATACCGGCACTGCTCAAACAGCGCATGCGATGGTCGCAGGGTTGGACGCAGGTCGCCTTCCGACATGCACTTCCCTCTGTGCGCCGTGGAGCCTATTCTGACGACAACGGCTGGCGCTCCCGCATCGGTCTCTTCCAGCTGCTCGTCTACCGAGAGCTCTACTTCTACATCAACACGCAGCTCCTCTTCATCCTCGTCTCGTCGCTCATCCTCAGCTTCCCCCACGAGGGCCTGCGAGCGTGGTTCGACAACTTTGGCGGCTTCCAATTGTCCATGTGGGCGCTGGCGGTCAACCTGATCTGCCTAGCGGTGACCATCTGCATCACCCTCAAGAACAGGTCCAACTTCACACATCCCTCCGGCATCATCCTGTTCGGTCTGCTGGCCCCCTTCTACTACAGCGGCGTCAGCTTCATGTCCATCTTCTGCCATTTTAGGGAGTTCATCAAGTTCGAGAAGTGGAACCCCACGGCGAGGTCAAATAAGAAGTAGTCGCATATACCGCATTCAGTCGTTTCTCAAGTTTCGTTCGCTATAATCGCAGTCATTCTAGATCCTCAAGCTGCCTGCTTTGAAGATGATTGTGCGTTGAGTCACAAGTAAGAGCAAACTCGCGCACACAGATTATTTCTGGACCGTTGCTGCTGTGCAGCGCAAGCGGGGTCAAGAAGCGTGCGTGTACCTCTAAAAAGGGCCCATGCTTAGTGTTCGTTGTCCTGGACCAATGAATCGCCCGGGTGGGTACTCTCTACATGAAAGGTTAGGGGCTCAATGAAGCTCGGACCTCTTGGGCGAGGCTGAAAGGGATCACTGAATCGAGACTCAGCTTCCATTCCAACCCCACCGCAAAGAACAAAGCTCCGCCACCGACAAGACCCTTCTCAGCTTCTGACTTGACACTTCACTGACAGCTACCACAATTGGTGAGACGAGCTCAGGCTGAAGCTGATCCACACGGCCATGTCCAAGCGTAAGCCCAAAGACGACGCGACAGATTCTCAGGCAATGCAAGATGAGCCACCCGTCAAGGTCAGTCGAAAGCTGTGGAGGCTTCACCGACGTCTGAATGCTGAAGACCGCTCGCTGTTGGCGATCGAGACCCCGGTTGAGAGCAAGAAGGGCGATGCCTCTCTAGCAGTCAAACCCGCTACAGGCTGCATTCCCACAAGCCAAGGATCGAGCATCACCGCCGATGAGGACTGGACCCTCATGTTTCCCGCGTCAGCGCCACATCAGATCTTGATCACGAGCCGCCGCACGCAACACTTCCCAAGCCCATTCGTAGAGCGCTCCGAATCAGCGCGACTGCACAGATTCGCATTCAAAGAGCCGTACCTCTGGACACCAGACGCCATTTACGAGGCCACGAGAGCGTTCACAAAGCAGATCAAGGCTCAGCTCGATCCTACAGTTGGCGGTGAACCAGAGTTCCACTTCCCGTCGTCCCCGTCGTGCTACGTCGATGTGACGTTCCGACACGTCAAGGCTTACCGAACTGGGCACAAGCTCAAGCTCAGCTGGCAAGGCTCCAACCTGTTCCATCAGAAGGTTGGCGTCTTCCTTGCAGACGACCACATCATCATCGGCCTGCGCGGCATCGGCGTATGGGTCGATCTCCACGAGACATTGCTGTATGCTGGCTTCCAGCTTCGCAATTTGGTCCAGTTCGAAGCGATCAGAATCTATCCATCCGATTCCTGCCCCTTTTCGAGGCACAGAGTGGTCATCTTGGCCCGCTTCCTGAGCGCCAGATACCACGCGGGCATGCTACCAGGCTGGCTCCACTTTGGAGAAGAGTGTTGCCAGCTTCATTTTGAGAACCGGGGTGATGTTTGCGAACCATGCCGTCGAAACAACTCGGATCTCAGGGGCGTCGTTCCTAAGCCCGAGCGTCTCTGCGCTCGATGTGGAAGAAAGTCGCATTGCGAGTATACTTGTGGCCATCCTGAGGTCGAAGCTTGCCACACCAGGCCGATGAACCGTATCGCCTAGAGCGCCGTTCCGAAGGCGAGGCGATGGACGAAGAGAAGGAAGCGGAGGAAGAGGCAAGCGATTCTGCCTCAGCTTGACCCTCGTCCAGCTCAAGAGGTGCTGCGCGAAGCAATTCCAAGTTTTGAAATCAACCCTACCACCAAGATCAAGCGTCAATACAAAATTCCGAATTGAAACTTATGCAGGGTCGAGGAGTGAGGGTGTTGATCTTGAACAAAACACGCGTCTGAGCCTGCGTAGAGGAGAGAGTGTTGATCTCGACCTTGCCCCTGACTCTAAAATGACACTTTTGAACTTCCGATGCAGCGTTGCTTCTCATCTGCAACCATCATCATCTCACTTCTTCATCGTCTGCTCCCTGTTACCGCTCCTCGCGCTCGTCTGCACTCGCATCTCACATCAAGATCACACGACAGACGCAACACTTACCCAGCCACACATCTGCAACAGCTTCGACGACGTACCACTTCACATAGATAGACAAGATGTCGTCCTTCTTCGGTCTGTCCAAGACGCGCACCTTCAAGCCCAAGCGCAACATCCCCGAGGGCACCAAACAGTATCAGCTCAAGCGATATGCGGAAGCGACACTCGGCAGTGGCAACCTTCGCCTGGCGGTAGTGCTTCCGGAGGGCGAGGATCTTAACGAGTGGCTCGCGGTCAACACGGTCGACTTTTTCAACCACGTCAACATGCTGTACGGTACCATCACCGAGTTCTGCACATCGACCGAGTGCCCAGTGATGTGCGCTGGTCCCCGCTTTGAGTACCACTGGCAGGACGCCAACTCGGCGCTTTACCGCCGACCCACCAAGATGTCGGCGCCAGAATACGTCGACTGCCTGATGAACTGGGTGCAGTCGCAGCTCGACGATGAGGAGCTCTTCCCCAGCAAAGTTGGCGTTCCTTTCCCCAAGAACTTCCCTGCTGTGGTGAAGTCGATTCTCAGGAGACTCTTCCGTGTGTACGCGCACATCTACAACCACCACTTTGCCCAGGTGTGCGCACTCAGCATCGAGGCGCATCTCAACACGTCGTACCGTCACTTTTTGCTGTTCATCACCGAGTTCCAGCTGGTAGAGCCACGAGAGCTGGCGCCATTGGTCGAGCTCAATGAGGCCATCTTGGGCGAGGCATAACCTCAGAGACATGACGACACTGTCACGAACGATATCCCGACCTCCTTCGATGTACATTGCGCACCATATCTCCCTGATCCGATTCTGACTCTCACCGCAACCATCTTATACCCTCTCAAGGAGTCTCTGCATCGTCTGAACTCACTGTGTGCCTTTGCTGAAGGTGAGCGGTCACGACGAAATCGCATCGCAAAAAAGTCGTACGATGTTAGACTAGCAAAAGTAGGGCGGTCACTTGGTCGAAAAAAGGTGAGACCGGCGCGTGTCTCGCAGTTCTTGGCTGTGGATCGGGACTGTTGAGGCTCCCGCTGTGCATTTGAGTTGAGAGTCCGCGAAACGCTCTCTGTTGCCGTTTGCACCCTTTCTCGGAAGGTGATCCGCGCGTTGCTTCGGCCAGCTGGAAGAATTGCAGTGCTGTAGCCGGCACGTTTTTAGGTTTCCAACGCATCAGTGACCTGGCCGTGATCATCCTCGTTCTTTCTGCCCCATCACCACGACACTGTCACCCGCACTCTCGAGGGGCCACAGCAGCAACCATACGGCTGGAATCATGACGGATCACGAGGCGAATGGCGCTGAGGCGTCCTCGAAACCGCACCTTCCTTCTGCCGGCACTAGTCTCGTAGACCCACCGGCTTCGACACAAGAAAGCAACGATGCTGCCGGGCATACGTCGACGGAACAAATCGATGGTGATCACGCCTCGACAGCAGCATCTCAAATTGGTGGGCAGCCCGATGCACCAGCAGGGGAAGACCAAGAGGTCTCTCTTCCAGCCTCGGAGGAGATCCGACTGGATGACGCAGCGCCGGAAGAGGCACCGCTAGCCACAGCGGGAGTCCCCGACATCGCCATCACCGACACCACCGAAACCATCCCCTCGGGCCTCAACGGAGCATTCGAACAAAACGAAGGATCTTCCCACGCACAGCCTCACTCAGCACAGCAAGGCGCGACAGCAACGCCGGAAGCACCCGAACCACCCGCAAAGGAATCTTTGCCGCAGCAAGTCACTCGCCAAAGCATCGTCGACAGTGCCAACGAGCCACCAGCAGATACCGCAGCGCAGGCAACACCGCCACCTCCCGAAGCATCCAGCTCTCGCGCTAGCATGGCAAGGACGCGCCGCTCTTCTTCGGTTTCGACCACCACCACCAATGCCACCACCGTCCATTCACGCTCCAGTCTCAAAAGCTTGAACAAAGGCAGCGCCGTCTTTGTCGTTTCTGCGCTCGAGACCATCGCCACCTCGAAAGAAGCCAAGAAGAACAAGGAGCTCAAAGAAGCTGCCAATGGGGCCTTGGACATGGTCAAGGCAGCGGCCGCCTACACCGCGTCGCCAAACTCAGCAGAAGCGGAGCAGCCCGTTCTGGATCCCCGCGTCGTATTTGAACCGCTTCGGCTGGCGTGCAGAACGCGCAGCAACAACCTCACCATCACCAGTCTCGACTGCATCAGCAAGCTCGTCAGCTACGCCTTCTTCGCTGAGGACGACCCCACCGCTGTGGCCAGTGCCATCATCGCTGCTGGTCAGCCACCGCAGACACTCGCCGATCTTGTCACAGAGACCATCTGCGACTGCTATCAGGAGAACTTGGACGACAAAGTCGCGCTGCAAATCATCAAGGCGCTACTCGCTTCCGTGCTGTCGACCACCGTGCACGTTCACCAGTCGAGCTTGCTCACAGCGGTGCGCACCGTGTACAACGTCTTCCTCATGAGCAAATCGCCCGCCAATCAGGCCATTGCTCAGGGCAGTCTCACGCAGATGGTCCATCACGTCTTTGCACGCGTGCCACGAAGCGGTACTCCCGCTTCTGGGGCCGTCTCAGCGTCTCACAGCACTTCTGACGTCTCTCAGCTGCGATCCAACGGCAACTCGAGCGCTCACAAGGAGGAAGATTCAAACGCTGACGCAGCTGAGACGAACGGACAAAATGAGGCGGACAATGCGGACGCACAGAGCGCAGCAGCATCAGCCAAAGTTGAAAAGGTCACGCTTCAAAGCCTCGAGGACCGCAAGTCATTCGAGGGCGCATCAGAACGCGACAATGCCGGCAGTCTTGCCAACATGAGCACGGCCGAGCTTTTCGTCAAGGATGCCTTCCTCGTCCTGCGCGCTCTGTGCAAGCTTACGATGAAGCCCCTCGGTGCCGAGAGCGAGCGCGACCTCAAGTCGCACGCAATGCGATCGAAGCTGCTCTCGCTGCACCTCATCCTCACCATCCTTCAATCACACATGGCCATCTTCACTGACCCAAGCGTCATCATCCACAGCACCACCACCGGCGAGCAGACCCAATTCGTTCAAGCCGTCAAGCAGTACCTCTGCCTCAGTCTCAGTCGAAATGCCGTTTCGAGCATCAACCAGGTCTTTGAGATCAGCTGCGAGATCTTCTGGCACATCCTCGATGGCATGCGCACCAAGCTCAAGAAGGAGATCGAGGTGTTGCTCAACGAGATATTCTTGCCCATCCTCGAAATGCGCACGTCGACGGCAAAGCAAAAGTCGATCCTGCTCGGTGTGCTGATTCGCCTCTGCCAGAGCCCGCAAGCACTGGTCGAGATCTACCTAAACTACGATTGCGACAGGACGGCGCTGGACAACATCTACGAGCGACTGATGAACGTCATCTCCAAGATCGCACAGGCGCACGTAACAGCAAGTGCCGACGGAAAGACAGACAAGGACGCTGCTTCGTCTGCTGCGTTGCCGAGAGCTAGTACTTCGGGACCTGCGATCCCACCAACGCTCAGCACCGCTGGCGACGATCCGACGCAGTCGTCTTCCGGTGGCAGTCAGTCTGTGGAGGCCCGACTCAAGCGACAGGGTCTGGACTGCCTCTGCTCCGTGCTCCGCTCGCTGGTCGAATGGTCCAGCCGCGCCTCTGCATCCTCTGATGCCGCTGGCCAACACCTCAACGGGCACCCCGGGGATACGACTGGCTCGCCGCGTGCTAGCGAAGAGGTTCGTATCGGCAACGAGACTGTCACCCTTGACAGCGAGAACCTCATGGATTCCGGCGGCCAATCCAGTCCGGCTGCCGGAGCGCAAGGCCAGCCTTCGCATCTGGGCACGAGCGGCATCACAGAGATCGCTCGCGACCAGACGCCCGAGCCACAAGATGACCCAAGCCGCTTCGAGAACGCCAAACAGCGCAAGACGCTCCTGCTCGAAGGCATCCGCAAGTTCAACTTCAAGCCCAAGCGCGGGATTGATGTCCTCGTCAAGGACGGCTTCATTCGCTCGCGCGAGCCCGCCGACATTGCGCGTTTCCTGCTTTATGCCGACGGCCTCAGCAAGGCGCAGATTGGCGAGTTCCTCGGTGAAGGTACACCGGAGAGCAATGCCATCATGCACGCGTTCGTTGACCTGATGAACTTCGAAGGTCTCGAATTCACCGCCGCGCTTCGACGCTTCTTGCAAGCATTCCGTCTGCCAGGAGAGTCGCAAAAGATCGATCGATACATGCTCAAGTTTGCCGAGCGATTCATCCACGGCAACCCGAACGCCTTTGCCAATGCAGACACCGCCTATGTCTTTGCCTACTCGGTCATCATGCTCAACACTGACGCGCACAATCGACAGGTCAAGCATAGGATGACATTGCAGGACTTTGTCAAGAACAACTCGGGCATCGACGACGGCAAAAGTCTGCCGGAAGAGTATCTGCGTTCTGTGTATGACGAGATCCAGACCAACGAGATCAAGATGAAGGACGAGGTGGCTGCTCCTGCGCCTGCATCGTCTTCGTCGTCCGGTCTGGCGAATGCCATTGCTGGAGCGGGACGAGACCTGCAACGAGAAGCGTACGTGTTGCAGTCCGAGGGCATGGCGAACAAGACCGAGGCGCTCTTCCGCACCATGGTCCGCGCACAGCGACGCATCGCGCCTCAGCAGCGTGCGGCCGCCGAGCAGTTCTTCTCCGCCTCGCACTTTGAGCACGTCAAGCCCATGTTCGAGGTCGCTTGGATGCCCTTCCTAGCCGGTATCTCTGGTCCTCTGCAGGAGTCGGATGACCCTGATGTCGTCGAGAAGTCGCTCGAGGGCTTCCGAGACGCGATCAAGATTGTCTGTTTCTTCGGTCTCGAGCTGGAGCGAAACGCCTTTGTCACGACGCTGGCCAAGTTCACCTTCCTCAACAACCTGGGCGAGATGAAGAGCAAGAATGTCGAGGCGATCAAGCTGCTGCTCGGTGTGGCGCACAGCGAGGGTAACTACCTCAGAGGCAGCTGGAGGGAAGTGCTGGCCTGTGTCAGCCAGCTGGAGCGCTTCCAGCTCATCAGTGGCGGCATGGACGGTCGACAACTGCCCGATCTCGGCAGGCGCATTTCTTCGGCCAACGCGGCAGCGGCTAACGGCAACAAGGCTCGACAGCCCTCGTTGCCCAACAACGAAGTCTTGCAGGCGGGCGGATCTTCGGAAGTCACTGTCGCAGCCGACCGAGTCTTCTCATCCAGCGGCTCGCTGTCCGGCACGGCGATCGTCGACTTTGTGCAAGCGCTCTCCGACGTCTCGTGGGAAGAGATCCAGTCCTTTGGCCTCAGCGAGCACCCACGCATGTTCTCGCTGCAAAAGCTGGTCGAGATCTCGTACTACAACATGGGCCGTATCCGACTGGAGTGGTCCAACATCTGGGCCATCCTCGGCGAGCACTTCAACATGGTCTGCTGTCACCCCAATGTGCACGTCTCCGCCTTTGGTCTGGACTCGCTTCGACAGCTCGCGATGCACTTCCTCGAGAAGGAGGAGCTGCCCCACTTCAAATTCCAGAAAGACTTCCTGAAGCCGTTCGAGATCACCATCCAGCGCAACAGGAACTCGGAAGCGAAAGAGATGGTGCTGCAGTGTCTTGCGCAGATGATCCAGTCGAGGGCGGACAACATTCGATCCGGATGGAGGACCATGTTCGGCGTGTTCAGTGCTGCAGCCAATGTGTCGTCCGAGCGGGTCTCGGCGCACGCCTTTGACCTCGTTCGCCATCTCAACGCCAACCACTTGGGCGTCATCATCATCAACGGCTCCTTTGCAGATCTGTGCATCTGCTTGACCCACTTCGCCAAGTCGAACAAGCAGAAGATCAGTCTCAAGGCCACCGAGCTTCTGCGCGGGATGGTGAAGGCGATGCTCGACGCCAAGGAGTGCCCCATTGAGGAAGGAGGCGATCCCGGCCCCGCGGTCAGCACGCCCCTGACGGACGATCCGATGGTTCGCTTCTGGTTCCCGGTCCTCTTTGCCTTCCGCGACATCATCATGACCGGAGAAGACCTCGAGGTCCGTCGCGTCGCGCTCGACAGCCTCTTCTCCATCCTCAAGCGATACGGCAAGTCCTTCCGTCCCGATTTCTGGGACACCGTCTGCCAGGAAATCCTCTTCCCTATCTTCTCGGTCCTCCACTCGCGTCAGGACGTAGCGCGCTTCTCGAGCAACGAAGACATGTCCGTCTGGCTCAGCACCACGCTCATCCAAGCTCTTCGGAACTTGGTCGACCTGTGGACGTTCTACTTTGACACGCTCGAGCGGTTGCTACCCGGGCTGCTGGAACTGCTGTGCGCATGCATCTGCCAGGAGAACGACACGCTGGCGAGGATCGGCACGAGCTGCCTGCAGAGTCTGCTGGAGAAGAACGTGCGGAAGCTCAGCGAGGAGAGGTGGGGAGCGGTGGTGGATACGTTTGTGCAGTTGTTTAGGACGACGACGGCGCATCAGCTGTTCGATCCTGTGTTGCGGGCGGATGGTAGCGGAACGAGTGCTGGGAGTCCGGCGGAGTCGCCCAGGGATGTCGCGGGGGCCAATGGGAACCCGCTCTCCCCTGCGGCTGACGCTTCGCGACAGGTCGGCGAGCCAGCAGCAGCGGCAGCAGTGCAACCGATGTCCGGCTCGGAACGACGTCGCATCTTCAAGCAGATCATCGTCAAGTGCGTCCTGCAACTGCTGCTCATCGAAACGACCCAGGAGCTGTTGCAAAACGAAGAGGTGTATCAGACCATGCCTGCCGCTCAACTCCTCCGACTCACGTCCGTCCTCGAGGACTCGTACACCTTCTCGAAACGCTTCAACGCCGACAAAGACCTCCGTGTCGCACTGTGGAAGGTGGGGTTCATGAAACAGCTCCCCAACCTGCTCAAGCAGGAATCGTCCTCTGCCGCCACACTGGTGCACATCCTCGTGCGCATGCATGGCGATTCCCGACCGGCGCATGTGGGGCTTCACACGCAGATTCGCGACGAGCTCGTTCCTTTGGGCTACGAGATCGTGTGCGGCTTCCTCCCGCTCGATCCCGAGACCCAGGCGAGGAATATTGCTGCATGGAGCCCTGTCGTCGGCGAAATTTTTACAGGCATCTGCACGTTCGATGGCGAGGTGTTCACGCAACACAGCAAGGAGTTTTATGCGCTCGCGGTGGATCTGTTGTCCAAAGAACCGCTGCCAGGGGAGATTGCAGAGGCGCTCAGGGTGTTCCTGTTCAAGGTGGGCGTGAGTAGAGGGATGATCGATGTGGAGAAGGAGGCGGAGAGGAAGAGGAAGATCGCAGACGGCAAGGAGAGGGAGAAGGTGTTGGGTGAGGGGATGAGGAGGAGTAGCGGACCGCGGTCGCCTTAGTGATGAATGAACGTCTTTGCATGGAGCTGCGGCTGACGCTGTCGAGGCGTGTGTGTGTGTCTCGTTCAGTGATGAGCTTGGACTGTCGACTGTGAGGGCCTCGTACGATGCCGCGAGCGTCCGTGTCCCATCTTCGACGCTCCTGCTTCACAGTCAGACGGTCACACATCCAGGCGCATATCGATCCAGGATTGGCAAAAGTCTGGCGCTGATCTACACCCGACACTTGTCCCACCAACCCTTGCTGTTCCTCCCGCTCAGCGCCTTGAGCAGGCTCTCCTTCTTACACAGCCCATCGGCCCTCTTCTCGCAATCCTTGTACTGGCCGAGCGGAACAACGGCGTCGTTCAACTTGAACCTTACCCACTCCTCTCCGCAGTTCCACACCTCCACCACAAACCTCGCTGCGAAAGGGACCGCTTTGCTGGTGATAAAGTGTCGCTTGGCGTCGACGCCCTTGCCTGCATCTGGCACTGCAAACGTGTCGTCAAAGTCCGGCAGGTCCAGGGCAGCTAGGACGGAGGTGATGGTCGAATCGTGTGTGAAGTCGACATAGAACCGCCTGTCGAGCGGGAAGGTCGTCGCATCGAGATCCAGCGTAGAATTCTCGGACGTCTGCACCGCCGGATCCCAAGGCTTGCTCGTCAGCCTCGAAACAAACTCGTTCACCCACCCCAACCCGTACCCTCTCCCTAAAGGCGACGTCGCCCCGTTTCCGTTCATAAACTTCAAATCCCACGCATACTCGTAGTCCAACCATTCCTGCTTGGTGAACAAGCCGCAGAAATCGCTGTACCCAAAAGCGACCGTGTCGTACGAACACATCTGCTGCATGGCAAAGAGGAGGGTCGAGTTGAGCGCTGCGCCGCCAAAGTTGGGGCCGAGACGAAACACGGCGTCCTGAAGGTAGGCGGCGGCCCACTTGTCGGCCATTGCGCCACCAGGATTGTTCTCGGGCTTGCGCCATGCGGGACATGCGAATTCGGGAGCAGTGGTGGTGTTGAATCCAGGTTCTTCGATTTGAATCTCGAACGAGGTGCTGTCGGTCCAGTTGGCACCGAAGAAGCCGTTCAGCCAGGCAAGACCGGAGTCGACGATGCGCTGCTGACTGCCAGCGCGGGCGAAGAGGGTCTTGGGCTTCTTGTTGGCGTCCGTCTCGGCGAGGTCGTCGGCGACTAGCTTGCCGTAGAGCAGGGCAGCTTTGACACCGGAGTCGTAGAGCTGACCGCGACCGACGGGGGTGAGGAGCTCCTCGCCGACGCCGAATTTGTAGCTGTTCAGGAAGGAGAGGCTGCCCGAGTATCGAAGATTTGGGTTCTGTCGAAGGAAGTCTCGCAGGACATCAGGAGGACCGTGTGCTGTTGGATAGCGAGCACCGTGGCGATGCAGCATGTGCGCTTGAGTGAGCTGACACGTCTTGCCGGAGGAAGTGGTGGGTGTGCCGGCGTACTTTGCATCGTCGACGCCCCACCCTGACGATGAGATGTAGGGTGTCAACGGACCCATATGCTCGAAAGGCTTGAAGCTGGCATCTTGAAATCCCGGGATGGTTGTTTGCATCGGTGACGATCCAACGGTCTGTGTTGGAGCGGTTGCTGTCCTCGTCATGTGTTCTGCAAAGTCGGGCGGAACTCCTGTTGTGTAGAAGCCAGGATACCCCACAGGCTTGTTGAACTCGAAGGGCATCACACCACTGTCTCCGTACCACTTGTCTCCCATATAGTCGTAGATGGCGTGCGGTGAAACACCCACCTTGGGCCCAAGCGCAAACGCAAACGCGCCGATCACCAGCAGACCGCCACCAACGAGCATGCTGAGCTTCATACACCTCGCTCGCTGTTTCCTGTTGCGTTGCGCCATCGACGCAGACATACCTGCTCCCCTACCGCGCATCCCCGGAACATCGCCCTCGAGCACACCACGAAGCCACGCAGGTCGACCCGTCTTGTCGATGCGCGTCGAGCCATTGGAGTCTTCCAACACGCCACGTGCGGGTAGCTTTTCGCGCTTGTCCTTGATCTCGTAGTCCTCGTCTAGATCATCATATGCATCTGTAACGCGAGGTGTGGTGCTTGTGCCGCCGACAGACTGGATCCTTGATGTGCCAGAAGCGTCGGTGGAGAGGCGGTGGAGGATGAGTGACTCCGCTTCGAGGTCCGAATCCTCGGAACGGCGGTCTTTCTTCGAAGGTGCAGGCATATTTGCCTCCAATCCAGGCTGAACCAGTAGGTTCCTGGTCCGATGATAGAAGCCGCTGCTGACAACGGTGGCGACGAAGATAGATAGACCTCCTAGCAAGGGGTCAAAGTGAGTGGGAAGCGTGAAGCTTTATCGCGCATGCAGGGTCCCCATCTTCCACGGGCCGCAAACGTCGTCCCGAGAGCCGAGCATTTTCGCAAGCATCTGCAGCCGAGCCGCTCTAACATCGACCAAAATCAGGATCCCACACTGACGGAGATACGCCCAGCGGGTGACGGACATTAACGCAGGTGTTGGTCTCCTTACCCCGCATTCTTGACTTTGATGATGCAGCAAGTCTCCGTGTCTTCCGCATCTTGCCTCGACCATATCGAGCTTCGACGAGACTGAATATAAGCGGCAACCGGATCAGCCTCAAGCTCGGACAGACGTAGTCTCTGTATCTCCCGCCCGGCTGCGCAAGACGAGGTCGTCTCTCTGGATCAAGCACACCCCATATCCGATCACCGCATTCGCAGCATGACTCAGGCCGCCGACGGCTCGAGCTCGACCGTCAACGGCATCAAAGACTCATACTGCGATGTGCTCATCATTGGCGCTGGACCTGCCGGTCTCATGGCAGCCAATTGGCTCGCCGTCCAAGGCCTAGGTCCCTCCGTCCGGATCATCGACAAGCGCAACGACAAGATCTTCAATGGCCAAGCTGACGGTCTGCAGTGCCGGTCGCTCGAGATCCTTCACAGCTTCGGGCTCGGCGAAGACATCTGGCGGCAGAGCAACCGGATGATCGAGATGCGATTCTGGAACCCAGGTCCGGACGGCAAGCTGCAGAGGACGGGAAGAAAGCCGGATACGATTCCAGGCATATCACGCTGGCAGCAGTGCGTGCTGCATCAGGGCAGGATTGAGAAGGCCTTCCTGGACAGCATCGCCAAGCACTCGCGCGGGAAGCTCAGCGTTGAGCGTGGCATCCTGCCGGAGACGCTGGCGGTGGATGAGGCTGGCATCGATGATGCGAAGGCCTACCCTGTGACGGTCGAGGTGCGAAAGTTGTCCGAGGAGGAAGCGACGCCCACGCAGATGGGCAAGAGCGTGCCCAATGGTCCGTTCCGCTCATCCCTAGCGCCCGATGACACGCCTGCTGGAGCCTCAAACGGCGCGCCCAGCGCGTCTGGTCCGCGCGAGAGGATCCACGCCAAGTACGTGATTGGCTGCGATGGTGCCCACTCGTGGACACGCCGTCAGATGGGAAGCAAGATGGAGGGCGACCAAACATCGTTCATATGGGGCGTGCTTGATGCGATCCCCATCACCGACTTCCCAGATGTCCGCAACAGGTGTGCTATCCACTCCGCCGAATCGGGCAGCATGATGATCATCCCACGCGAGGATGGGCTAGTGCGTTTCTACATCCAGGTGTCCGAGCTGAACAAGGGCGTCGACCGCTACAGCATTACACCAGAGATGATCCTCAAGACCGCCAAGGCCATCATCGCGCCGTACACGCTCGACATCGGCGAGGGCGACCTTGACTGGTGGACCGCCTACGTGATCGGCCAGCGCACCGCCGACAAGTTCTCGCTGCATGATCGCGTGTTCATCGCCGGCGATGCGTGCCACACCCACTCTCCCAAGGCGGGCCAGGGGATGAACACGTCTATGCAAGACACGTACAATCTGACGTGGAAGATCGCCTCTGTGGTCAAAGGGATCTCGCCAAGGAGTATCCTGCCGACGTATGAGATGGAGCGCAAGCAAATCGCACAGGACCTAATCACATTCGACCACAAGTTTAGCAGACTGTTCAGCGGGAAGCCGGCCAAGGACGAGGCTGACGCTGCGGGCATCTCGATGAGCGAGTTCCAGAAGGCTTTCGAGCAGGGCAACCGCTTCGCGTCGGGTCTGTCAGTGGACTATCAGCGCTCGTTGCTGACGGTCAAGCCTAAGGGTGCGCCTCAGTCAACGGTCGAAGGCGGTACGGCTGTGGCCCACGGGGAGGTGGCAGGTCCAGCGGAGGGTGTGGTCAGCGATGCTTCGCTGTCAGCTGAGTCGGCGGGCGAGACGCGCATCGAGGTGGGCAAGCGATTCAACACGGCCCAGGTGATCTGCCATGCCACGGTGCTGCCGTACGAGCTGGCCGACTGGATCGTCTCGGATGGAAGGTGGCGGGTGGTCTACTTCTGTGGCGATATTCGCGACGCTGCCTGCAAGAACGAGATGCAACAATTTGGTGACTACCTGGCTTCGCGGCTGGTGCCTCGCTTCACACCGCAAGACCAAGACTTCGACTCGGTGATCGAGGTGCTCACTGTCTCAGCAACGCCGCGTGTAGAGAATGAGATGCAGGACTACCACCCAGCACTCCGGCCGAGCACCTCTCACCATCATCGCCCCACCCCAGATGGGAGCTACAATGTCTCCCCTGACTACCACAAGATCTTTGTCGACGACGAGACCTACCACCAAGGGCACGGTCGTGCGTACGAGAAGTACGGCGTGCGGACCGACAGGGGTACGGTGGTGGTCATCCGACCCGATGGCTACGTATCGCTGTTGGTGGAAGCAAAAGAGTACGCACAGCTGGGCGACTTCTTCGGCAAGTTCTTGCTGCCTCCGGGCGAGCATGTGACTCATCAGCACACTCGGAAGAAGCGGACAACGCCGAAGCTGATGAGCGTCGAAAAGGGAGGTGAAGAAGCGTCCAAGTTGCCTGCATCGACGGGTCTGCCTCAGAGCACACTGAATGAGGCTCACTCTCATAAGAACACGCAAAGGTTGACTGCGCCCGCTGCTGCTCTGTGAGCTTGCGGAAGAGCCGGCCTTACATAGACGGAAGGAATATCATAGTACCACAAAGATGGGGCTGGATCGCTTTGTGATGACGGCTGGTCCCGATTGTTCGTGGGAAGATCGATGCGTGCTGAGCCGAGCAGTGTGTCAACCGCGCCAAGATGCTCGGATCGTCCGTGCATGCTGTCGGACATCTCCGCTCAGGCTGGCAACCGCGCTGTGCTGAGCCGAATTCGCGTTGCCTGCGAGCAGAAGCAGCAATTCAGCGTCTGTATCGCACGGGGGTGTAGCGCGAGAAGCTGGTCTGGTATCTGGCACGCGGGTCGCTATTGAGAGTGTGCCTGTGCGATAAGCGGTTCCTGCATGGCTGGACAGCGTGGCTGTATTTGGCCTGCTCTCGAAGCCATCGCGCTGAGCACGAGGAGCAAGGGCTCCATGGCCCGCGTATTGCGCGAGTGAGTCGGCGAGTGATGCTCCGACGTGCGAAGTGTGCGATTGACGGCCCGCCTCAACCGCAGGCTACGGGATCTTACGGATTCAAGCTCAGCTGCCACAATCGAAGCCTTTCAACGTCCCGACTTCTGTGACCGGCCTCTCAGTCCGCTGCATTCTCCGCTCGAATCTCAGCTGCTCGTACCTTCTCTGACAGGCAGAGATACTCATCGGCGCTACGGCAAAAGCGGCGCCCTCGCACCTGCTCGGCCTTTCATCTAAGCGACCTCGAGTGGCAAACACGCTCGTGTGGGGCAGGCAGCAGGAACAATCGGGCGAGCGCAGGGTCTTGTGAGCCGCAGCCAACCAGCCAATCACCTCGCTTGCGCTTGCGATACTGAAGCTGCAAGCTGTCAGCTGCTCAACTTTGCCTCTGACCAATGACAGGACGAGAATCCCATGAGGGGTTGCCAGGCAGGACGATGCGGAGCACTTTCATCCGATGGCTGGAATTCATGCAGCGAAGGCGTTTGAATTTGGCCCTCGCTTGTGGCTCACTGAATCGTGAAGCAGAGATTTCCGCTGGTCTTCTTGTGGCCACTCGCTTCGGTGGTCCCGCTCACCGACCCCATCGTCTGACACACAGCCATGATAGCTAAGCTAGTCCCTGCGACCGTGAAGCCCGTCAAGAGCGAGAGCTTACGAAGGACAAGGTTGATCCGCAAGTCGTTATCTTCTCACCGATTCATGCTGTTCCTCGGTGGCGCTCAGATTGCCCACGGTGGCTTTGTCCTTGCGGACGAAACCAAGCTGCATCACGCAAGTAGGTCCAAGCCTGCTCGCATGCAGATGAGACGATGTCGACGGGCCAATCGGATCAATAGCTCTTCGTGAGCAGCAATGTGATTGGCGGACGGGAGACAGTACGGACCGCGGCGCGAGTGGCGGGGCGGCAGACGAGCCTGCGGTTGGCCAGATGGAACACGGCGAACTTTTGGCATTTTCCCTTGAGAGCAACCTCGAATTCCGGCGCTCGAGAGACACCTGCACCATTTCAATCTCCGAACCTCGGTTGGCGGTTCTACCCAACCGCCGCTTCCTATTTACAATCGACTGCTGGCCCGCAGCTCGTGACTGGCTCGGGCGAAGCTTGACTTGCGAAGGATGTGCGAGGAGGGCCTCGAGCATTTGGAAGCGAAGCTGTTACAAGATGCACTGCAGACTGACTTGGGTAGGCAGAGGCCAGTGGGTCGATGTGCAGACCGCCGCCTCGTGTGCCGTCCCAGCCCGCGGCAGATGCATTCTTTTCGTGTATCTCACCGCATCGCTCTGCTGTGGGCCGCTGCATTCTTTGCCCATTGTGTCCGGGCTTCGACCTTCCATGCAGCATCTCAACCGCAACACTTTGGCCCTACGGACATCCTGTCGCTAATTGTCCGACGAAGCGAGGCGAAGTACAATACATTCACAGTTCTCGCCTACAAGGGCGTTGCTGGTGTTCCACATCTTAGTTTAAGAAAAATTAAATCGAACTTCATGCACGTCTGCAGATTAGGCTCTTCTGGACAAGGATGTTGTATCTCGAAGGTTCGGATCGCATCCCTCCGAATCACCCCCCTGTGGTGGGAGCGTGACAGGGGTGCCTCGTGTGGCTCTCGCTCTCGCTCTCGCTTCGTTCGCGATAGGCAGCTGCAATCGCGACTGTCCCCGCACGCTGACAATGGCGAGATTCTGTGGCGTAGTGCCCACCTCGATATGACCCGCAATCCGCTTTCCCACAGTCACGCGATAGCCGGAACGCGCCGTTGCTCTGCGCTGATGCCCTGCCTGACTACGCCTCTGCGCCTGCTGATAGTGCTCTGTCGGAGTCGCACCGACCGTCGGTTGCCTGTTCAAACCAATCACACTGTTTCCTTCTCGAAGAGTTCACGCCACGCATCGGTCATTAGATAGCGCGAGCGAGCAGTCCCACAGCAGCCACTCATCCTGCAACGGCTGACCCTTCTCCGCTGCAACCGGTCCAATAGAGCCGCTAGCGCAAGAACAGCAGCAGTGAAACTACATATAGACAGCTGTCAAAGTTCAACCCTGACCCCCGACCCCCTTACCAGATCTCATCTCTCTCACCCCAACCCTTTCTCCCTCCATACCCACGCCGCCGTGAGCGTCGTCCGGGCTGCGATCTGATCACCATGGTCAACGAAATCGACCTCGCTCGCACTGCGAGCCACGTCTCTTCCGACGCCGAGAAGAGCTCTGACAAAGAATCCAAGGAGGGTTACAACTCCGGCGTCGCCGAGCTTCACAACGTCGAGAAGAACCTCAAGACCGACTTCCTCGACCACCGCATCAACGACCCTAACATGTCCGGGGAGAAGATTGACGCTATAGAGCGCGTCATCGAGCAGGGCGACTACAAGGCCGAGGTCCAGATCGAGGAGGAGCTCGAGGAGGACTCGCCCTACCCCGAAGTGCGAGCCGCCGTCTCCAACGTCGACGATCCGACAATGCCCGTTATGACCTTCCGTACCTGGGTTTTGGGAATGTTCTTCACCATCCTCATCCCCGGTGTCAACCAGCTCCTCAGCTACCGATACCCCACCGTCACTATTACCTCGTTCGTCGCCCAGCTGCTCGCATACCCCATGGGTGTCATCATGGCCAAGGTTCTCCCCTCCAAGGTCTTCAAGACTCCCCTCGGCAGCTTTACCCTCAACCCCGGTCCCTTCAACGTCAAGGAACACACCGTTATAACCGTTATGGCGAATGGCTGGTATCATTCTCCTTCCCTGTTTCCTCGTCGTATCCGGCGCTTGAGCTGACCTGAACCCAACTTTTGTTTTCTTCCAATAGTCACATACCAGCGTGCGTACGCTACCAACGTCTCTGCCGTCCAGAACATCTTCTACCACTTTGACTGGGGCTTTGGCTACATCATCCTCCTCACGCTGAGCTCTCAGCTTATCGGTTTCTCCATGGCCGGTTTCTTCCGTCGATGGCTCGTCTGGCCTGCTGCCATGATCTGGCCTACCAACCTCGGTAACACGGCGCTCTTCACCGCCCTTCACCGACAGGTTGACACGGGTGAGAACCACATGTCGCGATACAAGTTCTTTATGATCGCTTGCGCAGGTGCCTTCTCCTTCTACTTCCTCCCTGGCTACCTCTTCGCCCTCATGTCCGTCGGCAACTGGTTCTGCCTCATCGCTCCCAACAACGTTCCCCTCAACCAGATGCTCGGCACCCAGCAGGGTCTTGGTCTCATTCCCATCACCTTTGACTGGAACCAGTACTCGTACAACGGTAACCCCATCTACACTCCCTGGTGGGCCCAGGCCAACGTCCTTGGTGGATTCTTGTTCTGCTACTGCTTCATCGCCCCCATCCTCTACTACAAGAACGTGTGGAACTTCGGCTACTTGCCCTTCTCCACCAGCGGTGTCTACGACCGATTTGGCAACAGGTTCAAGACCGCCAAGGTCACCACGCCCGACAAGCTTCACTTCTACGCCGACGGCTACAACGCCTACTCTGAGCAGTACTTCTCGGTCACCTACGCCGTCTCGTTTGCTCTCTCGTTTGCCGCCATCACGGCCGTCATTGTCCACGTCGCTCTCTTCCACGGCAAGCAGATCTACAAGCAATTCACCACCTCGATTCACGAGGAGCGCGACGTCCACGCCCGACTTATGCAGAAGTACCCAGAGGTGCCCAAGCTCTGGTACACCATCCTCTTCCTCATCTGCTTCGGCATGGGTATTGGATGCACTGCTGGCTTTGCCACTGGCCTCCCCGTCTGGGCCTTCATCATCTCGCTTGTCATCGGCGCCTTCTTCATGCTGCCCGTGGGCATCGTCTACGCCATCTCCAACGTTGAGGTCGGTCTCAACATCATCTCCGAGTTCATCATCGGCTACATGCACCCTGGTTCGGCTACGGGCATGATGATGTTCAAGGTTTTCTGTTACATGGCTGTCTACCAGGGTCTGTCCTTCACTGCCGACATGAAGCTTGGTCACTACATGAAGATCCCTCCCCGCGATATGTTCGTCGCCCAGTGCTCCGCTATCATCGTCTCGTCTTTTGTCGTCATCGGTGTCCAAAACTGGGTCTTCTCCAACATCAACAACGTCTGCACCCCCGAGGCGGCCGACAACTTTACCTGCAACTACCTGCTCGTCTTCGGCACTGCCTCGCAGATCTGGGGTCTCATCGGTCCCGCTGCCGTCTTCTCGCCCGGCAAGCAGTACGGCAAGCTGTTGTGGATGTTCATGGTCGGTGCCATCTTCCCCGTCATTATCTGGGCGCTCACCAGGCGATTCCCCCGCTCGTTCCTGCGCAAGGTCAACACGCCCGTCATCTTCACTGGTACGGGTCTCATGCCTCCTGCGACGGGTATCAACTTCACCTCCTGGGCGCTCTGCGGTTTCGTCTTCAACTACCTCGTCAAGAAGTACCGCACCGGCTGGTGGACACGCTACAACTACGTCCTTGGTGCCGCGCTCGACACGGGCACAGCCATCTCGGCCGTCGTTATCTTCTTCTGCCTCATCTTCCCCTCGGGCTCGCAGTCCGACTTTGCCTCCAGCGGCTGGTGGGGCAACACCGCGCCTTACAACACGGCCGACGGCAACCTCACGCCCTACCTGTCGCTCCCGGACGGTGGCTCCTTCGCCCCCGCTCCTGCCGACTTCAGGCCCTACTACGGCCACTAGGCTGTGTCGGCTTCGGAATAGGCCCCTAGATCCTTTTGTAACGCTATGATTCCCCTCACGTCTGCTATGATATCAATTGCAGAGATCTGTCACGGTACGACATGTTGTGTGATGTGTGCCCTGACTCTACATACGATGGGAACGATGAAACGGACGAGCAACTTAGATTGAAATTGGAGATGTTCCGGACGTTGTTACATGAGAACTTCGTTCTAGTTTGAGCGATGAGGGAAAGAAAAGAAGGCAACGATGCGAAGTGACCAGATGCTGCGGCAAAGCTGAGCTCGTCGGTCAATTCTGCGCCTTCTTTTTGTACGCTGGGCCCACCGGACCCACCGGACCCACCTCATCAAGCGCTGCGCTGAGTTGCTCAGTTGGTCTACTTAAAGATGAAGCGACTCCTTCGGTTGCATCCTTCTTTGTCTTCCACCTCTGCCCATTTCATCTCGTCATACATCGCTCTTCAGACATGACGCTCGAGACGCAGAGCGATTCGGCGAGCAACGTTGGTTCGGGCGATGCTTCGAACGACAGCTCGGTCAGCGCAGGTGACGATACGTTTGGTCGCGGTTTGTACGCTGGGCGCGATCCAGAGCTCAAGACGACCTCGTTTTGTTCCGAACAGTGTCTCGCGTCGCTCCGCTTCGACCTTGCCATGGATGCCCACTGTCCCAACGTGCGACTTCATCTGCAACTCAAGACGAAGCTCGATAACACATCGCTAGGCTCGGGTCGGAAGGACCGGCTGTCGGGCGTTGACAAGCACGCCATCACGTACCAACAAGTGGTCGAGGATCTCGCGTCTCATCTGCGTCCGGGCAAGATCTGGCATGTGATGGAGCCTGTTCTGGGAGCACGTGGACGCACCGCTCAGATGTTCCGCGTAGTCCACCCCGAGGCCGGCTACGCCTTCGCAGCCAAAGGCGTCGAATCCTCGCTCGTCCACTCGCTCGAAAAGGAATCGGCCATCTACGACTACATCCTGAATCGCGTCATGACGAGCGGCAAGGGGTTCGACAAGCTCTACCCGGCTCTGGCCACGCTGCCGTCGGACAAGCTCTCGGGTGGCCCGTCTGGCGTGCAAATTCGCGTTCCGCTCTCCTTCGGCGTCATTGCATCCAAGGAAGAGGACAACGAGGTGAGCTACCCCTTCCGATATATCAAAGGCAACACGTCCTACGACGACCCCATCGATGCCAGCTCGTTCCTGCTCCTGTCCTACCACGGGGGACAGTTGCGCGATACATCCATCCGCGAACGGATGCTTTCCAAGGTCAACGCCGACAGCAACGACGACGAGCTCGACCTGGACGACGTGGCAGATGAGTGTGAATCTGCGCTTGCACGCCTCGGCGTCGAGCAGAACTCGCTCCACTACCGCAACCTCCTCTGGAGCGACAAGCTCAGTTCGGTCTTCATCATCGATTTTGGCCGCGGCACCTACCCTCGGAAACTCGGCTACCCGAGCCACGAGGAGTGGAAAAAGCTCCTGGCTGTGCTTGATGCTGAGAAGCGCGAGAAGGTCGAGGAGAAGGAGAAAGACAAGGTCGAAGACAAGGTCGAAGACAAGGTCGAAGACAAGACCGGAGACCAGTTCGAAGGCAAGGTCAAAGACAAGGTCAAAGACAAGGTCAAAGACAAGGTCAAGGAGAAGGTCCAAATCAAGGTCGAAGTCGAGGTCGAACAGAAGGTCGAACAGAAGGTCGAACAGAAGGGCGAACAGAAGGTCGAACAGAAGGTCGAACAGAAGGTCGAACAGAAGGCTCGAAGACAAGGTCGTAGGCAAGGTCGATGGCACGGTCGAAAGCACGGTTGAAGGCACGGTAGAAGTCAGGGTCGAGGACAAGACCGAAGACAGGGTCGAAAACAAGATCGACGACAAGCCCAAAGACAAAATTAAGTAAGCTAGCATCACTTCTTGGCTCAAGTGTGCAAGCTCACTTGACCTGCACAAGCCAGTGCCGTTTGTCCGTCGCGACTCATCTGTTCACACCCTATCTGTCACGTCCGCACTCGATCCACACTCCTTCAGAAGCAGAATCGCACGCCGTTTCCGTAGACAGATCTACATTTCAATCTTCAACTACTTGCGGTAGCACCGTTGACCGATTCGTGCCCCTCCGTCCCAGGCTCAGGCCCGAGCATATCCATAAACGTGGCCAACCTAGCCCTGTTCCCACCCGCTTTACCCGTCAAATATTCCACCAACCCCGTTCGCAACTCCGGCTGCCTTCCTACAACCTCCCTCAGCTGCTCCTTGGGCAACTGAATCAGCGCACCAAAGCTGCTCGGCGCCGTCTGCTTGGCGCACAGAATAAATCCATCCCACAGCGGCGCGTTCTGCCAGATCTTTTTCGTAATCAATCTTGACAACAAGTTGCGTGCCACATAGCCACTGAGCGACTTGTATGTCGAGACCGCCATGATGACTGTGCGCATGAAGAGCATGGGTAGGGCGGGGTCCTCCGCAATCTGGTTGAGCACAGCGGCGAGCACCTCGGAGCGGTAGACGTCCGTCATGCTGAAGCAGATCTGGATGGCGGCGACGGTGGATTTGAGTCCGATCTCGCGCTCCGCGTGGTGAAGAAGGCCCATCAGCTCGACAGGCGTCAGCAGCTCCGTTTGGCGCAGACGGGGCAGATTCGAAGAGACCGATCCGAAACCTTGGGGTGGTGGCACGACGATGGATTGGAAGACCGACTTGATCAGCGCCCGATCTTCGGGTGCGCGTGAGGCGAGAATGGTGACTACACGCGGAAGTCGCTTCATGATCTCGGACTTGTCCAGGTCGGCCATGATGGGGACGAGGAAGCGTGGGTCCACATCGCGCGTGTCGACGAGCTCCTTAACCAGGTCGACCAGTGCAGGCGAGCGAGACTTCTCGGTGAGCGTCTTGAGAATGCACAGCGCGAGCGAGTCGGCACCGTCTGGAAAGTTGCGCAGCAGCGTCAGCAGGCGCGGGTGGTTCGGGCCGAGCGCACGGATGAGGTTCACAATGTGCGTCTCGATGGCAGTCTGCACGAATTTAGGCGTGCGCGGGTAGGTCTGGAAGATCTCGTCGAGCATGTCGGGGATTTTAGTGCACAGCGAGAAGGGAAGCTCGACAAAGCGGAGCACGTCTTCGCCGTCGTGTGGGTGCGTTGACTCTGGCCGGTCTTCTTCTGCCTCTTCGTCTTCTTGTGTGGGTGTGCCCGTAGCGTCAGGGTCTGCCTTGGCGGAGCCGTTCGCGCCATTGGCAGCAGGTGCGTCGCCATTCGCCTCTGCAGCTGCTGCGGCTGTCTGGTCCTCTGCAGGCGCTTCCTGCGGCTCCGGAGTCTCGATGAGAATGTCGAGGTTGCTTCGTGCAAAGGCTAGGATGGTAGCTTCGAGGGAGCTGTTCGAGACGGCACACTGCTTGATGGCAATGATGGCTCTGGCGCGCGTGCTTCGTTCGCTCGTCCTCGTCAGCTGCAGCAGCTTGTCCGCCGACTGGTCTCGAAGCGCTGGCCGCGAAATGCAGATGTCCTGCAACGTCGACATGCCCGCGACCATCTTGCTCTTGTCCTTGCTGAGTGCTGCGACCAGGTCGAGCACGGCGGGCGGGATCTCGGGCAGATCAGCTAGGAACTTGGCAAGTGAGCGATCTTTGGCGTCGATGCTGGGAACCCAGGCCTGCACTAGCTTCTCGAGCCAGAGCGGGTACTGATCCGTGCTCGTGATCTCGGCTGCTGCGGCCTGCTTTCGGCGCACTCGGTCGCAAAACCACTCTTCCGCCATCCACGTCACTGCGAATCGGGTTCGGCGAGCAAAGTCGGCCTTGACGAACTCAAGCATCAACGCGCGGATGATGTCGGCCTGCGTGGAAAGCGTGCGTGTCGGCTCGACGCCGCCAACAAGCTTGGTTTCGGGCTGAGCGGACGACGCCTCAGGATCAAAAGGCGGTTCGGCAAATCCGCGTGTCGCGAGACGGATGACCAGAGAAGACCAAAGCGCCTGCGGGCCCGATTCTGGCTGGACGGTGTCGACGGCCGTCGAGGAGCCGAGCTCGCATATCCTCGCGATCGTGTCCTTGATGACCGAGTCGGATTCGCCGACGGACAGATACTCGGGCGGTGCGAGGGCAAAGTTCTCGATGACGGCCAACGAGAGCTCTTCCTCCTCCTCTTCCTCTTCTTCCTGAGCGCGGCGAGCGTCCCTTTCTCGGCCGCTGGCTTCTAGCGCTTCGAGGTCTTCCTCTGCCATGTCCATCTGAAGCGGGTCTTGTACCGTGTCCTCGTCGCCTGCATTTCCCTCGGCCTTGACGTTCGGCATAGTTGGAGGCCGTGGTGGCGGTGGACCAGGTGCCGGACCTGGGGGCGGTGGCGGCATCGATGCTGCCGCTGCTGATGGCTGGGGTGCTCCCGATGCGAATGCGTCTGGCGGAAGGTTGGCACGCATGTTGGCGATGGCTGCATGAAGGTCGTGATCGGAAAGCGCCTGCAGATTGGCAAGGATGAGATCGATGACAAGCGGGATCGGCAAGGTTTTGACGTCGAATGCGGCCAAAGGATTGCGCTCGACACCTCCGGTGGTTCTGACGGAAGCATTTCGGAAAGCTTCTCCTGATGCACGATCTCCCTCCTGTGCCGCCGCCACTGCAGGAGCTTGCGATGAGTGCTCGAGCTTGATCTTCTTGCTTTCTTGGAGCTCCTCGTCGATCTGCTCGCGTTTGCGCTTGGCATCGGCCTCCTGTTTCAGCTGATAGGCCTTGGCAGCTTCTTCCATGCGACGCTGCTGAGCCTCGAGCGCCTTCTGTATTGAACTTGTCTCTGCGCCTGCAATGTTGTTCTTGAGGAAGTGAAGGTAGAAGATGCGGACCGTCTTTTCCACGTTGCGCGTCTGAGTGTGCGAGAGGTTGCCGAGGCTGGCGGGAGTCCAAGTGGCCATGGCACGGAGAATGACCGACCCGAGCTGCGGCCGAGCTTTGGCGAGTACGGTGAGAGAGTTGATGGAAGCCATGATGAGATCGGTGACGTCGCTGGTGAAGATCAAGGTGACGACCTGAGCGAAGAGTCGGTTGCCTTCTTCGTCGAGGTTGGTGACATTGAGGAAAGGATGCGATGAAGGGACGGCGCTGAGACTGACATCATTCTTGAGCTGAGCACGAGGGTCGGAGGAGCCTCGCGACTGGACCTGTACGATGCGCTGGTAGCACTTAATGACGGCGAGCTTGGCACCTTGACTACCATTGTCGAAGAGGTGAATGACCTGGGCCTTGATGGCCTGGACCGTTTGCCAGAGGTTGGACTTTGTACGATCGTTGCATACGAGGCGAAAGAGCACGGGATACATGCTTGCGAAGCACTGCGCCGCGATCTTTGCGAGACGCGGGTCTCGATCCTTGATGAGCAAGAGTATTGCCTCTGGTGCATGTACGGCGAGAGTGGCTTTTGTGTCTTGGGACAGGGCGGGCCGACAGAAGGCGAGATCCATGACCTGTGCGATCCATGTTCGCAATGATGTGCTTGCTTTTGGTAGGAGAGATATAAGGGATGGCAACAAGATGGGTATGTTGCCTGGCTGGACTTTGAGAAGGTGGTAGAGTTCGTCGAGATGACGGGCCTCGTCTTGCTTGTTGGACGAGTTGAGAGCGGCGCTCAGCAGACCGAGCGCGTCAGTGTTGGCTGGTGCTGCCATGATTGCTGCTGTGCCTCGACGAGCTGAGCTGAGCCAATTTCGCAATCGCAAGAGTCGGCGATGGCAGGCGACGGTGCAGAACTTGCCGAACAGAGCAGGGGCTTCGAGTGCCTTTCAAGGAGTGTCAAGGGTTCAGGCCAGTATCAGCGCCAAGTTGAATGCTCAGTCAAGGCGGTGTGTCAGGTGCATTGGCAGCAGCAGAAAGCGGACCGGTTCCGAGGTCTGAGTGAGCGTGCGAATGCACCAATCGCGAGTGATCCGAGGGTTGGCAGTGGTGTCGTCCACAGATTGTGATGCTGGAGAAGCCGAGCGAGACTTTCGCAGTCGCAAGCAGGAGCGCTTTTGAGCGTCGGCAAGACCGGATTCTGTCGGTCGACGTCCGCAGTAGCGTTCTGCGAGCTGCCGTGCTGATGAAGAAGCGCGCAGGTGAAGGAGTGTATGGATCAGGAAGGAGAGATGGGACCAAGTTGCCTGCAGCTGAGTGACTGAGTTTTGAGAATTTGGTTGCTCGTGTGAACCCAACCGGCTTCCGATTCTGTGATTTGGTCTGAGCTTTTGGCTCGCTTAGGTCGGCTTGTTTGCCCTGTCTTCTTTTTCTGGAACCCTTTCTGGTCAGCAGCTGGCAGTGACTGCCATACGATGTTCACCTCGCAACACCACTCGCCTCACCTGGTCACCCTCCAGGTCACACTGAGAGATACGCTCAGATCCATATCGGCATATCTGCCGTACGTCATCTGCTCTAAAGAGCTCGCAACTGGCGTGAGAATGTGTGCAGTCAGTAGGCTCCCGATCAGGTATGAGAAATTAGGATATCGGGAAATTTATGAGCGCACGGATGCACGAGGCTTGGCTGCAAAGGCCCCTCGCCCGCAATCTCTCAGCGTGCGTGCGAAAGCTCATCTGGAAATCGTCGCCTCCACCACCCCTCTCATCCTCCTTCCCTCTACGTATCATCTCGCTTTCCTCGGATCCCATCCCTAGATTCCATCGTATCGCTACAAACATATCATGGTAAGCATCAGCATCCTATTTTGCCGCGATCCAGCGACCGAGACGGTCGAGACACGGCTATCTTGTCTTTGATCGGGTCGGAGTGTCAATGTTGACCTCTACTTTGCTTTGCCTTGCTCCACGCTCTCGCTTCGACACATGCACTTCCGCAGGCCGCACAACAATCACAGGGCATTCAAACCCTCCTCGAGGCTGAGAAGGAGGCCGCCAAGATTGTTCAGAAAGCACGAACCTGTAAGTTGACGTTGCGACGATGTATTCGCCATCGCATCCTTGCCCGCGCGGAAGCTCTCTTATTAAGACGACCTGCTCACTGTTCATTCTCGCTTCCCTTTTCCTCCATGCCGGCAACTTATATCGAACACAATCGCAGACCGAACACAGAAGCTCAAAGATGCACGAAACGAGGCCTCCAAGGAGATTGAGCAGCTCAAGTCGAAGAAGGAGCAGGAGTTCAAGGATTCTCAAAAGGAGGTGAGTGGCAGTGTCCTCTTCCCTAGCCATGCCGTATCATTCGTCGCTGATCATCCCATCTGACATCTTTGCATTTGCGCCAACGAATAGCACGAGGGCAAGACCAACAGCTCGCAGTCCGAGGTAGACAAGGAGACCGAACAGAAGCTCGAGGAGCTCAACAAGGCGTTCGAGTCGAACCGCGAAGACGTCATCAACAAGCTGCTCGATCGCGTCGTCGATGTCAAGACCGAGCTCCACAGGAACCTTCAACTCAAGCAACAGCAGAAGGAGCACAACCAGCAGCAAGAACAGAAGGCTTGATCCCTCGGTCAAGTCTGGATACCGTACCCTTAGTTTCTCTGTTGTTCTCTTCTCCGCGCTCCAATACAGTCGTCACTTGGCCGTCTATGCTCAGCATACCCGGAGCTCAGCGTGCCATGATGTTGATGTCAAACTACCCGCTTCCCTGTTGCTATGCGTGTCAGGTCGCCACAGTTTCAGAGTCGTCGATGTCGCCGCTTCAGGCCTCGTCGTGCTCGCCGTGACAATGAGCCTTTTCGTATCACTGCACAGACGTCTCCTTTCTGCATCAGAGCAACGATCTTCACTTGTCAGCGGCTTCCCCAGTAGTCAAAGATGTCCTGATCGTCTAGCCAGATTCACGTACTAACGCAATGTTATCAGTACACCATATCCTTCAAGTCGCTGTGAAATTGAACGGAAAAACACAAATGAATATATTGCATCCGCGCTGCCCGCATGGCAAAGGAAGACAACTCCATCCCGATTAGCTCAGTCGGTAGAGCGTCAGACTTTTAACACAAAGTCTCCAAGCTGGTCTTGGAATGTTTAATCTGAATGTCAGGGGTTCGAGCCCCCTATTGGGAGTCGCCTTTATTTTTGATAATTTAAGGCCCCAAAGGCTTGGAATACCGCCCGTCTTCTTGTCTCCGTCCTCGGACACTCAAACTTTAAGGTGCAGAAGCTGGGGCGTGCGTCCATGGCTTTGATGATTGTGTGCTGCGCAAGGCACCCTGGGGGTCGACCCCTGTCGAATTCGGCTGCAGTCTTGCTCCCAGCCGGGTTTTGTGCATTGGGGACGATGATACGATATCAAGCGCGTATCTTATAGTGATGGCTGGGCGCACGATTGCCTGGCGTAATGTATGAACGCAATAGTATGACGGCTTCCACAACAAGGTTTCTTGGCGCAGTTGGTTAGCGCGTCTCCTTAACAATTCTGGTCTTCTTCAGATCGTTAGGGCTTACGGAGGAGGTCGCCGGTTCGAACCCGGCAGAAATCAGAAATCATATCTTTTTTGCTCCACGATAATGCGCACTTTATGCGACTCCCTCCCGTTGACTGTGCCTCGCAGATCTGCGGGGTCGGCACACATCACCATCGAAGCTCGAAACGACGGCGTGACTACCTTCCAGATCCGGAAGGAGGGCACTGAGCGCTCGGTCGATTGCAAGATCGATACTATCAACGAGAAGTATCTTTTCATGGTCAGTCTCACGAAAGATATACACGACAAGGATAAAGACCGGCTCCACCTCGACGACATGGACCTCGGCCGGGCCATTGCTCTACTCGATCCCCCTCCTGTGGACGCGTCGAGGACTCACGCCGACCACGCCAACGTTAAATCGCTGGACAACCGCGGTGACAACCTGAATTTTGTCTCAGCCGTCTTCAACAATTTCAACAGGGCGAAGCAGAGGGACTCGAACGGCTTTGTTGGTGTCAAGGAGATTGGCGGATCTTTCAAAGTGCAGGTCATGCGCTGGTTTTACGCGGGCTATGCCAGCGCCGAGACAGATGCGCTTGTTCACAATCTGGTGTGCCGCAACACCCTCGCAGACTAGCTCGACAAAACACCTCATTTGCTCAATGGTGTGGTCGATGAGGACAAGCGTGGCGTCACGGTGGCGATCTTGCCAAGCCGCGTTACGATCCACAACGTCGGCGACAGGTTCGTCCTCTCTACGAGTAAGAATGCAGGGGTGGTGAGCACGAGAGGAGATGGCATTGCTGTCCCGTCTGGCCACGCACGGCTGATGAAGAGACAGGAGAAAGCAGTGCAAAAGCGGGTATATTGATTGAGCTGGATTGATGCCTACTTGGCGGTTGTCTCCTGCCGAACGTGCTGCTCCATCCCCGGGTTCCAGCAAGCCACAGCCTTGCGTTCGCCGAAGAAGTCCGCTCCGAGCGTCGTCATGCCCATCAGCGCCTCGCTCTCGCCCGGCGACTCTTCGAGGATGCTGTTGAAGCCGCTGATCGTGGCTGGGGTTGTGAGGCCGAGTTCGAGGTCGAGCAGATCGCGCCACTCCTGCTGCCTTGAGGCCGATGGCTCGTACAGCTCGAAGGCGTCTGTATCGGGATCCGAGGAAGAGGTTCGGAAGACGCCGTGCGAGCGGAGAAAGTCGTGTACCGCTTGGCGGTCGTACGTCACCTCAGCTCCAGGCTGGGGAGAGGTGACAGCTTCGGTGGCGATCTCGTCGAGACCGACAGCCGGGTCTGCTGTGCAGTACGTGTTGACGCCCGCATCGATTGTTGCCGCGCCATCGGACGCTCCAATATCGTCCGCTATCGCCGCCTCATCCGACTGCACCGCCGCTGCACCCTCGGCAAAGAGGACTCGCTCGATGAGTGCAGACCCAGACGACTGGGAGACCGTCTCCGCCGCAGCTTCCGACGCCGGCGTGCCCAAGATCGATCGCGCCGCAGCCCTCACCTTTGGCGGCTGCAGGAACACCATCCTTGCATGTCGCAATTCCGTCTCGTACTCTCGGATTGACAGCCCCTCGGGTGGCTGGAACTTCTTCGCCTCCTTGCGTAGGATGGTCGAGATGCTGCCATGCTCTTTGAGCAGCCGGAGCGCTGTTTTCGGACCGATGCCGGGAATGGTGCGGTTGAAGTCGGTTCCGCACAGCAGGGCAAAGTCGAGCATGAGCGAGCGGGCCATTCGATCGTAGGACAGATCTGAATCGCTTTCCTCGGTCTTGACGAGCTCGCTGCTGGCGGTGAGGTGAGCGAGCTTGTCGGTGTCTGCTTTGGGGAAGAGCCCGGTGCGAACGCGTGTGCCGCAGATGACCTCGAGCTTACCTCTTGCCGCTTCGCGGCCTAGGGCACCGGGATTGCGCACTCCGCCCATCAGGCCCCGTAACAGGGGCGCTTCGTACAGCAGAACGTCGCTGTCTTCGCTGGCAACGAGGTCAGCAAAGCCTGATCGTACGAGCGACGCGGCGTACGCTTCGGCCTCGTGGATCCTGCCTCCACCCGTCCGTGTTCCATCACCGGTCCAAAACACCGGCACGGCCATGAGAGAGCACAGCTCCGCACAATCTTTGTATATCGATGCGGACAGGGGCGAGGTGGCGCGGTCGTACGTCTTGGAGAGCGAGTGGTGCATGGCATTGATCGAGGAGAGAGGATGTGATGGCCCAGCTTCGGCTGCAATGTCGTCCGCCCTGTCGAAGGATTCGACTGGCGATGGAAGCGGTGGCGGTGCTTCACCGGACATGAGCTGCGTGGCGATGGTCTGGTAGATCTCCTTCTCTGCCTCGGCGAGCACTTTTTGCCCTTTGGACTGACTTGATGCTCCGCTGCGTAGGCTTTCCTCAAGCTGCATCCAATTTGTGTGCATGCTGTAGGCTACCGATTCTGTCTTGGAAGTCGGCGCTGGAAGCCGTGGGGTAGGGGTTGGCACCGTTTCTGCTATTGTCGACGGGACCGCAGATGTAGACGGTTGGCTGATCACCTCTGCGGGACTCTCCTGCGTCGGCGTCCGCCACTTGTCGAGCAACTCTCCCACCTGCCGTCGTTCCGATACTTGCAGCTCCGACAATGCGTCCAGATGCGATTGCAACTCCAACAGCCTTCCGCGTCGTTCGTGTTCGAGCTTGCTCCTTATCCGATCGAGCTCGCGCTTATGCCTCCTCTTGACTTGTTCGCGGTCCTTGAGCGCCAGTCTCTTTTGCGGGTGGTCAAAGACCATCATTGGTATCACGCCATGTTGTCGCAGCGAGGTGACGAGGCGGTAGAAGCCGATGATGTGGCGCGACGCGTGCGGGTCGTCTGCAAAGTGAAGGCGCTGAACCAGCAGCGTAGCATCAATCGCGAGTCGTAGCCCTCGAAGTGCGGGGAGCGAGAAGGGCGGCGAGATGGCCTGTGGCGCTAACGAGCGGACGAGCGGAAAGATGCCACGAATGCCACGGGTCACGAACGAGACGCGCATCTCGGCGGAGGAACAGCGATGAGGTCAACGCGTACGCTTGTGGCGAGCGAGCCCGTCCTTGGTTTAGTGCATCAAGGCTGTGGTGGTTGTGCTAGGTCGGCCTGGAGAGCGAGGATTCCTGTGTGCCTGGTCCGATGTTGACGATGGTGGAAGTAGCTATCCAAGGTCGTCTGTTGTCACCCTCCGGCCAAGATCGTCCAAAATTCAGGGTCCAGCTTCATGTGATTTGCCGCTTCGTCATCACATCACCGAGTCTCGCTGAGGAGAGAAGGATTCCGAACGCGCAAAAGGGTCTCACGCGACTTGCCGACTACAAAGAAGCAAAAAAGAAGTCTCCCAACGTGGGGCTCGAACCCACGACATTCAGATGACTCCGAGACAAGCTCGGAAACCCTTGTAGTAAGAGTCTGACGCTCTACCGACTGAGCTAGCCGGGACAGATAAGTTGAAGCCTGGTTCGCATAGTGCGGATATGTATCGCTCACATGGTAGCCCGATTTACTTCGGTTACCTCGCTTACCTCGACTCAGGTCAGCACTCAACAGCATTCATTCAAGCCTCCTGAGCAAGCTTATTCGTCTTAGACGACTATGAGCATTGAACTGAAATGAGCAAATGTGACCAGCACACGGCAGCGAAAAGGAGCGTGAGAAGAACGACTCTGGGAAGAGGAGGAAAAAAGAGTGTGTTGGGAAGGCTCGACAATCGACGCACGTCACGATCAGCTATGCCTCTCGTTGGCGGAACAGCTTGAGCGCAGTTGCGGTGTCGGACGAACCACTGCAGGTACTTGATCTCGAATCTGGTTTAGGACGTTGCCCGGCGGGTAGTACTCGCATACGACATACATAGATGCCTGATCGTTGTCGTTGTAGCCTTGCATAAAGTCTTTGCGCTGTGCAACGGCGCACCCAAGGAACCGGGTATCCTTCCAGACAGCCTGCACCCAGTGACCCGTGCTGCTTCCCATCTGTCGCGTTTTTGCCCAGTCCCGGTCCTCATCGAGAAACGAGTAGATGGCGTTCTTCATGCCTTCCATCGGGTCGCTGTAGCAGGGATCGCCGAGACCCATGGCGATGTTCTCGCCGGACGCGCAGAAGTGGTCCTCGGAATGGCCGTACGCTTTGAGATCGGCCCAGCACGCGGCCATGTTGGCCAGCTCCGTGTTCCACTGCAGTGGGTGCAGACCGTAGCGTGCACGCTCGACGTTGTGTAGGTCAAGGGCGATTTTCGAGACAGGATCGAGCGCTTCAGCAGGGAACGGCTGGGCGAAACGACTGTCCTGGTCGTCGGCTGTGTGTTGGCGTTCAGTGAAAGGGAAGCGGCGATTGCACGTCTCGGCCCTGGCTGGACGAGCGATCGGAGAATTGATCGCTTGGCTGACGGCAAAGTCAGCGGCCCCGGTTGGCGATCGCGTCCACTGCACATGTCCATTTTGGAAGGGTGCCGCGTTGTTGGACGCCTCGCTGTTGCCGCTGATCACGTACTTGAAAACATTCGAAAAGTGGCTGTAGGACGACGAGGACGAAGATGTGGACGACTGCTTGGTCGAGGTGTGGCTGGTCTCTTTGCCGTCCTTGTCCTTGGTCGTGGTGGTGTGCTCCTCTTTGGTATTCGAATGGTGCGAAGTATGACTGGACTTTGTCTCGCTGTGGTGGACGATCTGTTCAGATGGCGAAGGAATGTCACCGTGCTCAGCCTGTCCTTCGCCGGCGCTGCTCTGCGCACGATGTAGCTGAGCGTCGTAGCCGTTGTTGTTGTCAGACGTACGCTGGGAAACTTTGCTGGAGGAATCGGTCGATGACGACGTGGAAGAATCGGAGGACGACGACGATGAGGAGGAGTAAGAAGACGAAGAAGAACGAGAAGACCAGTGCCACGACCAGGAACGACCTTGTCCGTTCTGATCCGATTTGGCTTCGACTTGCAGGTGCTCGTTGCCACCCTTTCCTGGCATGTCGAAAGTCTCGGTCATATCTCTGCCGCCTTGCTGCGCGGAAGCCGACTCCAATTTCTTGATTTGATCTTGCACGACAGAGTTGAGCGTGCCGTTACCATCAGAACAGCCTTGGTCGGAGCGCTTCGCCACCAATCCTCTGCTTACACCGATGTGAGCGTGACGGCGCGAGCGCGAAACATGCCCGGCTGAGACGAAATGAGAAGTACAGAGAGCGAAGAACACCATGGCGACCAGCGCCATGCTGCGAACGGTGCCAAATCGAGTCATCACGGCGACCAACTAGGAGCGAAAGGAACGAATGAAGGGATGAAGAGGTATAGAGGGAACTGGAAGGATGAGGGTCAAGACCAAAGTCGGGTCAGTGCGATGTTGGAGCACTGTTTCGCAGATGTGAATGGTCCGCCACCGCAGCTCGCACAAGTCTTCGATTTCGGCGACCCCTTGGCCCTTTGTCTGCACTTCTTCAAAACAAGCTTCGTCTCGTGGAGAAAGAAGGGGCATAGGCACGTCCCACATTGAGCTGCGTGGTTGCACGGCTCCTTCATGTCGCATCATGGTTGCACAGTCGAACAATGAGCGCAAATTGGTGGGATTGTGGGTGCCTTTGATTGTCGATCAGCTGGCCACAAGTTCTGGCGCGATTTGCACTATTCATTTCCACGACAACGGAAGTGGTGATGCAGGTGGGCGGACAAAGGAGGCGAGATGAGCTGTTGTGATCGAGAGGCGGTCTGTGCTGATGACAGTGTCGAGCTCGGTTGGTGGGCCCCGAGCAGCCAGCGGTCGTGTTGTCGTGCGCACTTCTCGATGCAAGGCTTCACTGTCGCCGATGAGACACCGGCCATAATGTCCACTTTGCGATCAGGCAAGCTCACTTGTGGTGTCGCCTTGCGTGGTGGGCTTTAGCCACCCATTTGTTCTGATTTGCTCCTCGATCCCAGTGACCTTGACGCTAGACGGCCATTCAGCGATACGCAGCCAGCCTCTCGCTCATCGCCAAAGCCGCAGTATGCAAGTTCGAATCCCAGTGAATGAGAAGGGATACAACGCTTATTCTGCGAATCGCTCTATCATTCTAGAAGGAAATATAGCCAAAGCTCGCAGACGACTTTTTCACAGCTGGCTTTCCTCGGCGATCATCGAGTTGGTGATGAAGGTGACATGGATAAGCAGACCCGCTTGCGAGCGAGGCAGCACCGACGAGCCAGCGAAAGTGATTTCCCACCTTCGTAACAGTCTCGAGTCAATCACCAATGTAAGCGGAAGAGGTGGGTCGGACGGCTTCATGTTGCAGTGCAACGGGAAGCTCCGTGGTGACTCTTTATTGTCGACCTGGACCTGTCCACAACTCGACTGCGCTTCACCATCATCTTCCCTCTTTTGGGGAATATCTCACCATCGCACCCTCAGCCATCAACACGTTCCTCCCCAAACAGATCTCTGGAAGCTGCTGACGGACGGACATACGATCGCTCGCCATGCGATTTGAGCAGCTGCTCTTGGTGTGTCTAGCATGCCTGTCTTTGACGGTGCACGCTGCGCCTGCATCGGTCAAAGACCTACATCGCAGCCATGACAGTCACCCCAAGCCCGCACATGATCGCCATCGACCTCGCAAAAACTCTTCCTCACGTCACCGTCGAGCGCTGAACACCGACGAAATCCATGCGGCCGAAGAAGCCTCCCATCTCCTCCCCTCGTACCGCGAAAAGTACGCGGCGGCCGAAGTGGCTCGGCGGGAGCAACTCAAGCTGAAGCTTCACCAGATGCAGGTCGAGGACTCGATCCACATGGCCAAGTATGGAAGTGCGCCGCCCAAGTTTCCGCTCATCACCGTAAGCACTACCCCTCCATCTTTTCCCTCACTCGAAACCCTACTGACAGCTGATTGTCGATGTTGTAGCGCATTGCGAGCACCATCGGGTTGTCTTCTGCCGTATTTAACGTCGTCAACTTCATGTATTCGGCCAAGACGACGGCACTGGCTACGGATCAGTTCAGTGCACCGCCGACGCCGCCTACGTTGATCGATAGCGCCGCGCGCTGGGATGGGAAGGAGTACCGACTTCTGCCTCTGCCTGAGGACAATCCTAAAGATGGCGGTTCTGGCAAGAAGAAACGCAGTCTGCCCAATGCACCCGTGGAAGGGAAGATGGAGAAGCGTTGGGTGGTATCCAGCATCGTCGGTGCGGGTCTAGGTGCAGCCTTTGCTCCCGGCTTCACGGGCGCACTGATGAACAAGAAGCCGGACGTCGACAAGCCTCCCTTCGATCCATACGACGAGAGTATGCTCAAGCCCAAGGATGCGTTTGCTGCAGCTGCGGCGGATTCTAGTCAGCCGTTGCCCGCTGTGCAGTCGACGGGTCCGTCCGAAAGGGTGCCTGCTGCGTCGCCTCCAGAGCTAGGGGCCGTGGTTTTCCCTGGCGAGCCAATCTCAGAACGTAGCTTCGCTGCGGACACTAGACCTGCTCCCAACACCGGCTTTACGGCCCCTGACAACGCGCCTGTCCTGCGCAAACGCTCCCTCTCCCCATCCTCCTTCGACTCCTCCTCCCCCGAAGAGCGCGACCTGCGCAAGCGATTCCTATTCATGGGCGGACCATGGTCCAAAGTCGCCGGCGCCCTAACCGTAGGCAGCGTGGTCCCCCTCCTCTACGAAGGCGTCACCCACGCCCGATGGCGAACATACAATCCTCGCGATCGGGACGTCCTCAAGGACCTCGATGACACGCCAACCTATGGCGCTGTGGGTGTGCCCGGCCGTCAGCCAGGGCAGCTCGCGACGAACGCTATGCCTGGCTACGCGAAGTATCTGACCGAGCTCGAGCAGGGCCAGGCTCAGGCTCAGGGACAGCAGCAGGCCTCGCCGATGGCTGCGGGTTCAAGGCTGGCTACGAACGAAGGCGCAGGCCCAGTGATCGCAAATGCGGAGACAACGTTGAGCGACGCGCAGCCTGTCCTCCGCCGTAGCCTGGACAAGCGTGGGAACCTCATGATGGCCGGTGGGCTGGCCGCGTTCGGTCTCGCCCTCGGGTACGCACAGTCCGCGACGCAGTTCCCCACCGACCGGGACGAGGAGAGAGACGAGCGCAAGCGCAAGCTCAAAAAGGCGCAGGAGGCACAGCAGCAGGCGATGGCACAGCAGCAGGGGATGCAGCAAGGGGCTGGATCGCAGGTCGATCCGCTCGCCGGAATCCCTGTCAAGCCTCTCCCCGATGGCAGTGGTGGTGATCCGCTTGCGGGGATGCCTGTAAAGCCGCTACCAGGTGGTGGTGGTGATGATCCTCTTGCTGGAGTGCCGGTCAGACCGCTGCCTGGCAGCGATGCTGGCTCGGATGACACGAGTGGCAACGCACCAAACAGCGCCGGCCCGACCTCGCCCAATAGCGCAGCTTCGAGTCTCAACGCAGCCGCTGGCCTCCAGACCAACCTCGACACCAGCTCTCCTGTCCTGAAGAAACGCACCGACTCACTCACCAAGCGCACCCCAGGCATGGGTAGCGCGCTCTCCATCGGCGGCACAGCCATGTTCTTCGGCACGCTGGCAGGCAACCTGTTTGTGTCGGCCAAGCAGAAGTCCAAGCCCGTGCCGGTGGTGACGCCCAATGCGGATACCAAGGGACCTATGATTCCGGGTGGAGAGCTGTATACGCAGTTCTTGGAGTCGCGTCGCGGTCCTACGGGTGCGAGTGCGGGTGGTGTCGGGCAGGGTGCCATGGCTGACGTTAGCCGCGTTGCTGCGCCGGTGGCTGCTCCCGCAGCTGCTGCGGTGGGCTCGATGGGTAGTGGTGCGGGCTCAGATCTCACCTGGACACCCACCTCGAATGGCGGCTTCGTTCCCGTTCGCACCGACTCAAGCTCCTCCGACGACACCTCTGCCGATCCGGTGCTCAGAAAGCGACGCGCTTCCCTCCTCAAGCGCGCTCCCCTGGCCTTCGCAGCTGCCGCCGAAGCGGGTGAAGCGAGCGCCATCCTAAGTAAGGCGCCTGCACTGCTTGAGGCGGAGGCTGGTCTCGCCTCTCTCGGTGGGGGTGCCGCCGCTGAAGCTGGTACCGCAGCCAGCGGTGCTGGTCGGCTTAGCGGGCTCAGCTCTGAAGCGGGCGCTCTTTCACGATCCGGTTCCGCTGGTCGCCTGACGCGCTTTGGCAGCGCAGGTCGTGGTGCTGCGGCTGAAGCTGGTGCTGTCGGTCGTGGCGCTGCTGCCACCGAAGCTCTCACTCTAGGTCGCACCGCAGAGGGCGGTCTAGCAGTCTACCGACCCAATCCGGCATCGTGGGGATCGGCCAAGCCTGCCATGATCGAAAACGCCGCTGCGGTCGGCGGCGAGGGCGTACCCGCCACCATCGAGGGCGTCACCAAGGAGAAGGGCAAAGGCATGTCGTGGAAGACAGCTCTGGGTATCGTGTCTGGTGGCGCGGGGGCTAGTATGACTTTCAACGGTCCCGGTTGATCTATCGTTCGCTCTCATCCCCCCAACTTGACCGATAAACACTCGTACGCATTCCACACTTTCGTTTGGTCCTTAACAATCCACTGTCATTCCGTTTGACTGTCTGTCCGTCGTGCTGCATGAGAATCGACCCGCGAGTGAAGAAAGGTAGAGAGGAAACAAGAAAGATGTTGAGCAATTGGGTAGTGTGCATTGACCTTTGGGCTGTTTTACCAAGCCAACACACGACCATTAATATTGCTGTGTCTTCACTATAGGCTAGAATAAAACTTTTTGACCCCATCAAGCTATGAGCCTGCGATCTACGTCCCGAGGGACGAAGAGAGGCTAGCTGGTGAGGCTTCGAAAGAGCCGAGTCGAGGGAGCGAGAGGGGGACAGGCGGGAGACGGGATGGGAGAAAGCTCAAGTTGGACGAACAACGTTGTCAGAGTGCGGAGAGTCGACGAGGGAGTGAGGGGTGGTGCGGTGGATGCGATCGGAGATGCTGGATGTGATGTTGGACAGTGAGACGGCGGAGACGGCACGTAGGCAGGGCTCGGAAAGAACGACTGGAGCCGGGTCGAGAGACGCAGACGTGCACAAGCGGATGTGGTCCCAGACGAGTGCTGATGGTAGCGGTGGACTCTGTCCGACGGCTATGAATCCATCAGGCGATCGAGGTTGCGATGTTCGAGGACGATGATGTTGGTTGAGAGGAAAGGAAGATTGCCACGTCGCTTCTCAACTTTTTTCTTCTCGCCTGTCCAAAAAAGCAAAAAGCCACGCTGCGGCTGCATAAGGCGCTTACGTAATGCTCATCCTCGTCCAATTCGACGAACCTGCACGGCCGACTCCGTTGACGAACCAACTGTTGCTCTCAGCGACGGTCTCCACACAGGAGAGACACACGCCAAGCTGCTTTCGGACGTGGAATGATGCTTCAATAGCGTCTAGGTGTACAAAAGCCGTATGAGACTCTCCTACACACTAGCGGTGTTGGCAGACGCAGCGCGAGCCTTGACCACATCCGCCTGCTTCTCAACCACGCCCTTGACCGCCGTGATGAGCCCCTCCACGCCCTTGGCGCCCTCCGGCTTGACACTGATGACCCTCCTCTCCTTCTCCAAAAGCCCCTCCATCTCCTTCGGCAGCACATCCCTCTCGAAATTGAACTCGGCGCCGGCCTTCTCCAAACTCGATGTCACCGCTTCCGCGAACTTGGCAGGGTGGGCGGTCGAGAGCACGATTTGATGCGCCTTGTCGGTCGACGCGGCGTTGTGAGCCGCCTTGAAGCCGACGGCAGTGTGTGGGTCGACGAGGTACGAGCCCGCCGGGTAGGCAGAGGTTGGCTTGCGGGTGAAGTACTCGAGGACCGTCTCGCGAATTTCGGAGTCCGAGACTCGCTCGGCGGCGAAATCGCGGCGTGCGAGGGCAAGCTGCTGCTCGTTGACCGACATGCTGCCGTGCTGTTTGAGGGACTGCATCCACGATGCAAGCTGCTGACCCGCCGCTTCCTCCTTCTCGGCGTCGGAGCCTGTAGCCGATGACGACTGCGATTCGTACGCAATGTACCAGAGCAGGCGCTCGAAGTTGGACGAGACGAGGATGTCCATAGCAGGCGAGAGGGTGGCACGGACACCGCCCTGCTGGCCGTCGGACGAGCCTTGTGCCACCTCGGTCTGTGCAGAGGAGGTGGATGAAGATGCGCCACTCGACTTTTCGTACCTCCCCGTGGCCCAGAATCGCTGCAAGATGTCGTTCTCGTTGGTAGCAACGACGAGACGCGAGACAGGGAGGCCCATGCGCTTGGCGTAGTATCCAGCGAGGATGTCACCAAAGTTGCCCGTGGGGACGACAAACTCGAGATCCTTGGGGGTGGGTTCGGACTCGGACAGCCCGAGCTGCCTGCGGAACTGGAAGTACGCGGAGAAGTAGTAGACGATCTGAGCGAGAATTCGTGCCCAGTTGATCGAGTTGACGGCGCCGAGGCGGTGCTTGGCGTTGAACTCGGCGTCGGAGAAGAGCGCCTTGACGACGTCCTGGCAGTCGTCGAAGGTGCCTTGCACTGAGACGTTGTGGACGTTTTCGTCGAGCACGGTGGTCATCTGCGCCTCCTGGATGGGGCTCACACGTCCGTCAGGGAAGAGGATGAAGATGGAGATGTCCTCTTTCGATCGGACACCCTGGATGGCCGCACTGCCCGTGTCACCGCTGGTCGCACCGACGATGGTGAGCTTCTCACGCTGCTCCTCGGGCTTGCCCTGATTCCTTCGCTGCAGGAAGTACTCGAAGAGATTGCCGAGCAATTGGAGGGCCACATCCTTGAACGCGAAGGTGGGACCGTGCCACAGCTCGAGACACCATTCCTTGTCGTCGAGACGCACGAGCGGTGTGGTGTCCTGGTGTCGGAAGGTGGCGTATGACTTGTTGATGACCTTCTGAAGATCGGCGGATGGAATGCCTCCCTGTGCTGGGTCCTCGGGAATGTAGAGCGATAGAACACGATGCGAGAGCTCGGAAAAGGAAAGGTTGGCCCATTCGGATTGCCAGTTGGCGGGCAGCTGCGGAACCTGTGCGGGGATAAAGAGACCTCCGTTGGGAGCGAGACCGGTGAGGACGGCCTCCTCGAAGGTGAGACGCTCACTGCCACCTCTTGTGCTGAGGTACTTCATTGTTGTCGCGAGCTGGAGTGCTGTGGGAGGACGAAGGATCGCTGTTCGATGGTGAGGAGAAGAAGATGGCTCGAGTGCTTCTTGGACTGGAAGAAGTCAGAGCACGTTTCATGCAGATGCAGCGTTCAAGTGAGTCACTGTGCGAGCTGGATTTCTTCTTGTTCCACCGTCCAAGGCTGGGTGCCTTTTCTGCCCGAATGTTAGCAGGGCATCACGTGAGAGAATGGATCGCGATTGGAGAAAGATTGATCGAGCCGATGAGGTGCGGTGATTTATTCGGCCACAATTTTCGCTATCGATTTTCTGACATCGTCTCGACCCCGCGAAAGACACCGAAGTGAGATACTGCATCGATCCGGCTGCCAGCTTTGCACATCCGATGGATGATCAACGCAAGATCACAATGGAAGCCGCTTGAGATGCTGATTGTTAGCCTCCGAAAGGCTGAAAGGGACAGTGGGAGCGAGCGTCGAGGCGTGATTGGCGTACAATGGAGATCCTGCGACCGATGCGCACTTCTTCGAGGTGGGGCCGGGATATTCCGACGACTGCATCCGAGTGGTGTCCATATCATGCGCGAGGACATGGACGCTGGCGGTAAATAAGGTTCAAGACCAGGAGTGCGTGGTGCAAGTAGCGGTCGGAACCACAACACCAACACAGCCTCGGTGTTCAGCGGTGTTGAGGCTCCTTTGGGATGCAAAGCACAGCGACCAAACTCCGCCGATTCGACACTCAGCCCGCGAAGGGGGTCAAGATCAAAGACGAGGACTCCCTGTGACACCTAGCAGCTGTTAGCCAACGATGCTGGTGCTACTCTTCTTCAACGAAGTGGAAAGAACAATGAGCAAAGGACGGGGACCATCCGGTCGCGCGGCGTCTAGCCTTAATGAAAGAGCAAAAAGGCTCCGCCGAGGCTCCAAGACTGAAATGGTCCCAACTCCGAATTGAACTCAGCCCGTCGATCCCATGTGATGTTTGCCTTGACTGGCACGATTCCGACAAGTGAAACGGTGAAGACACGATCGCTTTGACGAAGAAGCCGCGCAAGCCGCGCTATCGGTTCTCGATCCCTGCTTGTCATTGTGCACTCATCACTGATCCGAGAACTCATTTCGATCTGAAAAGGGACGATGGCATGCATAGACGAAGCTTCGCGTGTCTCGCTTGCAACAGGCGAGCCAAAGGGAATTTGCAAGCTTCTGAGCACTCTCTCTCTCTCTCTCCGCGGATCAATCGACGGTCTGTACTCGCGTGCTGCAGAAGCTCAAGGCAGACCGCATCCAGAGAGTTCATGTGAGGTGGGGGCAACTGCATTCTGCAGCTCTGTACCTTAGCGTCGAAGGCGGTGCTGGGCCCACATCTGCGTGTGCATTGATGCAAGGGCGCCTTGCTGCACAAGGAGGGCGCTGTGGTGGATCAACCGGGCCTCGGTCTCTTGAATGCACTGCCTAGGATTTCGAGCCTCGTCTGTCAATGTCCATTACGAACGAATCGGGTGCGTTCCGAAGCGGTGAGCTTGACCGCTACAATGGACGGGATGAGCCGAGTGGAATTGCGCCAACGACCGGCTAATCGGCTTGCACGCAACTGCCGTGCTGCGCAGTAAGATCTTTAGAACGTCAAGCTCTCGCAAGCTTAGCGAATCATTGGTCGTGTGAGACGGACATAGAGCCTCGAGGAATTGGATGTCCGAAGGCTTTGAGTGGTGTCCCACAGTGACAGAAAGAGGTGTTGCTCGAAAATTCTGAAGGATTTCACCTTTGCGCTCGGCGTCTCGGTCTGTGCGAGAGCCCACAGCGGAAAGGGAGAAAAGAATGCGGTTGGCCGTCAGTCAATTTCTCTCTGGGCGGGCGCTTGCTTAGCCGTTTCCGTGATCCGCTCGCTGCGCAGCGTCCTTATTCGCCTTTAACGTGCCTAGGGCCGCTGCTCGAGCCAACTGCTTTGCGGAGTGTCACACTCGCTCAGCCAAGTCACCTTAGCTTGGCTTCTCGGAACTTCCTCGGCTCAGCTCAGCTTCTCCTCCGTTTCATTATCGCCATCATCATCTCTCGCTCGACCGACACCACCGCGCTCCACCCACCAGGCTCGTACATAGTTCAAGCAAGCTGCACAACTCAACTCGGCCGTGCCGCGATCGCCCTTTGCCCTTCACTCACACGCTCAGCGTTCCGACGGAGATTCCGACGACTTCGTTGCCTGTATCACATCCTTCGGGTCTGCCGCTTCGCTCAGCAACCGACGTCTTTCGGACTGGCTCCGACCACGGTCTTTCACACGTCTCATCTGCTCGCATCAGCGTCGCTCTGGACACCAGCTCACGCCTTACTTCGAAGCTCGTAATCCGACGGGGCCCCTTCTGACTCCTGTCATCTCGGTGTCATACTCGACGAGCCTGTTCAGCGCACCACTTTGGCTCGCTCCCACCGCCAGCTCGATACACGCAGGCTCGCACTCTCTCCGTCTCCCACGCTCCTTTCGGCATCGCCCTTCGGCCCTTACCACCATGCCGGACTCGACAGAAGCCCAAACGCTCAAGTCGCCGACCGCGCCTAGTCAGCGTCCCGAGGTGTGTGGTCCTCACGCACCAGAGCGCCCCTACCCCATCTACCTTCGAGGCAACGTCGAGAAGGGTTTCGGTCGTGGCTCGAAGGATCTCGGGTGTCCCACTGCCAATTTGCCCTCGAAAGTCGTTGAGCCAGGTTCCTCGTTGTCCCGCAACGGCGTCTACTTTGGCTATGCGCGTGTTCTTCCGCAGGATGAAGATGATCCGTCGCTCACCGACTCTGATGACGTTGATCCCACATCTGCAGGCATTGACGATGAGGACAACGAGGTGGTCCTCGGCGCCAGTCCCATCGGGGATGAAGGTTTCCTCAACAGCTCGTCCTTGCCGAGGTCGCGCCACAACAGCCGCGGTCAACCTAGCCCAGCAGCCGTCCTCGAAGCAGGCAGGAGGGATAAGGAGGACGAAGTGAGCCGCGCAGAAGCCTCACACGCACAATCGGGCTCCTCCTCATCCACATCAAGCCGCCTCACCGCCGGTCGCAGGAAAAAGACCAAACGCATACCTCTGCGAGCCGAAGACTCCAAGGTCTTTCCCATGGTCATGTCCGTCGGCTGGAACCCGTTCTACAAGAACACCCGCAAAACAGCAGAGGTCCACATCCTCCACGACTTTGCCGCCGATTTCTACGGGTTGGAAATCCGAGTTGTCGTACTGGGGTATGTGAGACCAGAGTACAATTATGATACCATGGAGGCGTTGATTGAGGACATCGAGATGGATAAGAAGGTGACGGTGAATAGTCTGGCCAGGCCGCTGTATCAGGATTATGCGCAGGATCCGTTCCTCGGTCGTTGACCAGCATCACTCCTCCCTCGTATCCTCTCGTTCTTTGTACTGCTTCCACTTGGGTTGTCGTGCTATTACTGCACGTCTTGTCATTCAATAGGTTCTACTGTATCAGTCTGGGTCTTGGTGTGCGCGGCTGTTGATCCCGAGTTGCGCTGTTATCTCTGCTTGAGGTTCTTGACTCGCTCACTTTGATCAAAATAGGTTCACTTCATCTTGCTTGCGACAGACTTTTCCGACCTCGCTCTCAACAGACAGACTCGATCTCGCTTGCAACAGACGAACCAAGACGGTGACATTTCGAAAGACCTTGCTCGGTATCATTCAGGTCGCTACACTTGAGCCGGGAGATGGATGTCCTCCGACAGCTTGGCGATCTGTTCCCTAGCGACTGAAAACGCGCGCTCGAGATCGCGGTAGAAGAGCGTGCTCCGTTCGGGCAGCTTGCCGTCAAAGCGATATCCGCATCGGGGACACACCTTCATCGCGGCTCGCTTGAACTCACCGCAACCCAGCTGACCAATGTCGACGATGCGTAGGACGTATGCGTTGGGGCCGTAGTTGCGGTGCAGGCTGCGCACAGGCTCTTGGGTGTCGTCAATGATCGCGTGCTGGTGCTCGAGAGGCTGTTCGAGCTGTGAATCCGCGTCGCCCTCCGAGTCGGAATCCTGACGCTGGTGGTCGTCTAGCTCGCCGTCATCATCGCTGCGAGTGCTGTCGACGTCCATACCGTGTTCACCGCGCCCGTCCGAGCCCTCCGAAGAAGTGTCCGAGGCGGTCTCGACATCGATATACCTCGTGCCTTGCTTCATCATGCTGAGCGGCACGGTGAGCAAGAAAATTTCCCAGCTGTCTGTGTTGCATGTCTGACATGTCGAGTCGCGTCGGAATTTGTCGGACCATCGCGTAAGCAGGGAGTTGATAGCGACCATGCGCTCAAGGTGGAGACGATAGACGCTCGCCATGATGTTGCCGCCGATGCGTTGCCTGTCTTCCTCGCTCAACAAGCCCCAGTCGGCTCCCAATGTGAGGCGAGCGCAGCTCTTGAGGACCTCAGGAGTTCGGAATAAGGCGCCAGCGTTGACGAAGTCCGCGAGAGCAGAGAACGGGTTCCAACCCCGGATCTCGTGCGGATGGTCGAAGCAGTCCATGAGCTCGGCAAGGAAGCTTTCAAAGGCCTGTTGGCGCACGTAGCACAAGACGTCTCGTCAGATGTCAGCTTGAATGACGAAGGCTGTGCAGACGGGACAGGAAACTCACGTTGAGCACGTCGTCGTTGTGCGGGGCCGCTCGGGCCGTCAAGGGGTAGAGTTCAAACTACAAAACACCAGTTGCGATCGAAGAGAAGGTTAGCAGCCGTAGCCGAGCATGCAACGTGAATAGCGATGCGGAGACTTACCAGCTTGGTGAAAGATTTGCTCTTGTCCTGCGTGAAGTTCTTCAGCTGTCTTCTTGGCGTGTTGATGGTGTTGCGTTGGTCGTAGCGAATAAAGTCTTTAAATTCCTTTCGTAGATCTGAACGGCGAACGCCGTCAAGCAGCGTGGCGAAAAAGTCTTTCACCTCATCTTCGCCTTCGACAGCCTTTTGCTTCCCCTTCTTTGATGGCCTCACCGAGTCCGGGTCGGCATCCGCCTGTGAAGCAGCCTCAGCGGCTCGAGCAAGGCTGGCAAGAAGATCAGCCTCGTCCTCGCTCATGGGGTGAGCGCTTGTGTCGCTCGTCACTGCAATATCGCTTCCCGCATCCACGTCGCTAAGAGCACCCGCGCCGTCTGCGTCATTGATGCTCGAAGTCCCATCTCCGCCGTCCGCCTCGTCGCTGCCGGACGAGTAGCCTTGCAGTCGGGACAGACTGTCCAGCTGAGTGACAACGTCCGCCTCAGATGCCGCAGAGTCATCCTCTGAAGCTGGTTCTTCAGCCTCACTGTCAGAGTACGCGAGTGGGAGAGGTTGAGAGAGGACGACAGACGAGCGCGTTGGTCGGGCTGAGGACGCCGGCGGTGGAGAAGCTGTCGAGCGCGGCGGGCGTTGCAAGGGCTGCGAGTAGGGCGAGTGCCGCGCCGCGCTCTTCTGCGAGACCTGAGTCGAGCGAGCCATGGCGGGGCTTGTTATCGTGAGCCGAGCTACTTGTCGCTGCTGGTGGATCAAGAAAGAGTCGGAGAAAGATCGAGGTGGTTTATATCGGGTCGTGGACTCGAGCGCGACGGCTCTCCAGCCGCGTTCTTGCCCTCTTGCGCCGTTTCCCCCCTTTCGAAGCGCCACATGTGACAGAACGAGAGTCGATCCACCTCTTGCAGCGTGACTTCTCGAAGGAGCCGAAGGAGAATGATTGGCTCAGTCATAGCCGTGGAAATGAACTGCACCGTGCACAATTGCGCTGTGGAGGCTGTTCTGCCTTCTGGTGCCCCATTTTCTTGGACCACGCGACAGAGTGCGCGTGAAGCCAAAAGATTCCCTTTCCACGATGGAAAGACGCTTTGGCGCAGTCACTCATGGCTACGCGCACGGCCAAGGACTTTTTCGGTGCTGTCACGGTGTTGATTCGGTCGACTTCATGGCGGTTCGTTGCAACGTGCTTATCGTGATGAAAGGGACTGCGCAGGTGGGACGGTTCGAAGGCGAGTCCAGACTTGTGCGTGCGAAACTGTGGGCTGAACCTTGACTTGTATTTCTGTGCAGCAGAAGACATGGACGATTTTGCTATTCCATTGGATTTGTTCGTCCGGCCTGTAGGCAAAAGCGAATGGGTGAGGGGGGCGTGAGAAGAACGGAGATACGGCGATCAGCGTTTGTGTCGGCAGGCGAGTGATTGCAAGAGAGGGACTACGTACCTGTTCATCGTCGTCCTTGTCGCGGCTGCAACCACACAGCAGCTCCGTCCACCAGGGCTTGCGGCGCTCATCCGCTTCATCGTCAGATTCAGCTTGTCGAGCCACCCGCATCTTTCGAGCGCTGTTCTTCATGCTGCGTCCGACCGTCTCGATCCAATCATCCTCCTGCGAGATGCCGAGCTCTCTGAACTTGGAGCTGCTAGTCGACGATCGCGCTCGTGATTGTGCCGGTCGGTTCCACGTGTCCATACCACTCTCGCCCAAGTCGCCATTCGCGTCGGGTCGTACCTCACGTCTGCCATCAAACTCCATGGTCACCTCTTCATCGAGACCTCCCTGGTGGATGGTGGTTGTAGTCGTTCCGCTGCGACTATCCTGAGTTGACGCGAATGGATTGCTGCCTGCTGCATCGGATCCGTATGAAATGTCTTCTGTATCCTCGGCTTCGGTGTCGGTCGCCACGATGGTAGGCATGGAACGTTCTTTGCCCTTGCCTTTGCTGTTCTTGTAGCTCGCTTCCAAGGCTTGGCGCTGAATGCTGGATGCGCGCCCCACAGTGACAATCGGGCGTGATGCTGTCGGAGTCGGCTTGAGTGAAGATCGCTTGGGGTACGAGTCCGTCGTCGCAATAGCGTCCGACGGATCGCGGAAAGGGTCGTGAGCACTACCATTGGCGCGCAAACCCAAGCCCTGTGTGGATCCTTCGCTTTCGCGGCTCGACTCCTTGGTGTGCGTGGTGGAGGAGACTCGCGAGCCAATGGGCGGTAGCTTTCGGTTCGGACGATGCTCATCTGATGTCAAAGAGCCCAACGACTGCGCACTGTCGAGGGAGGACGAGCTTGCTGAGCGACCTCGTGTGGCACCTACTGTCAAAGAGGCCACTCCTTCTCTCCGTGTAGTCGAGTCGCGGTTCGAATTGTAAGGTGCTTTCGGGCTCGAAGCTGCTTCATCGGCGAGTCGTTCGGAGGAGGGACCAGAGCCCAAATTATTGGTCTTGGTAGACGAGCCAGCGGGGCGAAGCATCGAGAATCGATGAGCTAAGCCGCCGCCGCCACCTGGCCCGGTAGAGACGCGATTGGCAGCAATCTTAGAGGTGCGTTGTGCTTTGCGCCTCTGACGCTCTTCATTTGCCCAGCGTTCCAGGTTGTTTTGCACGCGCTTGGCCTCTGAGTCCTCTTCGCTGGTGGGTGGATAGGTGGAGGGCGAGTATGCCGAGTCGAGATCGGGTGAGTCAAGCTGGCCACGCTCCTGATAGAGATGTGGTGTGCTGTGCTGAAGGTACCCGTTGGCGGATGAGTTGTAGGCGTCAGCGTACTTGTGTGAAGACGAGCCTGCTGCGCTGGTCTCGTCGATGGGACTGAGCTTCTGGTGATCGGCATCGACAGTGAGACCATTGCTGGGCTGCTTGGCTTTGTGCGAGAGGTTCGAGGTGGTGATGGGCCTGATGGAGCTGGATGCCGTGTCGAAGCTGTAGTCTGGCTCTGCATACGTCGAAGAGGATGCTTTTGCGGATGACCTTGGCGCGAGAAGCTCAGCCTCTGGATCTTCGGTCATGGTAGAGGCAAATGAGACCTCGGAGAACCCGGAGAGATCTGGATCGCGCGCGGCGTGAAGGCCATTGACTTGGCCAAGAGGAGTAGCGCTCATGTCGACCTGAGTCATCGTCGCTGATAAGCTAGGATTGATGCGAGGATGCGGTCCGTGGGCGGCTAAAGATCATAGGAGTATCGGAAGTCACCGATTACAGACGGGCGAGCTTGTGAGCGCCGCTTTTGAGAGTGTCTGCAGGTTTTCAAGGAAAGGCTAGCACATTGATGCGAAATCGAAACGGTTCTCGATGCTCTAGCGGTGCCAGTTCGGTGAAAGTTGCTGTTGGTGAGGACAAACGTCGGCAAAGGGATATAGATGCAGCAGGTGGTACTGAAGAATGCAGTCGGGGAAGCACGAGCAGAATGCTGAAGGTGAGTTAGAGTGGTGAGGATGTAAGGTTGAGTTGGACAACGTTGGCGAGTGGCCGAGGCGTGGCAGGTGCGACACTTCAAAAGAGAGGACCCGGCTCCGCGGCCTCTGGTTGCCAGAAGAGACAAAAGGGCAGGAAAGCGCTGTGCTGTTGCATTGGGGTATTTTTGGCTCCAGCTCGCGTAGCTGCATGCAACATGGACCCGGCTACTCTTAGGCTGGAAGTTGCATTTTCAAAAATGGAGAAGGAGGCGTCAACGATGCTACTGATGCTGAGAGACCGTCAGGGGTTGGCGCGGGGATGGAGCAGAGGAGAGGCACGGAGGGAGACAGCGCCCTGGGGTTGCCAATTTTGGCGAGATTTGAAATTGGCTCTGATCATCAGGTTGTCTCTCTTTTGACACAGAAGGATTTCATGCTTGACAGACAGACTTGCTTGGCTCGGGGGAAGTTCGAGTTGACCGTGCAGAAGGAGCAGCCTCTTGGCGGTGACGATGGAAGCATCGCGAACCCTGACGGTGACCCTTCATGCGGCCATCTCCTTGTCAACGCAATCCGCCGCCCCACATCCGCTAAGTCTTCTTGACGAGGAGCTGGGATCTGCGCGGGCAGCGTGATCTCTGCCTGCCGTTCGGGCACATCGACTCGTCTGGAGACTATCAGTCTATCGCCGACGAAAGCAAGTCTTGCCCTGCAAGTCAAATGAGATCAGGCCATCTGCATAACCTTGTTGCCGAAGCTTGTCAGCAGCGAGGCCGTCGCAAGCAGGCTTCATGGCTGCTCAGCCTCGATTTTGGCGTGCAAAAACAAGAAATGAAGAGCTAGCTTAACAATTTGGAATATTTTGACGCTCGGCAGACGCGTCCAAAGACACAGGGTGCTGCACCTCTGTCCAAAACACGCTTTTTCGAGATGCACGCCAGGTGACCGAGGCTCTGTTGCCTCACGCGACGGAATCGGCATCACTCCTTCTCAGAGGTATCACATTCGATACGATCACATTCACACCTACGCCTCGTCTGCCATCCGTGTCGTCGGCTGTCATCCGAACGCGGACTAAGCAGCATCATCATCCTCCTCGTTATCAAGCCCTGGTTGCATCCCTCGCTCGGGCCTACTTCTACATTCTCGTCACTCTGTCTGCCTCGGCTACCACGGCGCATCCGACAAACACAGGCGTAGCAACATCGATCACGGCATCCTTGATCAGGCGCACAATCTGTCTGCTTGACACATCATAGAAGAAACGGTGCTAGCAGCCAAGACCGATCCCCATACTCTTATCACATACACAGATGCTGCGCGCCACGTCCACATCGTCACCACCATCCACCGTGCACATCTGATTGAAGCAGCATGCCCACCACATCTCGTCGATCGACGCGGCTCAGTATATCGGATGATAGCGATGTTCGTGCCGCGTCCAGCTCAACAAAGCGAAAAGCGGTCTCTTCCTCTTCTGCATCCTCTTCCACTCGCTCCTCTGCTGCGTCTTCGGGCGTTATTCCAACCGTAGCTGCGCGCAATGCCTCCAAGAAAACAACAGACAGAAAGGAACGTCGTCTCGAGGATCTCCTGGACGATACGCTTGCCGGCGATGATACTCGCAGGCTAGATATCAGCATGAGCGCATTCCAGCCGGTCAAAGCAACGACATCTGCGAGAGCGAGAGAAGACGCGGAGGCAGCGGCTCGCAAACTCAAGTCGGCAACAAGTCGGCGTGAAGAACCATCAAAGACAAAACGAAAGCTTCGTCAAAGTAAGTCTTCCCCTACATCACGCCGCCATCCCTCGACTGCTGCGGATTCTGACACGTATTCGCATCTCTTCCGCTCTACAGCCTTAGGAGACGAATCGGATGACGACTTCGTCTTCAGCCGTGAACCTGCTCGCAAGAACGCAACTGTAGCTTCGTCTTCATCCTCATCAGCAGCCGCTCGCTCAAGAGCGCAACCCAATGCCGCTTCGACAGCCTCATCCAACCGAACCGTCTTCGAGCCACTGCCGGATGAAGCCGGAGGTGAGACACCCATCATCCGCCGAAATCAGGCTTTCCGTGCTGGTCTCGAGAACAAGCCGCGGCGTCCGACGGGTCGCGAAGCCGAGCAACAGTCCCGCCGCACCAGTCTCACCCTCAAAGGTCAACGGCGTGTCTCGTCACTCCGCGATGGAACCATCGCCCATCCACACGTCGACGTACCAGACTACGAGCTCTTCCGGCACTGCAGTGATCAGCTACCGCCCGTCGTACGCATGAAGCATCTTGTTGGCTGGATACTCAAACGATCGCTCGACATTGCCATTGGCAAAAGCGAACTGCCTGTCCGTCCTCGTGACGCCGCCAAGAAGTCGAAGGGCAAAGGCAAGGAGCCCTACGAGCTTCCCGTGTTCAGCGAGGTCGAATTGGAGCTCATCCGAAAGAGGGATTCGGAATTGTCTGCCGTGCTCGAGCAGCTTCTCACCGATCTCAACGAAGGCGCCTTTGGCATCAGCTGGATGGGTCAAAACGACGAGTCGGACAACAAGCATAGGCAGCCGCATCCTCGAAACGAGTCCAACCGCAAAGCCGCTGCTCAACTGTCGGCTGTCGTCGATGCTATGCGCAGCGAGTCGCAAGCCTGGAGCAAGGAGCTCACAAGACTAGAAGATTACGAGGCCGAGACGGCTAGACTAGAAGCGATCTTGCAGGAGGACGGCACAGCAGAGTCAGCTGATGTGATCGCATGGGATCGTCAAGACTTGGACGAGGCTGGGCTGCAACAACTGCGTGACGCCGAGGCCGCAGTCGAATGGCTGCAACGCTTGAAAGGAGACGGCACCACGGAAGCCGTCAAGCCCAAATCTCGCTCCAAGGGCCGCACGTCTAAAGCAGCCAATGCACGCTCGGATGACGAGGCCGATCTCAAGGGCACGGAGCATGATCCGCGATGGAACGATGTCGAGTTCAACGTCGATCTGCTGCGCTCACAGTCGCATCAATTCGCTCAACTCGAGTCGCTCGCCAGTCGATACGTCCGCACCGTCTCCGCACACGCCGCCCAAGCACTGCGCGATCGCACCTCGTCCAGCAGCGCCATCGCCACCTCTTCCTCCAGCGCCAAGGGAGGTCGTCGCAAGACCGCTGCCGGGTCCAAGAACGGTCGAGGCGGCAACGAGCGTCTCGAGGTGCTGCTCAGTGGTGTCCGCGAATCGCGTGCCATTCCCCAGCCTGGAGCGGACGGCCGACCTATCAATGCCGCCGATCAGAGCATGGCCGATGTCAGCGCGAGCATGGCACAGGTCGAGCCGGACGAGAGCGACCCGCTCGACATCCTTCGCGCGCTTGCGCGTGTGTAGTCTGCTTTCCCTTTGTACCATCAGAATACCATCTTTGCTTTTTGCTCCTGGATTCGTTCCGCGAGTGTTCGTGTGCTGCGTCGTGATCATGCGCTGCTCTTTCAAATGAGGGCGAGTGGTCGACCGCGCCTGCGCGAAGCATCGCGCCAGACAGCACAATGCTGATGAAGAAGTGCGAGCGATAGCATTGCATGCCTGAGCGGTCAAGAGAGGTCAACATGGAGCCGAGTTGGCGATCAACCTCGCTGGGCGACCTTTGGCTCCCATGCGTTCTGCAGAGAGAGAGGGAACGAGAGCAAGCGCAGGGTGTATCCGGGTCAGCGCAAGCGTCGAAGTGTATCGTGTACTGGTGGATAACGGGAACTTACGATCTTGGGCTTGACGGTGTTGTAGGTCTTGAAGGAGCCGCGCGAGCCTGTGATGTTTTCTCGTGGTGCCTGTTTTGTTGAACCCCAAGCCTCTCTGATCAGTAACTCGTTCTCATCATCGTTCTCCGCCCTGGTGCGCAGCACTTACGGTCATCCAGGACTGGGTCATCTTCTGAATGCCTGCGTCCTCGTGAGGCGGATCCTTGCGGATGTGGTGCAACCACGAGTGCCACAACGGATCGACTTGGGAAGCGTTAAACTCGTTGTCCGCCACGTAGTCCACCCATCGATGCCTCAGGTTGAACTCGTTGTGGTTCTCGTAGAACTTGTTGCCGTTCCTACATTTGAACCCCCAAAAAGTCAGCGATTCGATCCACGAGCTTAGCAAAGAGAGGAAACGGGAACCTACCTGTCGATGCCGACGAGACGACCGGTCTTGGCATCACCAATGTAGTTGAGGTCGCGCCAGAACTTGCGCAGGCCGTCCTTGCGGATAGCATTGATCGTGCGTGCGAGCGACATCTTGAACCTTGCTCGATGCGATAAGGGGCGATGATGACGAGGGGGGCCAACAGAAGGTGTTGTGTGGAAATGGCGCGAAATGCGATGGCGGTTGGGCGCCCGAGTCGGAAGCGAATTTCGAATCGCGCCGATCCAGTCGAGGAAGTGCGGATCGGACAGATTTGACGCAGCTCGTAATTGCGCACCTGTCAAAGCAGGAAAGGCGCACGGCCGCTGCGTCATTCTTTACCCCGCACCATGAAGCTGGCTTCGATTGAGATGCCGAGGACCCCAAGAATGGGTCATGCCACCTTTGGAAGGGCATGATTTGCTCTTAGATGCGGTAGCGGACCCGCTAGGCAGCATCGCCCATCCAGAGTCGACCTCGTACCGGCGCGTTTCCTTCTCAACCACCACCCTTTCTCATTTCATTGAACGCACCTCCCTTCTAAACACTCCACCCCATCCATCCATCAACCATGTCAAGCAACGGCACCAATGGCAACACTTCCTCGGAAGCCTCGCGCCTCAAAGACCCTTCGCTGTTCAGCACCAAGATCGTCATCGGCTCGCAACGACTCGATTCGCACTCGGGTAAGACCTTCGATGTTGTCTACCCGGGCGACCGCAAAGTCATTGTGGCCACAATTCCCGAGTGCAACACCCAAGACGTGAACGATGCGGTCTCATCGTGCCTCTCTACCTTTAAAGAGTTCTCGCAGACGACCGCACGCCAGCGCTCCGACCTGCTGCGCAAGCTCAACGACCTTACTCTCGCCAACATCGACGACCTCGCCACGCTCATCGTGCGTGAAAACGGAAAGACGCGTGCCGAGGCGGAGGCGGAGGTCAAGTACGCCGCGTCGTTCCTGAGCTGGTTTGCGAACATGGCCGAGGTAGGGTGCCAGGGGGAGACGATCGCCGCCGCCAACCCAAGTATGCGGATTCAGACGATCCGACAGCCGATTGGGGTGGTGGCGTGTTTGCTGCCGTGGAACCTGCCGTTGGCGATGGCAACCCGAAAGATTGGTCCGGCGCTTGCGGCTGGCTGTACTTGCATCGTCAAGCCCGCAGGCGAGACGCCGCTGTCCACCCTCGCCTTTGCCGAGCTCGTCAAGCGTGCCGGCTACCCAGATGGCTGCGTCAACGTCGTCACCACCCTCGACAACGTCGCCGAAGTCGGCAAGGCGATCTGCGAGCACAAGCACGTGCGCAAGGTCTCGCTCACCGGCTCCACCCGCGTCGGCAAGCTCATCGCCCAACAATCCGCTAGCACGCTCAAGAAGCTCTCCATGGAACTGGGCGGCAACTCACCCGTCATCGTCATGAACGACGCTACCATCGACAAGGCCATCACCGGCGTGCTGCTCGCCAAGCTACGCACCTCGGGTCAAACGTGCGTCGCCGCCAACCGCATCCTCGTCCAATCCGGCATCCATGATAAATTTTTGGAGGCGTTGAAGGAGAAGATCAAGACGTACAAGCAGGGTGATGGCGAGGATTCGTCGACCATGCTCGGCCCGCTGATCACCGATAGGGCGGTGGAGAAGTGTCGTGCGCATGTCGCGGATGCTCTGGAAAAGGGGGCGGAGCTGTACTACGGTCCCCAACCGCCCAGCAGCTTCCCGGATGAAGGAGGTTTCTTCTACCCGCCAACCATCCTGACCGGGTTGAGCGACGATATGCAGATTGCCACAGAGGAGACTTTCGGCCCCGTCGCCGCGATTCGCAAATTCGAGACCGAAGAAGAGGCCCTGGAGATCGCGAACAACTCGGACGTGGGTCTCGGCGCCTATGTCTACACGAATGACCTCAGGGTCGCAGCAAGGATGTCCGCAGGCATTGAGACGGGTATGATCGGGATCAACACCGGCATGCTCAGTGCCTGCGAGGCTCCATTTGGCGGAGTCAAGGAGAGCGGGTACGGTAAGGAGGGAAGCATTCACGGCATGGCCGAGTACCAGATCATGAAGTCCATCACTACGGATGTCTCGGGTTAGATTTGAATCGGAATTTCGCTGCAATTCAATGCCTCGAAGTTATCATCAAGCAGGCGAGAAGACGGACGGATGATGCAGGAAAGTCTTCAAATGATGCAGAGACGTGATACAAGTACAAATGAGTGCACGACGCCTGGAGGCAGGAGCCGCAGCGAGACGTGCTTGACGATAATAAAGATGCGGAACCCATTACTAAAGCGAACAATAGATTATAGCTGAAAAAGAGAGGTGTGTAGATAACGAAGAGGATCGATGTCAACGTTCTTTACGCCGACGGACTGCCAAACGGTGTCTCGATCTCGGCCAGCTTGCCGCGAGGACGGAAGCCCTCCCTCGCCGAGCCAGGTCCGTGGTGCCAGCCGCTGACAGGGCTGCTTGCCCGCGACGGCGGTGCCCAGGGCGGTGGCGGGACGTTGGCGTCCGTGTTCTCCACCCAGGCACCGGGAGCAGTGGGCACGCCTTCGAGCAGACGCTGTTCTGCCTCGGTGAGCTCCTCGGTGGTGCGACCGCAATTGCAAGTTGCATGCGAGGTGCCGGTGCGATCGGGCAGGTAGCTGACTGCCCACGGCACGTTGTCCGGAAGCGACCTCGGCGTCGAATAGCCGTGGTTGCGGTTGCTTCCGTTCTGGTCAATGTGGCCGGCAGAAGCTGGCGTGAGAGCATGCAAACCGATGCTGCTGAGGCCATTGCCAGATCTGCCGCGATTGTTGCGTGTTGGACTCGAGTTGCGGCTCTTACGACCGGACGCAGTAAAGTGCGAGGCAAAGCCGTGTCGTGTAGGCGAGGTATCACGCGAGCCGGCGCGAGAGTTAGCGGCCGAGTTGAGGGCGGAGCTGAATGCTGAGCTTCCACGCGAGCCAGGCAGCGTGTGATTGAGCGTGGTAGTGCGCTTCCAGTGCTCAAGCTCAGGATGCGAATTGCGCAAAGAGCCCGGCGTCGAGGGGGTCGGAGATGATGGCCTGGAGTTGACGGGCGACTCGAGCGAGTAGGGCGGCAGATGGATGGTATCGAAAGTGCAGCAGCAAGACGGGATGGTCGTCGCTCTTCGCATGGAAAAGACTTGCACCTTGGGCTTGCCAAAGCTGTCGCTCTCCTCTCTTGTGTCCAAAACATCCTTACGAGAGAAGAAGACCTCGGCGCCCATCTCGTGACTGACGCGGATCTCGGCGCGAGAGCCTCGAACGGTGCTGGGCCGGAGGATGTTGTCGTCAGGTAGGCGCACCACCGACTTGATTCGGTAGCCATTGTCGTACTGCATGGGGGTCACTGGCTCCATAGGGGTGACAGGCGCCGAGACGGATCCGTTGAGTGGCAAGCCAAAGGGTGACAGGTTGGCAGGTCCAGGTCCCGCTCCTCGACCAGGTCGACCCGCTGCACCGTTCTCCATGTCTCCGATCCATATCGAGTCTTCGGGTCCCACGGAATCGTTGTGCTGCTTGGCCTTGTACGGCATGTAGCCCTTTTCCCAGAGACGCAGCTTCTCGGTGGGAAGCTTGAGCCAGCCTTTACGCACTTCACTGTACAGCTCGAAGGTCTGCTCGAGGAAGACGCGGATGACGTGGACGTTGAGTCCTGCGGGCGGGTCTGGGTGGTAGAGATTGAGGTTCGCAGTGCCTCCTACTGTGAGAGATGCTGAAGTGAGGGATACGGAAAGCGGTCCGAGAGCTTCGTGTACGTCGTGGTACTGGATATCGAGTGGCGCCGGACCGCCGTCCGAGGTGACGTGGAGGATGATGAAGATCTCCTTCCAGGTGGAGATATTGTTCCGCGCACGGCCCGCACCGAGAGCAGTTGCGGTGAGAATGTAGCGAACGCGGCCGTGCTTGCTACGCTCGAAGGGCGGGATCGAAGCGGGAATGATGAAGGCGAACTCGAAGCCGTGGATGCCCTTGTCGAGATGGAGGCCATCGGAGACGGCGCAGTTCTTTTCCTTTTCCTTGCCCTTGGAGCGTGATGGACGGACTGGTATGGCGCCTGCTGTACCGTCGTTCATGATCTCTACCGTCTTTTCCATGATGACCTTCTCCTCCCATCGTATTGAAGAGACGGACGAGGAAGCATTCTCGGGGATAGCTAGCGTCTGTACGCCCTGCAGCACCACCTTTACGCCTTGGATATGACGCTCGCTAGGACACTTGATCTCGACGAGACCGCGAAGGGTCTTGTCATCGCCGGGGAACTCGGAGTTGGGCGGTGGTGGGTGGATGAAGATGTCCTGCGAGACGAGATGCAGCGATATCTCGCAAGGATGATGTACGATGGAGCTGAACATGCTGACTAGTGGGCTTGACGACGAGGAGGAGAGGGTAAGAGGGCGCCCTCTTGGTGCGCCGTCGAGGCAATGGTTGACGCCAGGCTTGAGGGAAGACGCGCTTGACGAGAGACGACGAGTGTATCGATGTTGCTTGAACCGTGAAGTGATTGCAGAGCGTTACTGTTGAAATTGCTCGATGGACGAAAGAGAGAAGGATGGAGGGCAGATGTGTGGTGTGACAAGATGAGGTGGAGTTGCAACACCAAAAAGTCGTGACTGAGCGTTTTGTGAACGGCTGTTTCCGAGCCGCTTTGTGCCTAGCTGCTGTGCTTGGTGGCACTTTGTTGACTGTTGGCTCAGCAAAGCTGCATGCAAGAAGCGGGAGTGGTCCGATAAGGTTTTTTGTTTGACTCGGTGGGACCGATTGCGTTTGGCGGAGTTTGGTGAGACGTACAAAAGGCGAAGGAAGGCACCATCGATCTTCTCCCAGTCTGATCGCGGTCTGATCTCCAAAAATTAGCCGTCGGCGCATGAGTTTTCTATTTTTATTAATTGATGCAAATTTTCCGATTTGGCTGCTTCCGTCTTTTGCTGGCTGCCTCGGAGACTGAGACGATCTGCGAACGAACAAACTGCGGGATAAATTATAGGGTCAAAATCTTCAGAAGCGAATCCAAGACAGCGGCAGGTGACAGCAAGCGAGCGAGAGGTCGTGAGCTAAATTTCCTTCGGATCCACCGGACGGCCAAATTTTCGGCTGAACGTCACACCAACGCTGTTCGTTATCTTTCTCGGATCAGCAGCTGAGCTCAGCTGCGTGCTTGCGGTGGGTTCAGGATGTCGGATCATGACAGCCTTCGAATCGCGTGACATCTGCAAGGGATGGACCGAGATTGGGCCTGGTCACAACGGCGTAGCCAACGCCCTGCCGTGCTTCTGGCCACTTCTATTCAGGGGCGGCCAGTGATCCTTGCCGCGCGGCCGGAGATCACCGCGAGTGTCGGCAACTTTGTTCTTGTTTCGGCTTGGCCTCTTTTCCTTGGGACCTAGAAAAGATCTTCTGATCGCCATACAGTAGATCTCGTCCCGTAAGCGAAATGTCAATCGGCGAATTTCGAGCTAGCCATTCGGCGAATTTCAAGGGTTCTAGATCCCCTCTCCCGCAAGCCAGCGCCCTCGCCTACAAACACACACGATAGCATCGAGCGGCTCGTGATGCTCTGGCCTGCGGAACACATTGCTCTCTTAGCCACTGCTTCATTCGACAGGTCAAAGTTCATCGATCGCGGGTTCCACGTGATAGAGGCCCGGAGCTACGCCTTTACACTTTGACCGTATCGGCAGCGGGCAGCGGGAATCGAGATGTGTCCACCACTTCCAAGGCGATCGTCTTTGTCTCTCGGTAGGGCGGTACCTCAACATAAACTCCATCTGCAGGTGGCACTTCCTCTTTGATCTTGACATCGGTGTGGCTGTCTCCGTTTGACTGCTTCCCGGCACTACCAGCCTGGAGATGTTGCACCAGCCGTCGAAGATTCTTGAGAATGCGTGCCTTATCGTCGAGGAAGTGTGTCGTGACGCGTGCCGAGCTCGATGGTGTCACGAAGAATAGGGTCGCATCGTCAATCATCAAGACATCGCTACGCGATTTTGAGTGAGGAACGCAGATAGGAAGGAGACCGTATCCGCTATCGTCCTTCGCATTACCTTTGGTGTAGAGTTGCTTCTTCGGCTTCTCTGGTGATGCCCCCTTTCGTGGCCTGCGAGTCTCGGTCTCCATAGCATCTGCAGCGTATGCGGAGAGAACTTCGGCGGGAACCGTAGCTTGCAGATATACTGGCGCAGCTTCCTCGTCTTCATCCGCCTTGATCGAAGCAGAGTCTGCGCCGATATTATTGTCCTCAAGCTTGATCCGAGAGCTTGAAGCGGCCTTCCGCGGAGAAACCGCCTGCGACGAGCGACCCTTCTTCGATGATCCACCTTGGATAGCTCCTGCTTGTTTGAGCCCCTTCATGAAAGCCTCTGAGATACCCTTGCCCACGAAACAGACCGTTCGAGGCTTCCACTTTCGGACCTTCTCGAGCAGCACCGGAACGCCATCGACGAGCTCGCTGGGGAGCAGCTCGCTTCCTTCCGCGGTTGGTCTGCCAGCCAGATTTGTGAGACCTAGCGAGAATCGACGAAGATGAGGAAACTCGACGTCCTGCTCTGGTTTCATCCTGTGTTCGGTGATGCCTGCCAAATGCAGCGATGGGTAGAAGTGGTTCGATCGATGAGCAAAGTGATGGCCAGCGGAGGATGACTTGACGCCTGGATTGATGCCGCAGAGCATGATATCGTTGCGCTGGGCAAAGAGGTCGGGCACGGCTTTCAAGTGCGCATAGATGCTGCCTGCCGCCGAGTTGGGATCGTCTCTCGTGCGTCGGATTCGTTTGCGCGAGGGCGACTTGCCTGCTTTCCTTGGACTGCTTTGACCTTCATCTTCCGAGCTGTATGACTCGCTTGACTTCTTGCCTCGGCGCTTTGAGGGAGAAGCCGAGGTACTCCTGGGCTGATATTCGTCATCATCTTCACTGTCCGCAAAGGCTGCCGAGAGGTCTGGGATCTTGGTCTGCTTGGTTCTTGGACTCTTTCGTGGAGAGAGCTTCTGGGAGCTTGAGGAAGCCTTTGTTCGATGTTGAGGAGACATCCGGGAGGATGAAGCTGGGTTGTTGTCCTGGAACTCGAAAGCAGCTGCAAAGTGGTCAGGCAGTCGAGCCCTGCTCCGCTGCTGAGGTGGATCGGAAGCAGTCTGTGATGATGGCCCGCCTTGGCGCGCTTCCCCGCTTGCACCTGGCATGTCCCTCGAAGGTACCGCTCCGTTCAGCTCGGCAAGACCAGCTAAGATCGGGATGATAGCGGCCTGGAAATCAGGATGGCAAGCTTGAGAGTGGCCTGCGCTCCGTCATGCAAGGCCATGCTCGGTCTGCGAGGTGGAGGCTTCGTTCCAATTTTTCAAGATGTGAGATTCGCTGAGCACCCCAGCAATCTGCAGGATTTCACAGCGAGAAGCCTGCTGCCGTCGTCGCGTCTCCGTCGGCTTGCATTGCGAAGACCTGCTGTCGAAGCAGCATGGCTGTGCGGCCTCATGTTCGCATTCAAATGGCATGTGTGAGGCGAAGGAGTGGAACCACGAATCGAAATTCGCCTCGCTAGGCCAGCGGTGCAAGCGAGCATCAGGCCATTCCCATGAGAGGGCTGCCATGAAGGGCGCACAGGGCGTAGTTTCGGAAGGATACGTGAGTGAGTCCAACACCTCACCGAGGAATTTTGACAGGAGAAAGAGAGTCCGCTCTGGGTGGGACATGCGTGCGCCAAGAAGCCAGCTGACCTACTGTATTTCACACGCGCGCTACGCCGTTGGACAGCAACCAACACAAGAGGGGTCCATCTCGAGACATCACACACACATCACTTCACAAAGCACACGCTCGCACCCGTCCATGCACGTCCCGGCCAGTCACCAGCTCATCGCTAGATCAGAACACTACACGAATACCGAGCGGTCCTCTTTCTGACCAGCTCTGCTCCAGGACCAGTCCAACCTTGCTGCCAGGCGAAAGCAATTGGGTTCTGACCCTCGTCCACCATCTTCCTCGAGCCAGGATCTGCGTTCCACATCGACCATGACAAGTAGCTTCTAATTGTCACAACGACTTGACTCAGTCATGAGCTCGTTCGCCTTTCCCGCCTTTGAGCGGGCTCAGCAGCAGCACATGGCCTTCGACCAGACAGCCGAGCAGCTCTACCAATCCGTCCGAGATGCCATACATGCTTCTTCCCACGCCTGCATCGGTCCTTCCGATGCCGAGACTCTTGCCGCAGCATCAAAATCAAGCACAGTCAACGGTACTACCGAGCCATCGGCACCTCCGCTACCCAAGATCACCAAGCGTGTCAACGCGCGTCTGCAGCTCGCAGCTGCGCTCATCGAGGCCGACAACGAGAGCATTCTTGCAAAGGCGCAGTTCTGGCACATCTACCATCCACCGCAAGCGCACGATTTCGTTCATCCCCCTCCACCACCACAGCCAGCGCTAGCCAGCCAAAGCGCCATCTTCGCCCCGTTTCGAGAGGGAGCAACTACCGCAGTCAAACGACACGTTCGCACCTGGAGCGCAGCTACCGGCCTCTCCCGTCTTCTCGATGCAGAAAACGATGGCAAGCGGCCTAGTGTCGACTTCCTCGGCGTCGCACTTCCTACAGACCAGCGGGCACGCAGTCGAGCTGGAAGCAGCGTCACAGGTCTCAACGCCGCAGGTACATCACGCAATCGATCCGACAGCCTCTTTTCAAATGCAACCACCTCCGTCGCGGGTCGCACTTCCAAGCTAGGCTCTCGTCCCGCTAGCGTCTTGGAGGCAGCTGCCGAAGCCGATACAGCTGCTGCGACCGAAGATGTACTCAGCGACTGGGGCGTCGACAAATTTCTCAGCAAAGACGAGCGCGAACGTATCGCCGCGGGTCAGCGCAACCGCGCTCAAAGCCTGGCTGGCAGCGCACGTGCACGCTCTTCTATCGACCAAATGGCGCCCTCCTTGACCGGCCGTAGGTCCATCGACACGGATCGCAACTTGCCCAGTGACCGGCCTGCAGTGGTCAGAGCTAGCTCGGAGATCGTTGGCGCTTCCTCATCTGCAGCTGGTGGGACGGCGGATCCCAAGCTCGAGCTCCTGGCTAGGATCAAGCTATATCGAGAGCGTCAGGAGAACCTTCCGCCCTCGGAATGGGATGGACCAGGGCCGACAGCCACCAAGGATGAGGTCGTCGAGCATATTATTGCCTCTTCAGACGGCAACAAGCGGAGTTCATTGCGTCAAGCCTCTCAAGAGCTCGAAAAACCGCCTGAGTCATCGACGATGGTCAACGGCGTCGATCAAGAAAGCAACACTGCAGCGCCCGCCGCTGCCGAGTCCATCATGGATCGACCTCGTCCGTCGTCCCGCGCCGATTCCACGACGTCGTCCGCCTTCCCGTCAACACCGCTCGCCAATGGAGCCGTCATCGATCCGGCGTCGCAATCAAGTCAAGCCGATGCTCAAGTCGTGACCACGCCGTCTCACGAAGCTGGCAAGGTTGAGGGCTTTCCCGCTGATCAGGCCCATACGATGACTACGCCGAGGATGCCCACAGCTGACTTTCCCAATCCCTTCGATCAGCAGACGCCGACAGCTTCGCAAAGCATGGTCGGTGTCGGTTCCTTCCCCCGAAGCCAGTCGCGACGCAATTCATATCTCGGGGATCCTTCCTTCTTCCCGGACGGAGACCCGGTCAGCCAACCGAATCAAGCTCAGCAGCGGGCATCCATGTCCTTCATGCCGCCTCATGCTACGTCCGGATCAGCACCTTTCGGACAGCAGCAAATGTCAGGTCGAGGATGGGCAACGGATCAATTTGCCGAGCACGATCTTGGACTCGGTCCTAGTCCATTCGCGGCGGCTTTGCTAGCTGCGAGCCCCAGTATGAACGGCCTCTCCGATTCCCGCTGCCACGACACAAGTCCTGGGAACGCGGCTTCACCTGCTATCGATTTCAACAGCCTTACCACACGTCAGCTCCAAAACGTCGCCCGCAATTCGACCTTTCCGTCGCATCTTGGCATCAATCGCGATCTCCTCGCCGAGGAGGAGCTTCATCAAGCAGACGAGCATCTGCTCGAGAATGAATTCGGTCAAACACCGAAGCGCAAAAGACAATCGTCGTATGACATCACGGCGCTCGCACAAGATCTCGCCAAGACCGGAGGCGAGAACTTTGAGATCCAGCTCGGCGAAGGTGCTGCCCCTGATCTCTCGTCTGCCAATTGGGGCAAACCACGCAAGAAGTGGTTCCGCTTGAGCATGATGATGGACGCCAAAGGCAGACCAGCAAAGCCCAAAAGAACGGACGGAGCCGAGGGCGACGGCGAGTCTGACGCTGAAGCTCTGGACGTTCCGGTCGCAGGAGCCGACCCGCTCCCTATCGCAGGTCAAAGTGCCGGTGATTCGGCCAACATGACCGGCGCCGTTCTCCCCGCTCAGACGGAAGATATGCACGACATCGATGACGACTACGTCAGTCCTCCGCGTCGAGGCCCTCTTCGTCCTCTAGGCCTAGCTGCTCGCACGCCGCAGACCATCGTTATGCCGCAGCCTTTGCAAGGTACCGAGTTTGCGCCCAAACTGCGATTGAAGGATGCAGATACCACTGCTCCTGCCTCCAAGCGCCACAGCCTGCACGTCCCTGATGGGTTCGTTCTGCACAACAGCCGAGGTGATTTGCCTCCCATGCGCAGCTTGGTTGTGCACAGCGCCAACGGGCCTCAGCCCATGTTCGCTGCCAAGATGGGCAACAAGAAGCAACAGCAGCAGCAGCCTGCTCCGCGACTCAAAGCTGTCGAGGTGGGCAGAACCGTCCAGGTGCCGGCCGCCGCGCCTCGTGGCATCGGACGACGTGCTGCAGCTCCTACCACCGCTCTGTTCCGAAACCATCTCGTGCAAAACGAAGACGAGCGGGAAGGATGGGGCTGGGAAGCTGGCACTCGTGTCGATGACGTCTTCCATCCTGACCAGGTCGACGACTCGGATGACGATGACAAACCGCTCGCCGACATCAAAAAGCAAAGCCGCTCAGCCAAGCGCGCTGCAAAGCGTCTCGTCAAGGAGAAGCGCAAGCGTAAAGCCGCCCGCCGCGTCCGCCGCGCCAAGAGGGAGGAAGCGCTCAAAGAAGGCAAGTCGTTCAAGGAGGCTGGCGTGGACGAGCTCAGTCCGGATGAAGACTTGGACCTCAGCAGCACAAGCACCGAAGAGGAGGTCACTGGTAGCGAGACAGACTCAGACCTCTGGGCAAGCGACGACGACAAACGATGGGTCGACGACAGCAAGCCCGCCGGCAAGCTCTACGGCAAGAGTCTGCTCGACCTTGCCACTGAGCGAAACCAGGTGCGCAAATCCAAGGCCCGATTCTACGGACAGGTGCAACACGAGGATGGTGAAGTCGCCGAGCTGCAGATCGACGGTGATGGCGACCGTTCAGCTTTACAGCGTCCCGCTGGCTCTGTCTTCGACGATGACGCTTCCGTGGCGCCAAGCGTTGCCCGCACCTTCCGAGACAAGCCTGTTGGCTTCAACGACACGAGGGAACGCATGGAGGCTGTCTTCGGCGCTGATCAGGTCTGGGCACGGGAGATGGCCAAGAGGCGGGATGACGAGGCGCGAGAGGCGGAGCAAGCTCGGCAAAAAGCAGACTTGGAAGCGGCGGCCCAGCAGCAACGGGAAGCTGAGGCGAAGGCCAGGAAGGAACGCGGCCTTTTTACGCTCGGACGAAAGGGCAAGAAGAGCAACTCCGCACAGCATCTCGGCATCTCGAACGGCTCGGCAATCCCCAGTACGGCGAGCTTTGCCGGCTCCAACGTCGATGTTTCGTCCATCACGCCCTCGCAGAAAGCTCTGCACGAGGAGGAGGAAGTCGAATCTCAGACACTCGCGATGGGACAGTCTCCTCTGGTGCCTCCTGTGCTCGCGCTTGATCTTGACGAGGACTCCAACGCGCGCGACCAAGCACAGTCCGGCCGAAGGAGTCTCAATCTGCTCGCTGGCGAGGAGGCGGCGGCACAGGAATGGCTCATCCACTCGGACGTCGAGCCTGAGCAGAATGACGATCAGGGACCAGAATCAAGCGACGACGACCTTCCCCTCGCTCAGGTCAAGAAGAATGTTGCATCGCGTCCGGTCTCGTTCGCTGCAGGCCTTTCGCTTAACCCAGCGAGGTCGGGCGATGCCGACTCGTCTGACGAAGAGCTTCCACTCGCGGCCTTGAAGCAGAAACGCATTCGACAGTCCGCGATGCTGGGTGGTGGCAAGCTGGATCTGGACTTTGCGTCCTTGCATCAAAGTCTGGACCGCGACGCAGGCGCGGAACCTGCCGTCATCTCCTCGCCTCGGCCGGGCAGCTTGCCTGAAACGACGAGCGTGGCGTACGATGACTTCAAGGCGCCCTTCTCACAACCGGCCGCTGTGAAAGCTGCGCAGCTGATGGAAGACGACGATTCTGATGAGGATTTGCCCCTTGGTCAGAGACATCCGGGAGGAAACGCCGCGCTTCTTGCGATGCGCACTGCCCTCGAGAATCAGAAACGAGCAGAGAAGGAAGCCAGGCAAGCGGCAAAGGCGCAGAAGAGGGCCGCCAAGCTCGCGCGACAAGTTAGCACGGACGACGTCGATGCGGCCGCTGACGCGGAGCAATCCAGGGTTGACGGGGATGCAGACCAGGAGGACGATGGCAGCGAGGAGGAGGAGGACAGCGACGACGACCAGCCACTGGGCTATGTGCACCCTCAAGCAGCTATCATCGCCGAGCAGGCAGAACTCATCCGACAACTACAATCCGAAAGGGAGCAGCAACAGCAACAACAGCAGCAGCAGCCATCCCGCTTTGGCGGTATGTCACCGTCGGGGTCCGCCATCATGTCGCCTTCCGGAGTGGACATGCGCTCTTCGGTCATGCTCCACAGAATGAGCGGAGTGCCTAGCATGATGGGCGGTATGGCCATGGGTATGGCGGATCCTCGGCACTCGATGATCGGCATGCCAACGAACGGATCGATGATGGGGATGCCTCAGTTCGATGGCCTGCCGACGTCTGGCGCTGGACTGCCCTTCAGCATGCCAATGTCGACACCAATGCAAATGGGAATACCCATGGCTCCAGGCTCTCAGATTGGCGTTCCCAACGCCATGCAATCAGGAGCCATGTCTCCTGCCATGACGATGCCGATGATGGCTGCGAGCCCGCAGATGGGAGCGACAATGACGCCAAATCCTATCGCCATGATGCTTGACCCTAAAGCATCTTCGATCCACAACTGGCGAACACAGGTCCCCCCAGATGCGCCAGCCACCCTGACCCCGCCCAGCGGAGCCTCTACCGTCAATTCGGCCAGATGAGGATACTGTTAGCCTTGCCGATGTCTGGCGATGCTTCTATATCTTTGGCTCATCTGACTGCACATCGCCTTCGCTTCGCAATATATAGACATTCTCTTGGACGAAGAAGAAGTCGCTTGTGGTCGGTAGTGGTGCAGACGTAAGGCTGATCTTGCCGAGATCTCCGATCGACTTTTACCCATGTTAAGCCGTTGTTCTTCAGCTGCCCCACCCGCGGAGAAGATTCGAGAGGGCGCGAGAGCGGCAAAGAAGGCTCAAGACGTGCAGCATGGAAAGTGGAGGAAGCGAGCCGACCAAAAAAAAAGTGACTGCAGCGCGCAGCATGGGACAGGCGCACGGTCAAGTTGTGACGTGAGCTTAAAGGCAAGGTGCGGGCTGAATCATTAAGGTTTTGGGTTGCTATACATCCCGAACTCTTTTCGCTCAGCACTCTCTTTCCCCCTACCACAATCATCTTGCTTATAGCATTGAGAGCAATTTTCGGGCTCGTCCTATCTCGCACACTACCAACATCACAACGCTCAGCAGCAACACATTGGCGGACTCGCCTCGTCTCATTCGTGTCTACTTCCACACCTCAAGGTAGCATCCGCATCAGCATCTGCGGCAAGTCTCATCGCCCTCCTTCTACCATCTCGAGATAAGCTTGACCCCTTCTGCGACCCCACACACACTCCGCCTGTAGCAAGCACCTAGCATCTCGACGCTGAAGTAGCTCTTTCAAAATTTACGCTCACCAAGCACGCACCGGACCCCCACCCCACAAGAGGCAGCGTACCTCCCACACTCGTTCAAACAACAACCCAACCATGGGCGCAGACTACTACAAAGTGCTCGGCGTGTCCAAAGATGCCGACGACGAAACACTCAAAAAGGCGTACAAGAAGGCGGCGCTCAAATGGCACCCAGACCGCAACAAGGACAACATCGAGACGGCCAACAAAAAGTTCAAGGAGGTTGGCGAGGCGTTTGAGGTGCTGAGCGACAAGAACAAGCGGGCGATCTACGATCAATTTGGAGAGGAAGGGCTGAAGGGTGCCGGCGGCCCACCACCAGGCGCAGATGGGGCGGGCGGTGGATTCGGCGGCTTCCCTGGTGGAGCAGGAGGTGGGTTTGGTAGCTTCCCAGGAGGCGGAGGCAGGACGTTCACGTTTACCAGTGGCGCGCCTGGCGGTATGGGTGGTAAAGGCGGCATGGGAGGCTTCTCTCCAAGCGATCCCAACGACATCTTTGCCAGCATCTTCGGTGGAGCCAACCCCTTCGGCGGAGGAGGTATGGGTGGCGGCATGGGCGGCATGCCAGGTATGGGAGGAATGGGAGGTATGGGTGGTATGGAAGACATGTTCGGCGGAGGCGGATCGCGAAGGAAAGCTGGTGGCGGCGGAATGCCTGGTGGGTTCAACTTTGGCGGTGGCATGCCAGGCGCAGGCGCAGGCCCAACCGCTTCGGCACCCGAAGAAAAGCCCAGCGACGTCGAAAAGCAACTTCCCCTCTCGCTGCAGGACCTCTACACCGGCACCACCAAACGTCTCAAGGTTGGGCGCAAGCTCGCCTCCGGCGGCTCGGAGGAAAAGATCCTCACGGTCGAAGTCAAGCCAGGCTGGAAGAAGGGGACCAAGATCCGGTTCGGTGGAGCTGGGCACGAAGTCTCCCCTGGTCTTTTCCAGGATGTGGTCTTCATCGTCGACGAGAAGCCCCATCCGCACTTCCGACGCGATGGCGACGACCTGCGCGTCACAATACCCTTGAATCTGGTGGACGCACTCGACCCGCCCAAGCCTGGCACCCCTGGATCGAGGAGGCAGGTGGAAACGTTGGATGGACGCAAGATCGATATCCCTATCCCACAACCTGTAGCGGGGAAGAACACCATCACGCCCGGAAAGACGACGAGGCTGGCCAACGAGGGCATGCCCATCAGCAAGACGGGCGGCAAGCGCAAGGGCGATCTGGTGGTCGAGTGGAGTGTGCAGTTGCCGGACAATCTGACGCCGGCGCAGAAGGAGGGGTTGAGGAAGGTCCTCGCTCCTTGAGATGGCGTTGTCGTGTCCGTCCCATCATCCTGTCAAGAATCTCGCATCTTTTCGTGTTCCGGTTTTCCAATGCAATGCATCTTGTCACATGTTTTTCAGTCGGTAAGAGCGTGTTGCTGAGTCGTGAGTCATTGAGCGTCATCTCCGCGTCACGAGCCTGTGCGAACCATCCGAAATGCTGCTTTTTGATTGCTTGCTTCTACCCTAGAACGATGAGATAGATGACGACGACGATGTTTATGACCACGAGAGGGACTGTCATGCACAAAAAGCGTTCGGGGTCAGCGTTCGGGTGAGCAGTACGATCTGGATAGGGGGGCAAACTTACTTCGCATCAACGTCCTTACAGCGGAGATAAGATTGATCAACCTCGCCTTGATGGTGACATTCTCACCCCCGGCACCCGCAGCGTAGGGGTTGGACTGGAATCCTTGGTCGAACGAGTTGCCTCCCGCGAGCGCATGCGACGACCACCCCACTCGTGCCAGGAACCGATCCTCCGATAGAACGGCTAGCGCATTCGTGATGAACAGGATCAGGTAGAACGCTGAACCCAGACCGAACATCGTGCTGTACAGCCGCTCACTGCGTTTCTTCGAGAGCGTGCGTGCGAGGACAAGGGATCGTCGACAGGGCGCAACGTCGATGGCGTGAGGCTGTGCTGATGCTGTAGTTGGGCGCGAGTGACTGGAGCTGGTAGACTGTTCGCTGATTCGATGCCTCGGACGGTATGTGGTGCTGTGTGAGGGAGCGAATGTGCTGAATGATTGTCCCAGATCGTTGTTCGTCTGACGGGAGGGTGTGGAAGAACGTCGTTGACAGCAAAGAAGTGTGCGTGGAGAGTGGTCTGTGTCAGGCGAATGATATCAATGTGTTAGATCCGAGCGCTGGGCCACTCGCACGTGACTGTTCCTTCCGCACATTTAGATCAGGATGCTCAACGCCAAGCTCTGCACGCGATGACGAACAAGAGCCCAGCGGCATGCACATGCACGAGTAGAGGATAGCAAGCGGATGTATGAATGCAATGCAGGGTACAAATACAAAGATGTGGTGGTGAAGGGGCCGGGAGCGGTCGGTGCGCATGACGTTGCGGCTTTTTGATGGCGTGGTCCTGAAGAAGGACGACAATCTTGTCGTGTGATTCGCTCTTAGAGCTACGAGACTGTGAGTCGCATCGAGTGGTGATGGAGAGCATGAGAGGCCAACCTACGACACCCTCGCAACGACCTCTCCGCCATACCCTCTCCTAATCGCATCCCTCACCTCCCACCACCCGTTCTTGCCGCAATCCACAATCCCGATCTCACCCATATCCAGTGGCTTGACGAATTTGGCCCTCCTCCCCGTTGCGAATCGCAACAGCTCGTCCTTATCCATGGTCAACTTCCTACTTGGCTTCGAAACGACATTCATAGATTCCAACACGGGCCTGTCGTCCGGTCGGAACTTGAGATCGACCCACAATCTGCGGGCTGCCGGGCTTGCTGCGGTGTATGATCCAGGAGAAGGACCCGTTTGTGTGCCTCGGACGACATTGTGGACGAATCCGTGCTGAAGAAGGATGGAGAGGATGGAGAGGTTATCGCGGGTCGAGGCGATGGGGATCGACCGAAGGCGCGCGCGAGAGGCGTTTTGAAGGATGGTGCATAGGTCGGCGTGGAGCGGCATGATGATCGAGACGCACGAAGGAGGATCTTGTGCTCGTCCGTCGGGTGTTGAGATGCGCTTTCGAGATGAGAGTTGCTGCTGATGAGGGTCGGGATGGTGTCTGAGGGAGGCAAGGAAGAGGGTCGAGAGGGGTTCTTCTGAAAAGGTCAAAAATCTCGCCGTGTTCCTCGGAACCGGCTCAGATCGGGCAATTTATTGTTACGCCGGTAAAGATGACAAGGTGATGCATTTTTGACCTCCACCTGATCCTTCCGACATGAGACTCGTTTCAAGGTATCGGCCCACCTTCACCGACGACGATCACGAACATGGCGCCGAGCAGATGCACACAGAAACCGCAGTACTCCAGATGAGTGTGCAATGATGCTGACAGCGGGACTGACACGGCGATCAGTGTTCGCTGCGACTCGACCAATGCCGACACCCTGTCGAGCCATCACCACCACCTTCGCACGTGCGAGCAAGACCACCTCGACAGGCCCACCCTTCCGAGTGTATCGCTACGTAGTCGACGTGCACGGCCAACTCTTTCTCCACGATACGGTGCCCAAAAACCTCACGAGCTGCTTCAAGAATGTCGAGTTTCTTGACTTCTTCTTCAAGCGTGTGCGGCCGAACCCAGCTTCTCTCACCGCCTCCCCTTCGTACAACGACTCAGGGAGCATCTCACGGCACGACATTCTCACCGCACCCAACTCAACGCTGCCGCAAGACTGGAGCGATGTTCCTCCCTTCAACGGTATTCCCGATGCAAATGACACACGGTCGCGGGACGACCTGTACAACGCTGCATGCGAGCAAGGCAACTCGGAAGGGTACGAGTGGATCTCACCCTGCGGACCTGAACTCAACCTGCTTCGCTGCCAAGACACCCCGATCGTGTTCCGCGAGCTGAGTGACGATGGGCAGCTTTCATGGGCCGGAAGGCAGACGGAGACGTTTCAACCAGACGCGCTCGTAGTCGACCCGACGAACGGGTACGTCTACCACCCGTCCCCCCAACCCTCGCGCCGGAAGAAAGAGGGCGCAACGGACAAGTACGGAAGACTGAGTCTGCTCGGGTCGAATCTGGTGCTGACCCGACTGGCTGATGGGCTGGACATCGACCCTGACGCTTTTGAGAGGGGCGAAGGTGGGAGCATCGAATGGAAGGGGAGGAGGTACAAGCTCGGATTGCTCGGCCGTTGAGCGGCTGCTTGGGATGCAGATGGGTTTGAGCGCCTGCGGGATCCGGCCGACGGTCTGACGCGCGGGTGAGCCGGCATGACTTGGGCTGCACGGAAGGAGGCCCGCCTTGCTTGTTGCGATGGGAAAAGTCGGATCCCACATGTTTCCAGGAGCTGCACGGAGCTGCATGGTGAACGTCGCCCGCGGTCGGCGGAGAAGCGGTGCGGGTGTGGCCGCAAAACGAGGGGACCCGTCTCACGGGAAAGCCGAAGCGCAAGAGATCTGCAGCGTGTTGATCCCTCGAGCTTGGTAGGAAAACAATTAATTAGGATTTTAATTTGAGCATTCGAAGTTCGCTTCCAGGGTCTCTTGCGATCGACAAGTTGTCTCAGACGGAGGCATTTCCCAAGGGTGGAAAGAGAGACAACACAAAGGGGGTCCCACGGCGTGGGATCCGATACGATTCATGCGATTGTCAACCTGCAGGTTCGCATGCAAATTCGTCGCGACGATGGCTCTGGTGAGATCGCGCATCAGCGGCGCTTGGAAGCGTGTAGAGTGCCTCTCATGCTTCGGCTGGCCCGACGGAGTGGCTTTCTGTTTGCAGCGAGAACAATGGGACTGAGCCGCGTAGGAACGAGTGAGAATATTCTCTCGTGGGTCATGAGACAGTCTTCAGACACGATTTCTTCAGTTGCATGATCCAAGGGGGCAGGCCAGTGACGTTCCTCGTATCGAGCAGGACGTGCAAAGGATCTCTGGAGGGCATAGCAAAGCAGGACTCGAACCAACGACGATGAGGCACTTGCGTACGAGGCACTCCAGATGTGCGACATCATGCGGCCCAGTTGCAGGCCTGCAGGCTCATAGCAAGCTCGGTTTCACCTCTTCGCAACCGACGGCGACGGGATCGAGCTGAATCGATAAAAGAGACGATCCGATTTGGTGGTGAAGAGGTCGGCTGAGATGCGAGGGTCTTTTTATTGATTCACACCGAGCCAAGCATAAGGGCTGTGCTGCCTGAGCTGTCGCGCTTCTTCTCGTTCACCGCCAGCTGCATTGATCGACCGATGCTCGCCCTGCAACATGGCTTCATCCTGCCACTGCGCGCTTCTGCTTGTCGAGGGTAGGAAAGGGAAGTCATACGATCCTCTGCGCCTTTCCTTCACACAGAGAGTCGCAGGTCACGGTCGGTGTACCATCTCACCCTGCCGTGGCCTTGCAGTCACAGCGCGGGTCAATCTGAGCCTCTGCTATGAAGGCGCCCAACTAGCTCGCTCGTCCCCATGCTCCTACGGCAGATAAGAGCGAGCCTAGCGCCTGCGCTCTGATCATGGCAGTGGCTCTGTTGACTCGAGCATCGCCCTTTCGTCCAGCTGCATAAATTCCGTATTTTTTAATAAATCAATTTGATTTTTCGCGCTTGGAGAACAGTCTCGGTGGAATTGATTTTTTTTCTGGAAATTCGTGCCGGATTTTGCTTCTCTCGCGCCTCTCTCAAAGTGTCACATTTGAGCGGAGCTGTGGGTTCCTCTCTCTCGGACCCTCGGCCAGGCCAGCCTAGGCCAACACACACGCACACGCTCGCTCTCCACCAGCCCACCTTGCCTCTCTCACTTCACTCCCTCTCCTCTCTGTCATCTGTTTGTTCTTTCTCTCCGTCCCACGCCTATCGTCGTTCGCTTCCTCCACCATCTCAACCCTCTCTACACCGTCACCATCGTAACATAGAGTCTTGCGCGTAATACCTTCTCCTCGCGCGACCCTTGATTCGATACCTCGCCGCTCTCCACAGCCTGGTTCCAGCTCATCACGCATAACCAAGTCACAGTCAACAGTCTCGGACCTGACCAGCACGAGTGCCTTCTCCTATCGTGCCGACGCCTTCGGCTCATCCCGCCCGCGATCCTTCATACTGCCGTTCTAGCCTATTACCTGCCTCTTGCGGTTTGGCGCCTACGAAAGATACAGTCCCCTAATCCTCGGAATTCCGCCTACGTCTTTCTCCCAATTCACCACCCGCTAGTGCGGCTCCTATCTCCAATCCGCACGACACTGCCTTCGACACCAGACAGCAGTGATCCAAATCCACCTCAAAATGCATATCGTCGGTGAGAGCAGCAGGGCAGGCCTGCAGAACAACCTCAAGCGAAGCTCGCACCGCGGCGCAGACGCGATACAGAAACGATCTCCCTCGCCAGCACCAGCACCAGCCGTCGTCGCGCCCGCATCTGCCCCCACGCCACCACCAACAAGGCGCCGTCAGCATGAACCGGAGCACATCCAAGTCCGCGCAGAGGACTTTGACAAGCGCGCGCTACAGCATCAGGCTGACGCAGCCAAAAGAGAGCAGATTCTCGGACCATACTGGGCGCGTGATATGGACGAGGTCATGGACATCAAGCGAGACCTCTTGAGGACAAAATCGGATCCATCAAATGACCAAGAGCAGATCAGGCTTCAACGCCGTCAAACTGCAGCACAAGAGAGGTGCTACGTCGGCAACGACGAACTCAGTTGCTTTCCTACAGCAAATACTACCATCGTCCAAAACTCCTGGAGCAGATTCATCTGGAATGCCAATTACCCGCTCTTTGCTCAGCGTGGATACGTAGACGTCTACCTCTTTCAGGAAGATACGGATCGCATGGTCACATCATGGATGTCGCAGGACAACGGTCAAAACAGACTTTCCTTCGAGCCAACAGATTTGTGGTGGGCCAACCGTGTAGCTGCCGACAATATTCAACCAGATCAAAACATCTCTTGGCCCTTCTACTTTGTCGTACTCCCGGAAGGCCAAGCACTCACCGGCACAACATCGCGCTTGTCCACGTTCACAGCGCTGCAAACCACCCTACCCTTTACCATCGCTGAAGCGAGAGCCTCGTCCAGTTCCGCTGCCGCAGCAGCTTCGGCGAGTGCTGCCTCAGCATCCGCACAAAGCGCGTCTCAAGGAGCGAGCACTATCACAAATACTTTGACGGGTAGTGCAGCCGCAGCTGCGTCCGTGTCTGCCATTCAGTCCAGCCTCAGCGCCGCGTTGGAATCCTCGTTGCGCGCTTCCGGTCTCAGCGGCACAGAGACACTCCAGGGCACCACCACAGCGACACTGCCCAACGGATCCGTCATCACCGCTACGGCCACCGCCCAGGCCAATGGCGGGCGTCTCGGAGCCGGCTCCAACGGCAACTCGAATGGCCTCGCGCTTCCCACCTATGCGATCGTGCTCATCTCCGTGCTTGGCTTCCTTGCCATCCTTGCGGCCATGGCGGCTGCCTACTTCATTATGGCTGCTCTCCGACGCAAACGTCAGCGTCAATACGGCAACGGCAGCTATCGAAGCTCGTCACCCATGATGGCGGCGGCGGCTGGCTCCATGGCAGGTCAGGGCACCACCGACCACGGTTACGCTGGCGAGACGACGCAGATGCTCGAGACCGAAGATGGTGGAGCAGCTAGCCTGGGACCTCCAGCTGCAATCGGTGGAGCGGCCATGATGGCTGGTCACTCGGCAGCCAGCCGACAGTCGGATGAGCAGCCTTTCACCTCGGATGAAGCCTCGCGTATGGCCGATGCTTTCCGCAACGCTCTGCGCAGACCCGAGTTCGCCGGAGGCATGACCGGTGACTCGTCTGGTGCCGAAGGAGAATCTCCCAACGAGATGCCTGGCGGCTCTCGGGCGTCGGCACTGCTGCGCGAAGAGCTCGCGTCTGAAGGCAAGGACCTGCGCAGCGTGGGCGACCGCAAGAAGCCGACCTTGCACGACGAGTAGATTAGCTACAGCAGCTATTGCCATGGGATCAAACGAACGCTTTGCTGACTCCCCCTCAAAACCTTTTCATGGACACTTCGTACTTAATCCACCATCATGCCGGCGTTGCTGCGTTGAGGGCTCTGTCCCAGATTTGTTCGGACCCTCCGCTCATCCTGCATGCTTCCATCCTATACATACCTTTAACTGTCATTGCCTACGCTCCCTTTCATACTTTGTTCATCTTCACTCTTCTCACTTTGCGATCTCGCATACCATCCTCGACTCCTCGCCGCCAATACATTGAGTCCTTCAACTCGAAGCTCGAAGCTGGTATACAACTACATTACATCGCAACAAGCTCATGGCTGCCCCGTTCGATCCTTGACACGATCCAGAAAATCCCTTCTCTCCAAATACCCCTTCATGTCGCCGAGCCCCTTTCCGCCTCCCTTGGTCTGATTCTCCAGCTCGTCCAGCTCCTGTTTGGACATCTTGGCCGTGTCGCCTTTGAAAGAGTCCCAGTCGAGCTTGCTCTTTTCGAGCGTGTTGAGCTTGGTTGGTTTAGCGGTGATGGCGGCAGAGAGGGAGGCGAGGGAGGAGCCCTTTTTGCGCCGTGGTCCGGGAGGTGGCGGTCGAGATGGCTTGGTTGTGGCTGCTGCGGTGTTGCTTGCGGTTGATGCTGGAGAGGCTGTGGTACCGGAAGCAGCGGTCTGTGAAGCGAGATACTTGATGGCTTCTGGATGAGAGCGCGGCAGAAGGCGGGTAGACGTCTGCACCTCGCCAGCGAACTTGTATGTGGTTGGTATTGAGATCATCTCGTCTGCTTGAGCGAGGCTTGCAGACGCACTGTCCGACTGCATATTCGGCGCATCTCCCTTGGAAGAGGAAGACGCAGTCGCCTCGGCCCCCGCAGTCGTGGGCCGCGCAGAATTCGACTCTTTGATAGCTTCCCACTCGGCGAGCGCTTTTGCCTTTAGCGCTGCGGCTTCATCATCTAATACTACTGTCTCTACCGGCTCTATTGCGCCGCTTTGCGCCAGCCTCCTGCGTTTGCCGAGTCGATCTTCTCCGCCGGCAGCAGCAACCAGTTCCGCCCTCTCTCTCTTGAGAGCCTCCAACTCGTCAGCGTCAATCTCCTCTCCTGCTCCACCAGCTTCGATCACGGCCTCTTCTTCGGCTCCGGAATCTTCATCGTCCGTGTTGGCGTCGGTGTCTCTGGCGACGGCTGCTGGTCGAGCGACCTTCGGGCGAGCTGCCGGGGCACGAGAAGCTTCGGCCTCGGGAACAAAGTCGTCGTCTTCCGAGTCGTTCTCCGAATCTGGCGAAGGACGAGGCTTGTCCAATGCGCTCGTTGAGGGTCCGACCATCTTGGCGCTGCTCTTGAAGTTGTCAGCAGGGGCGCTGCGATGGAACGGGTCGAGGTCGAAGGTGAACGGAAGACAAGAAGAAATGTCGCCGAGACACCTCCACAAATTCTGGCTCAGCAGGCTGCGCTGTTCGCGCTCAGGGTTGGCACTTGGGAATGCGCAGTCAGTAGAATTTCAAGTCCGTGCGAACACTTGCTTGCGACGCTTCTTCCTTCAACCCCACACTCCTTCTCGCTCTTCGAACCGCTCCTTCGGAAGACAGCTCGACCTTACTTCAGAGCAGTTTGGAATCGACCCAGCACCACCTTGGCCTAGTACCTCGACTCGCGAATGGCCTCAGCGACCTCTGGTAGCTCACAATCCTACCCACGCCGCCAGACGACCGACAGGTCTTCCTCAGGTGGCCGCGATGCCGACCTCCTTCAACCAGTGGCAGCCTGCAGCTGTCTCTGACATTCTCAACGTTACTCTTGATCGCCAAGAGGCAGAGGCGAGCGGCTGGGAAAAGACCTACCTCAAGGAGCTCGCGCAGGACATGGCCTCGAACTCTTCAGCGCCACCACAGCTTTCCGCCTCTGTCGCAGATGAGGTCCTCATCGCACGTCTTTCTCTCGACCCTAGCGGAGATGTGATGAGCGATGATGCTGACCATATCACTATGCTCGCCAGCCTACCCAAAGGGCAGACATCGTGGGATTACCTCGTCGCCTCTTGGAAGCGAGCCAGAGCCGAGGAAAACCGCATTCGCAAGTCGCTTGCGCCAGCAGACCAGACCAAAGCGCTAGCCGTCTTGCAAGAGATCCGAGCTCTGCTCATCTCGTATGCTGGACTCGTGCTACAGACGCCGGACATGTTTCCCGGTGCAGCGAAGCCGAACGGCACTCCCCTCTCGCCTCTCGTCTTGGTGGACAGCCTCACGCGAGTCTCATCTTCCATCTCAAGCTTCGGCTTCTCCAGCTCGGATGCTTCCTCTTCACAAAGCACCGTCGACCTCACAACGAAATTCGAGACGATCGATGGCGATGATCTGCCTGTCTTCTTGAACGAGCTTGCCGCCCGTTTCGGAAACGATGAAGGTCTTGACGAGATTCTGGGACCTGCGTTTACAGAACTGACAAGAAGGATCAGGGACGGCGACCGAGGCTCCGATGCGTCGTCGACTTCGAATGGTACACAAGCTCAAGCATCGGCTGCAACTGCGGCCTCCGGAGCTGGCGGCGTCAATCAGGCCGCTCTCAACCAAGCCATTGCCAACCAAAATGTCCAATCAGTCATCGCACAGCTCCTTGCGGGCAGAATGCCAGGAGCGCAAGCAGGGGCTGCCCCGACTGGAGCGAACGCAACACCAGGCGAGGGACTCTCCATCACCGGACTCGAGTGGAGGCCCTACGTCAATGCCATCGTCGAGGCAGTGGAGATCAAGGCCATCGCAAACATGCTTGCGCATCTGGCCAACTTTGACCCTGCTAACACGACCGGTTCTCGTATCGAGTTCGATTCACTCTTCGGTCCGATATTGCGTCTGTCAGCATTCCCGGACGCCTACCCGAGCATCACCGAACACTACTTTTCCAACGCTGCCTCCCAATCCCATCAGGAGACGGACAGCAATTTCCGCAGCATCCAGAGCACCATGGAGATCGTGCATTCGTTGAACTTCCGTATCCACAACGCGATCGTCCGCTCAGGTCCGCAGGCGCGCGAAAGGGTACTAGCGTACTGGGGCAAGGCTTGCGCGCTAAATGCAAAGCGAGGAGCGATGCAAGTGCGACAGGAGCTCGTGGCTAGCGATGGCTACATGGTAAATCTGTACGAGATGCTGCTTCGTTTCGCCGAGCCCTTCATGGATGCCGGTCTCACCAAGATCGACCGCATCGACCTCGAGTACCTGCGAAAGCAGTCGCGCTTTGACACCTTGGACCTGACTCGCATCAACGCCACCGAGGCCGAAGCCAAGGAGTGGACGGAGCAGGGACAAACCGCACCCGCCGGTGCACCCGCCAACTTCATCACTGAAGTGTTCTACATCGCAGTGAGGCTCAACAATCTCGGCCTTGGCAAAGCAGTGCGTCGTATCGAAGAGAAGGAAAAGGAGATGGGTCGCTTCAAGAAGCGTGTTGCCGAGACAGAGGCGGACAGGCCGATGTGGTCGACGCTACCGCAAGCCGCACAGTACGAGACCTTCCTCAAGCGCGCCAAGGCCGAAGTGGAGCGTCTGCACGGCGAGATCTATGCAGCGCAGAGCCAACTCATGGCGTCCGACTTCTTGCAAAAGGTCATTACGTTCAACTGCTTCCTCATGACATGGCTCATCCGTGTCGCCGAGCCCAAGGCGGCCCACCCGCATCCTCAGGCGACGTTGCCATTGCCGCAAGAAGTACCGACGCGCTTCCGCATGTTGCCCGAACACATGTTTGAGGACATCTGCGACGTGATGCTGTTCGTCTCGCGTGTCAGCGCGCCGCTGTCAGAGGCGGCCAAGAACGACCTGGTCACGTTCTGCACCACCTTCCTCAGTTCCGGCTGGTACATCAAGAATCCCTTCCTCAAAGCGAAACTCGCCGAGATCCTCTTCTACAACGTGATCCCCTTCGGACGTCGCACCAACGGCGTTCTCAGCGATACGCTCAACATCCACGGCCTCGCACTGCAGCACCTCGTGCCTGCGCTCATGAACTTCTGGATCGAGGCGGAAAACACGGGCAGCCACACGCAGTTCTACGACAAGTTCAACATTCGCTATCATCTCTCGCAAATCTTCAAGTCGATCTGGAGCAATCCGAAGCACAAGGAGCAGATCCATCGTCAGGCGCAGTCGGGCGCCTCCGATTTCGTCGTCTTCATCAACCGACTGATGAACGATGTGACCTACCTGCTGGATGATGCGCTGGACAAGCTGCAGGAGCTGCACACGAAGCAGTCCGAATCCGAATCTCCCGCCGAGACCGGTTCCGCACAGGAGCAGCAGGAGCGCGAAGGACACATCCGTCAACTCGAGCAGACGATCAAATCGGACCTGCAGCTGGGCACCGAGTTCATGCGCCTGCTGATCGACTTCACCGCCGAAACCGCCGACGCGTTCATGACGCCCGAAGTGGTCGACCGACTGGCGGCGATGCTCGACTACAACCTCGACATGATGGCTGGGCCCAAGTGTCAGAACCTAAAAGTCAAAGATCCGAAGAAAGTGTCGTTCGAGCCGCGCAACGTGCTGCGCATGCTCATGTCGGTGTACCTCAACCTGTGCAGCAAGGGCGAGTTTGTCGCTGCCATCGCTCGGGATGGACGTTCCTACTCGAAGAGCGTCTTTGAGAAGGCTGGATCGATCGCGTCGCGACACATGCTCAAGAGTCCGCCGGAGCTGGATGCGTGGGCGGGGATGATCGTGCAGGTGGAGGAGAAGCGCCAGATGGAACAGGACGAAGAGGAGGACCTGGGTGAGGTACCGGACGAATATCTGGATCCGCTGATGGCGACCGTGATGAAGGACCCGGTGCTGCTGCCGAGGAGCAAGACGGTGGTGGATCGGTCCACCATCAAGGCACACCTGCTGAGCGACTCGACGGATCCGTTCAACAGGAGCCCGTTGAAGATCGAGGATGTGGTGCCGGATACCGAGCTGAAGGGGAAGATCGAGGCGTGGATCGCGGAGAGGAGACGCAAGCCTGCGACGGGTTGATGAGACGTTGGATTGCGGTGCAAATCCAGGCACGGGGTATACTTTTGGCGATGATGCTGATGCGAATGAAGATGAAGTTTGCCACTGCTTGTGACGTCGGTGTTGTCGCGGACTGCCCGAGCTGTGAGACTCTGAGGGGCTGATCTGCGAATCTTCAGATGAGCGATCGACCTTGACTCGATCAAGACTTCATGAGCTTCTTCCTCTCAGCCTTGGCCTTGTTGACGACAAACTTCTGGTTGGTCTTGTCGGCCCTCTCTATCGCCTTTGTCTTCTTGGCTCGTGCTGCTTTTCCAACGGCCGCACCTGGCGCACGCTTCTTGATTTGAGGCTGCTGCGAGTGTTGGAACGGCTTGTACGATTCGGTCGGCTTGTCGGTCTCGGTGGGGACGGGCTCGAAGTCGACCTTGAGGCCCGGTTCCGGGGCCCTTCGCTCGGCTCCTGTTTATTAGGATGAGTCACATCAGCAATCATGTTCAGACATGGCGATCGCAAAGGTAGGGAGAGTGCTTACGCTTGATCTTGTTCGAGTGCTTGACCATGTTAGCGTTGACGATGGGGTTGGTATGTGGTGTCGATGGTCGAGGAGGATGATGAGGACAGTCGAAAGTTTGATAGCGAGAAGAAACTCGAAAAAACAAATGTGGAGAGAAAAGACCGAGAAAAATAAAGACCCTGAAGTGAAGTCGACGTCAAGGTAGTAAGCAGCCTCGACCTCAAAAACAGCTTCGAGCATAACCGTGTTAGCTGGCTGAAGCATACGTTTAGATCATGAGCTCGTGCTGACAGCGCAGGGCTTGCAGTGTTTGCCAATGCGGACGCTTGAGCGACGTTGTACAAGGCAGGGCTGCGTCTGTGCTGACAAACCGGGAGCTCGGCGGCATTTTGCTCGAACGTGGACCAAGGTTAAGAGGGACCTAACAAACAGAAGAATTGCTCAGCCGTGTAGAATCTTGACACAACGAGGCTGGAACATCGAACGCGGCACTCGAGCTGAGGAAAGCCCAAATCCAAAAAAGAAGCGCGAGAGAGCGAGAGAAATATGCACTTCACCCCTTTCGCCCACAGCCGACTGGAAAAGAACAACACCAAACGTGCACGCAGCCTGCGAAAGGGCAGCTGAGATTTGCACTGTGCATCTCCACTCGCGCACCTCGGATAAGGCAAAGCGTGTGGACTCCCTTTGATATCACTTGGCTCACAGCTGACCATCACCAACTCACGACTCAGCATCCACCTTCACTCTCCACCACCGTACACTTCGCCTCTTTCTCTACCTACCATTACACTCCCTGTCAGCTTCTCCCAAGACATTTCGCACCACTCAGACACGCAGAGCCTTGATGCTATCACCACAACCCGTCCTTGCCTAGACAGCTGACGACGACCACAAAGCGGCACCAAGGCTCCGCCATCGCCCAGCATGTTGAGCCCAGGCAACGAAGCGCAGCGCCGCTTCCTATCTGCCTCGGATCAGCCCAACAGACATGACGACCCACACAATGCATCACTCAGCACCACTCCCACCCAGAGTCACATGCAGCCACCCAAATCCAACCCTTCGTCTGCTTCAAAACCAGCAGGTTCCACTCTTCGACCCAACACCAGCCTTCGCCCTCCGTCCGCAAATGATACCCCAGCGAACAGCTCGCAGCGACAGAGACAGGCATCCTCATCCTCCTTCACTACGGGCAACGACAGGCAGGGCAGCTCGTACGACGATTCAAATGCTTCTATCGCTGGCCGTGGTCAAGCAAATGTAAGTGCAAGTCACTGTCGATGACAGCACATCCCCTGGAGAACCAAAAACTGACTTCTTCATTTTGATCCTTTGACACACAGTCGCAGTCCCTGCTACGAACGCCGCAGACACGCCCCGCACTAGGACACCAAAGCTCTCAGAATCAGCGCTCCGTCTCTTACGCCGCCTCGGACATTGAAACCATCTCGGCATTGTCGGCTTCCGAATACAGCTCTGGCGGTGAGGATGACCCAGATCAGTGGCGCAGATCCCAGCACCGCGGCCGCCCCATCGAGACCGCCATCCGTCAAGGCATCTCTGTCGGGCGCCCTGGTCTGCTTGTGGAACCGTCTCGTTCAGCCAGCAACCTCACAGCATCCGGCGCAAGCAAGCAGCGACGTGCCTCAGCCAACACCCGAGACTCGAGTAAAGTTCGCAGACAGAGCAAAGCGTACCGCGGCGGCGACGACTACCTCGATGCAGCAGACGACGATCGCTACGGTCCTTTCGACGACGAAGACGACGAGGTGGAACCTCACGATAGGGGAGAGGAGCTCGTTCGTCGCCGAATGAAGGCTCGTCAGCGAGAGAAAGCCGCGAAAAAGAAGGCAGAGAAGGAGCGCTCCCGCCAATCAGTCGCCATGCCTTCCCAGTCCAGTGGCACAGCCAACACCAACAATGCAGCACTCTTGTCGCCCAGCCTCAAGTCCGCCAACTCTGCCATCATTGGCCAGCGAGCTAGTTCCCCTTCTCCTCGACCCGGGCGTCCCACCACGATCATGCTTCCTCCTCCCGCCGTCGGCGGCAACCTTCAGCAGGGTGCTCTCTCTCCGACCTCGGCGGCCTTCCCAAGTCCAAGCGTACCAGGCAGCAGGCTGTCTTCTGCTACGGGCTACCCTTCGCCTCACGGTCACATTCGGCGACCCAGCGCCATGCAGAACAGCTCTCAGAACCGTTTCAGTGGCGTCAGTCACGGCCAGCAGAGTACGGTCGGCCCCAGAAGCGGTGTCAACGCTCCCTCCACCGCTCTTGCTGCCAGTCAGGACTTCTTCACCGGCCTTGGCGCTCCCTCTGCTAGCGGTCGCGCTGCCACAGATGCGAGTTCCAGCATGGCAGGCAGTGTTAGGGCCGATGACGAGGAGGAGTACGACCAGGAAGAGGATCGCGACACTGTCGCCAGTCTCGCGGATCGACGTCGTCGTGACGATGCCGAAGCTCAAGCTGAAGACACCATCCAGATGAACGAGGAAGTCGAGATCGAGCCAGATTACGACGAGAATGAGGAAGTCGTGGACGACGAAGACGACGAAGACATCACCGATGATCAGGACGTCGAGTACACGCTCAAAGATCGACAAGACGCCATCAACATCGAACATCCCTTCGGTCTCCCTATTTGGAAGCCGGCTCTGTACAAAAAGTCGCGCTCCGTCACGCGCAACGCCGAAATCGCTCTCCACTCGATCCCGAGTGCAGCTGCAGAGCGCCACCTTCTGCCCGGCAACATCCTCTGGACCATCCTGTTTGGATCCTGGCTGTCGCTCATCTGCTACACTTCTTCGATCTTGATCAACTTTGTACCGCTGGGCGGCTCAAGATACGCTCGAGTCGCATGGGAGCTCGGTGGATATCTCTTCTGGCCGTTCGGAAAGTACGTCGAGGTTGAAGTCGGTCCCGACAGCGCTGATCGTGTCGCTGGTGCCAACAACAACGTCGACCCTGCTGCCGACGCGCAGTGGGTCGAGAACTCATTCACACCCGTGGCAGCTCGCTTTCCTCACGACCACGCTCATGTTGTCCCATTCAATTCGCGCCCCGAGTCCATGCTTTCCACCCCACGCGACAAGCTGGCCAGCAGTCAAAACGACACGATCCGTGCCAATGACGTTGCAGGCCAATCTGCCGATGCTGGTTCTTCCAGCGGCTCGGAGGCACGCAGATCGACCCCTCGTCCCTCGGAGCACGGCGAGTCGAGCCACACCTCGCACGAGGAGCAGGACGAGAACAGCTCGCTCAAGAACAAGGGCAAGGCCAACGACTACGGTGCCATGTACGACGAGCAGAGCGGCCGGCAGCTTACTGATCTCGAACGCATCGAGGCCGAGCAGCGCGTCTACGGTTACGTCAGCGATGAGGATGGATACGACGTTGGCACTGGGCAGCGATTCGGTGGCCGAGTCGCATTCGGTCTCTTCTATGCCGTGGTTCTGTTCCCGCTCATGGGTCTCGTCTGTCTCGCGTGCTGGGGGATGGTCTTCCCCATTCCTATGGCTAAGCTCACATGGGTCTTGCTCAAGAATCTGGCAACTCGCCCGCTTGCGCTGCACTTCCGTTCGGCTCCAGGCATGGACAAGCAGCAGCATCTCGGCGAGATCGACGAGATCGCTGGTGCCGCCAAGAAGTTCTTCCTCCCGCTCAAGCCCGGCGAGCCTGCACCTCGTCCCAAATCGATCAACGCCGGCAAGTTGACCCTCGAGCGCCGCAGCAAGATCCTGCTCTGCACCTATAGAGCCGTGGGCGGTCAGTACTACAAGTACACCGTCGGCGGTGTCAACATCCTGTTCGTCAACACGCTGCCTCTCGTCTTCTTTACCATCTTCGACTTCTTCGTCATCGAGCGCTACGTCCACCATTACGGCATCGAGCACGGCTTCCTGGCCTTCATCTCGGGCCAAGGCATCATCTTCATGCTCTCGCTTGCCAGTGTCATCCCGCTGTCGTACTTCATCGGCATGGCTGTGGCGAGCATCAGCGCTCAGAGTAGTATCGGTATGGGTGCGGTGATCAACGCCACTTTTGGTTCGATCATCGAGATTATCCTGTACGCAATCGCTCTGACGCAGGAGAAGGCGAGGCTGGTCGAGGGTTCGCTGATTGGGTCGATCCTGGCCGGTGTGCTGCTGATGCCCGGCCTGTCCATGTGCTCCGGTGCCACTCGTCGTAAAGAACAGCGCTTCAACGCCAGATCCGCCGGTGTCACGAGCACCATGTTAATCATGGCCATCATCGGTATTTTGACCCCGACGCTATTCTACCAGATCTACGGCACCTTCCAGCTCACGTGCGAGGGTTGTCCCACCGGCAACGTGCCCGGTGACAGCTGGAGCTGCCGCCGATGCTTCTACGAGCACGTGCCCCCGGCGACGGACCCCTTCTTCCAGCAGAACGTCCGCGGGCTCATGTACACGTGTACGGTCATCCTGGTGCTCTCGTACGGTGTCGGGTTGTGGTTCTCGTTGCGTACGCACGCCTCGCAGATCTGGCAGAACCCTCTGCCGGCGCAGCCGGGCGTCGCTACGAACCAGGCGACGCTGGCGCACTTGCCCTCGGCGCAACGCGCGTCAATGTACAAGCGATTGGTGCCAGCGGCGGTGATGCAGCAGTTGCTGCCGACGGCGCACCCGACTGGTGGGGAGCGTGGGGCTCAGGGCCAGTCGTCCGCAGTCAGCGGTTCGGGTTCCGCTCCAGGCACAATCAAAGGTCCTTCCACCCACGCACGCCAGGGCACCGACGCGACTTCGAACGAACCTCGACCCTTGCAGCTGCCTGGCCACTTTAGCCAGGAAGAGTACGACCGCGCGGTCGCCCTCACCGCCTCTGCGTTCCACAACGTGCTCCAGCAGCATCACGACGATGCTGGTAATGCCGCCGGTGAGCGCAATCACCTTCGACACCCTGCACCACCGCAGTCCCACCCCCACGGGCAGCACGGAAAACACGTCTCGATGCACGAAGACCCCTCCGCCGGTGACGAATCCGAAGGCTCCGGCGGGCACGACGCACCCTCCTGGTCGCGCGGTACCTCGCTCACCGTCCTCCTCTCCTGCACAGTGCTGTACGCCATCATCGCCGAAATCCTAGTCGACGTCGTCGACGTCGTCCTTGACGGCTCTGGTATCGACGAAAAGTTTTTGGGAATCACACTGTTCGCGCTCGTCCCCAACACGACCGAGTTCATGAACGCCATGTCGTTCGCCATCAACGGCAACATTGCGCTCTCCATGGAGATTGGGTCTGCGTACGCGCTGCAGGTGTGTCTCATCCAGATCCCCGCCATGGTCGTCTTTTCCGCCTATTACAATGCGGGTGTGGGCGACGTCGATTTGATTCGGAGGAGTTTCACCCTCATCTTCCCGCGTTGGGATGTGATCGCGATCATCTTTGCGGTGTTCCTCTTGACGTACACGTACATCGAGAGTCGGTCCAACTATTATCGCGGCACGATCTGTATTTTGAGCTACATGGTGTTGGTAGCCGGGTTTTACTTTGCTCCGGGGACGGGGGATACGCAGGATCCGGGGGATGATAACCGGCCCGGTGGGGGCGAGGGTGTTCAAGGGATGGTGGCGGGTTTGGTGGGCGTCGGAATGGAGCGCGCGCTCAGCTTCAGCGTGAAAGGGGGTAGGTTTGGCGCTGGGCCTGAGGGCTGGACGAGAGCTAGCAGGGTTGCGGCGGCCAAGGCGATGGGAGGGCTAGGTCACGCTGTGAAGGCCAACGAGAGCGCAATGTTGCTCCCGGATGGCGTGGCTGGTTGGGGCCACTGGCTGCCCGATTTGGGTCTGACAGAGTGGATGTATGCCTGCTGGGCCAGCTTGTGGGCTCGCTAGACGAGCGTGTTGATGAAGATTTGATGATCGTTATGTTTTTAGCATTGTTTCTCGCTTTGCAAAGTTATGTCTTCTCATGTCTCAGGAGCCGGTCTGCGTGTGATGGTGCTCGGTGAAAAGCGTACACGAGCCGCCGATCGAGGCGACCAAGCACCCGTTGAGCCTGCCTGAGCAGCACGTCCTTCAAGCACAAGTTGTCCAGTCAAACTCAACATTGAGCCTCGACGTTCTTCCCACCCACACACACCGAACGTCATTGAAAGACCACTGAGCATTGAACGGGAGCAAAGACCACGCGTAGAGACCGACGACGAAACCTAAAAGTACAAGAGATGGATCCGGGGAGGGGAAATTGTATGCAATCAACCAGAGCACATGAGGCAGGCCTCTTTGTTCTCGAGCGAGCAGACGAGCTGGTCGGCCTCGAGCTGGCGCAGACGCTGGCGCTCCAGGGCGGCCGCGAAGCCTGCGTCGACCTCACCAGTCTTGGAGGCAGTCTCCTTGAGCTGGGCCGTCTTCTCCTGCTCCTTTTCGGCGACCGCCTTGGCCTCCTGGATGGCCTTGGCCTCGTCGAGCTGGCGGATGCCAGGGCCGTCCTTGGTGACGGTGCCGTCGACGCCGAGCTTGCCGACGCCCTGCGTGAGGGTCTCGACATCTCCCGAAGGCTTGACAGCCACCACGGCGGGCGCAGCCGCTACGGCCTCGGCAACCACAGCAGCAGGAGTGCTCACCTCCTCGATCTTCTTGGCTCCACCAGCACGCCCCGACGCGGCCGCCTTGGCCTCGTTGACCTCGGCCACCGAGAGCGTGAACTGGATCGCGTTGGACGCAGGCTTGGTGCGCAGGTAGTAGGTACCGGTCTTGAGCCCCTTCTTCCAGCCGTAGAAGTGCATCGACGTAAGCTGGCCAAAGGTGGGGGCCGAGAGGTGGATATTGAGCGACTGCGACTGGCAGATGAACGCACCACGGTCGGCAGCCATGTCGATGATCGCCTTCTGGCTGATCTCCCACACGGTCTTGTAGAGCTTCTTGATGCGGTCGGGGATGCCGGGCACGTTCTGGATCGAACCACCGTGCGCGATGATGCGGTTCTTCATCGTGTCGTTCCACAGTCCCTGCTCGACGAGCTCGCGCAGCAACCAGGGGTTCACCACCTGGAACTCGCCCGCCAGCACACGGCGCGAGTAGATGTTGGACGTGTAAGGCTCGAAGCACTCGTTGAAGCCGAGGATCTGACTCGTCGAGGCCGTGGGCATGGGTGCGAGGAGCAGCGAGTTGCGCAGACCGTGCTTGGCAATCTTGGTCTTGAGCTCGGCCCAGTCCCACAGGTCCGAGGGGGTCACGCCCCACATGTCGTACTGCAGCTCACCCTGCGAAGCGGGCGAGCCGGCGTACGTCTCGTAGGTGCCGTGCTCCTGCGCCAGCTCGCACGATCGCTCGAGAGCGGCGTGGTAGATGGTCTCGAAGATCTGCACGTTGAGGCGACGAGCCTCGGGCGACTCAAAGGCGTAGCCCATGATCATGAAGGCGTCAGCGAGACCCTGCACACCGATGCCGATGGGGCGGTGGCGGAAGTTCGAACGACGAGCCTCCTCGACGGGGTAGTAGTTGATGTCGATGATCTTGTTTAGGTTCTTGCAGATGGCCTTGGCGACCTCGTGCAGGCGCTTGAAGTCGTACGTCTTGGTAACGGGGTCGATGAAGGTGGGCAGCGCGATGGAAGCCAGGTTGCAGACGGCCACCTCGTCCGGTGCACTGTACTCGATGATCTCGGTGCACAGGTTGGAGCACTTGATGGTACCAAGGTTCTTCTGGTTGCTCTTGCGGTTAGCGGCGTCCTTGTAGAGGATGAAGGGGTTGCCGGTCTCGGTCTGCGACTCGAGGATGGCGTACCAGAGCTTCTGCGCCTTGACGGTGCGCTTGCAACGGCCCTCGGCCTCGTAGCGCTCGTAGAGACGCTCGAACTCCTCACCGTAGCAGTCAGCGAGGCCAGGGCACTCGTTGGGGCACATGAGCGACCAGTCGCCGTTCTGCTCGACCCTCTTCATGAAAAGATCGGGCACCCAAAGAGCGTAGAAGAGCTCACGGGCACGCACCTCCTCCTTACCGTGGTTCTTGCGGAGGTCGAGGAACTCGAACACATCCGAGTGCCACGGCTCAATGTAGATGGCAAAGGCACCAGGACGCTTGTTGCCGCCCTGGTCGACGTAGCGAGCCGTGTTGTTGAATACACGAAGCATGGGCACGATACCGTTCGAGACACCGTTGGTACCAGCAATGTACGAGCCGGTACCTCGGATGCAATGGATGTTGAGACCGATACCACCGGCGGTCTTGGAGATCATGGCGCACGTCTTGAGCGTGTCGTAGATGCCGTCGATCGAGTCATCCTTCATGGTGACGAGGAAACACGACGAGAGCTGCGGGTGAGGGGTACCAGCGTTGAATAGGGTGGGCGAGGCGTGGGTGAAGTACTTTTGCGACATGAGGTTGTACGTCTCGATGGCGCTCTCGATGTCCTCTCCGTGGATGCCGACAGCGACACGCATGAGCATGTGCTGGGGACGCTCGGCGACCTTGCCGTTGATGCGGAGGAGGTAGGAACGCTCGAGCGTCTTGAAGCCGAAGAAGTTGTAGTGGAAGTCGCGCTCGTAGATGATGGCCGAGTCGAGCTGGTCCTTGTGGTTCATGACTACCTGGTAGGTGGCGTCCGAGATCATGGGGCTGTGCCTGCCATTCTTGGGGTTGACGTACTCGTACAGAGCCTGAACAACCTGGGAGAAGTTCTTGCTGGTCTCCTTGTGCAAGTTACTGATGGCGATACGCGCGGCAAGCACGGCGTAGTCTGGGTGGGTGGTGGTCTTGTAGGCGGCGGTCTCGGCAGCGAGGTTGTCGAGCTCAACGGTGGTGACACCTTCGTAGATGCCGTCAATGACCTTGCGGGTGATCTCGATGGGGTCGACATAGTTCTGGTCGAGACCGTAGCAGAGCTTGGAGATACGGGCGGTGACCTTGTCAAACTTGACCACCTCCTTGCGGCCGTCTGTGATCAGCAAAGAAGAAGGAGGGCGGTGTCAGTCTTGGGCTCAGTCAAACGCGTAACGCGTCGTAGCCAAGCGCGTTCGTGTCGAAGACAGCGGCGACAACTTACCTCGCTTGTATACGTAGATCATCTTGTGTGATTATGACCGCGATGGGAGCGGAGGGGAAAGGGATGCTGGTGATTGGGCCAGATGGTATATGCGAAACGCGTGATAGATGATGGCCTGACGATGGCGATGCCGACAAAGATGCTGTGCGAGAAAGGAACAGTGACGTGCGCGCGGTGATGAAGGGAATGCTGGAGATGCAATGATGAGGAGAAGGAAGTGAGATGGTGAGGGACCACTGCGACGATGGAGGAGGAAGGATAGATGGTCAGACTGATTCGAGGCTGAGCATTATATGTGGATGAGCGCCAAACAACGCGCTGTACTGGGCTGCTGAGGCAAAAATTTGGGTAGGTGTTGCTCTCTCTCTCCCATTGCATGCTGCAGCGAAGGATTCGAGACTGACCTGGCTGAACTGAGCTTTTCGCGTTGGCGTGGCTCATTTACACCAACTCCACGTCGCGCTGCGCCATCAAAGTGACGAGCAGCGCGATTAATTTTCCTCGAGAAGAGCTGCAGCTGTGGACCGCCCGCGTGAGCAAACATGCAGAGCTTGGGCTCGAGACGCGACCGGCTGAAATCAACGGTCTGGCGAGGACGTGACTGATGATGAAGCTGCACAAGTCCAACTTCTCGAGAGCTTTGCTTTGTATAAGCCCATTTCAAGGCGATTGAATTGCTTAAGCCCGGCCTGCAGCTTGACTCCGAGTCGATTTGAACTCTTCTGAAATTCTGCGACGCGTTTTGCTAGGCGCGTAAAGTGGGTTGGAAACGACGGAGTTTGACCGTGATGCAGCGTTTGAACGAGACCAACACTTTGCATCTGCCTGCTCGCTCCTCTTCTGACGACACTGGTGAGGAGCGCCCTCTCTCACGCGAGTTGCATCTTTACGCGACAGTGACGGGGCGGCGTTCGAAGAGAGTCCAGCCACGACCTGGAACGAAACTTCGCGCACGATGAGCGCGTCCTGGTTCCCCGGATTGCAGCCGAGCCTGGATGATGATGGTCGCGACCGCTTCCCCACAGTCGAGCTTGTTGTCGTCGCGGGCGGTGGTGGCCGCGCTGATCGACGAGAGTTTTGAGTGTTGTGAGCATTCCCACAACTCGGCAATGCATCGAGGCCAGCGACCGAATGCCCTCGTTGAGATACGGTGTCTTGCGTGTCGGACACCTCCAACCGTTCCACGATGGATTTGTGAGTGGCCTTGACTCGTCCTCATGACCGACGCTTCTCTGCCTCTCGTCGCACAAGACATCGCGTGAGCCTCGCAGTATCAACGGTACATCGGGCGGCAACTTCTCCTAGACAGACAGTCTCACGAGATATGGCTCAGCTGTCAAACAGCCATGTTAACACCGTACTCGTGCGCCTCGACGTACAAGGTTTGGAGGACGGTGTGCACCGATTCCGGATGATCATCACCGATCTCAGAGCGTTCTGCACTGTTAGAGTTGGTATTGGGCGTGGGTATGCATGAATTTGGGCTGTGACAAGGAGACCGCCAAGTCCCTTGCGAAGAGCCTGTTGCCACAAGCGAGGGCTCATGGCGCGGCTAGCGTGTAGCGGCCGGTCCCTTGCACTGCTTCGAGTCTGTCGCGCTGACCGTCCCGAACATTCGGTCCGCATTGACCCTAGCAGTGTGTGGCCCGAGATGGAATGCACAAGGTCAAAGGCAAGGTAGTGACGCCAGGATGATCGGCTCAATTGACGGCCAGTGTTGGCAAGAGGCAGGGAAAAGGTCGACGCGACGGGCTGTCAGATTGACAGCAGGCGTGTCCCGCGACTCCCGCCTCTGTCCGCCTCAATCGAACACGTCAGAGACAAACAGATTTGAGCTTCCACACCAGCTCGCTAAGCTACAAGCCTTCCGCCTTGACAGCCTGATCTCGCTCAATGACTAGGCGAGGCTCGCTACGTTTGCCATACCGGAGATCCCTCAATCAGAACGGTTGCGCCCCGTCTCGAAAGGGCTAACGGCATGTGACACTATGCCCATCCTACGAGATGCCCTTGCGCCGATAACAGCCACAGTGCAGCTGATCTAATGGAAGGCTCTGGACGAGGAACGCTACTGTAGACCGTAGGAAAGAAGGCCTTCTTTCACACACCGCGCACAGCGGGTCAGCGGTGGTAACAGCGCTCAGCCGCCAAGTAAACGGTGGAAGCCACCCCGTTCGAGGTGACCGACGACCAGGGGCGTTGCACGTTGACTGGCCGACTGCGCCCGTTTTCGAGCAAATAATAATGCAACAGGTTCCCAGCTCGGGCGCTGGCTTTCCTACGCCTTGTCCACGCTTCAAGCTCCGCCTTCACCTTCGGGTCGCACGCGCTCATGCCGTCGCTCGTTCTTGCTCTTTGATGGGAACAACGAATGGCCCGCCGAGCGCGATTTGTACCACTTGGCAACACTCTCACGCCACTTTGACCCCACTTCGTTGCTTGTTCGGGAGCGCCGTCCGTCCACTTGTTACCGACGATAGATGAATCGCTGCCGTCAGCAGGATCGACCGAGTTTCCCAAATTGTTGCAACGATGAAGATAGAGGTGATAAGGGTCCAGCGGGACTTGCGTACCCCTCAGGGGCCCCGTGGATGGACCGATCGAGAGAAGGGAAGACTGATGGCGCCGCGATGCAGGCACCTCTACCTGAAGCCAAACGGACTAGGACGGCATGAAAAAGCTGTCTGTCGCCTGAGGGTCCCTCCTCGTTTCGATCTCCGTCCTCGCCAAAGCAGCTCTTGATGACGGCTCATCGATCTCGCGTTGACTCGCTCGCATGCCGTTCATGTGGTTGGTGGGCCAAACATGGCGAGAGACGACGACAGCCTAAGCGAGCTTCGACTCGTTGAGATTCTCTTTGTTCCCATGATTTGCCGACAGAACAAACGGACATCCAGCAGCAGTTCCAGCAGCCGAACTGGGGCGGGGCTTCCGCGCAACCGCGCGTCCCGTCACACGCCTGTCACTTTTTTCTTCTCACGAGGCGCAGGCACATTTCGGAATGCACCGCACCTGCCTGCAGGGCGCAGAAACATTTTTGTGAGCGGAGGTGAAACAGGCTTCTCGCATGAGAATTTCTGCGCTTCAACCAAGGAGAGGGTCTTTCTGAACTTGAGACCTGTTGGTCTCGGCAGGGTTCGCGTGGAAAAGGGAACCATGAATAGCATGCTCGTCTCGACCCTGCGCAGCCACCATGGCCCCTTCTTTCGTCTTGTGTCAACGGACGGCGGATCGGACCCTCCGGTATCCTTGACCTCGTCAGCTGCTTCATCCCCTCCCAACGATCATCGGCCCCCCTCCGTCATCGTCGCCACCACCTTGTGTCATCCCATCCGTACAATCACCGCCTTACAATCACCGAGAACAATTCGGATCGTTTGCCGACTCATTCTCCCACGCCTCATCACCCCACTCACAATTCATTTTGTGCAGCATTCATTGCTCCTTCACAGCCGCTCTTCAATCTCGATTGCAGCACCAGGGCACACGCAGCATCCTCTCAGATTCAGGCCAAGGTCAGTCTCCAAGCGTACACGTACCGCTTCAGGCAGCCGTGTCTGTGCTCTGATCGTCCATCGCCAAGCACGCGCAAAGCTCGGACCGCCTCGCAAGCAGCGCTAGGACCGCCTCGCATACAGCCTGTGTCTGCAGATCCCGTGCGTGCACTGCTTCAGCAAGTCCGAGTGCTCGCGCCTTCCGCTGTCGCATCCTCTCTCTCTCTTTTAGAGGCTCTTGTCTCGATCTCGGAAAGCTAGGCCAACCCCCAGCAACGGCGACTCGACATCCATCGCCTTGACTCAGCCTGTAGCCTCAAGTACTTACGACGTTGCCCTTGCGGATAATCGTACCTTTCCTCTTCAACACTACACCTTGCTTTCCGCATCCGCTTGAAGCTTCCCCCTTCGTCGACATGGGTTTGTTCGATGTCGGCTCTCTTCGAGCCAAGAAGCATGCCAACCTCAAAGACGCGTCCAACCGCGACGTCCAGGGCCTGTGGCGAAAGAAGGACGATGGACCTTCGAAGGGCCTCGGCCTCTACAACGATGCCCGCCATGGCGCCTCCAGTCGGTCCCTCTCTGCGAACCACGCCTCGGCGTCACTGGCTCCTGCCGCACCCGGCCTTCACACCAAACGCAGCGTATCTGGCATCGACCCGAGGAACTCGGCCAGACAGTCAAAGCTCGAGCGCATGATGGGCGCCGGTGTTCCTCAGATCCAGGTCGTCAGTCGTCAAGATCATTCCGAGCCATTTCGTTTCAACGAAGCAGCAGGTCAGTCTTCCATCGACTCGAATCATTATCGAAAACCATCTGCCGCGCGTGCTTCAGGCCTCACCAAGTCTTTCTCGGTCGCAGAGCTGAACGAGACCAACAATACCTCCTACTCGCGTGTCTTCTCCTCCGACATCTCCAACATCGTCGGTGGCCCCACCACTTTCACCGAAATGTCCGAGGTGGATTGTCCCGTCTGTCTCGAACCGCTCTCCCACAGGCTCGCTGGCGAGAAGCCTCACGTCGTGCCCGTCTGCGGTCACGCTCTTCACAATGCGTGCTTCAGCGCCATCTATGGCCCTCCCGAAGCGCTGCTGGCTGCTCAGAGCCCTGGTAGGCGGCTGCGCGGTCCTGGCGCCGCTTCCAGGCAGAGCGTCGGACCTCCTGGCATGTGCGGAGTATGCCGCAAGCCTATCGCACTCGGAGATGGCAACTCGTCCAAGTCGCAGAAGCTCGCCGGCATCAAGACGCATGCCACCGATTCGCCTAAGCTTCGATCCAAGCTGCTCTTCTCTGATCAGGACGAACCTCTGCAGGCGCATCACGACGACTTTTTGGAACCGCAGTCTTCCAAGGGCCGGGCCACCATCAGCTCAGCTGCCAGCATCTCGTCCAGCTCCTCTACCAGCTACACGCTTCCCACCCTCCGAGCACGCCCCGAGTTCCCGACCATCTACTGCAAGCCCAATGGCAGCCAGCCTGGAAAGCTCAACGTGGTGTCGGTCTTGTCGATCGAGGTGCCCACGCGTCGCACTCTATCCGACCTACGTGAACATGCGCTCGACACCATCTCGGATGAGTACGCCGCCGACACCAGCGGAAGCGGCGTCCGCGAGGACAGCGATTCCCTCTCCGATGATCTCAAGCGCGGTGGCTCAGGCTGGGATATCACCAATGGGACGGATGTCCTTGCCACCGGTGACCCGAGCCGCAGCCCCATGCCAGAAGCACGTGTTGGCTTCACCGAGCAAGGCGACAAGCAAAATGTCATGGCTCGCCCCGTGACACCCGAAGATCAAGGCTTCTCCCACGCCGCTACTCCAGCTGGCGCCCCGCCCATCGACCCTACTCGCGCCGTCCTGGACGATCTGCAGCAACGTGTAGCCGACTGGAAGGGACACTCGATCGAGCACTTTGGCCCGCTGGTTTTGCATGACCTGCTCAACATTCGTCAAGACTCGATCGTCCGTGAATTTCACGTCTACCTGTTCCAGGAAGCGCTGCTCTGTGTCACCGAGGAGCGTCGAAAGGGCCTGGGTCGCTTCGTCCAGAACGGTGCTGCAAGTGGCTCTGGCGCCGCAGTGACCGACACAGGAAAGCCAGCCTTGAAACTCAAGGGGCGCATCTACCTTCGCCACATCCGCCGCGTGCTCGATTCATCGGTCGCCGGCGAGCGTACGCTCAGCATCACCATGGACGACGAGAACCTCGATCAGTTCGTGCTGAGCTTCCGCGAGACCGGCACCATGGATGTGTGGCGGTCTCGGTTGACAGAGCTCACGCAGAATGCTGGCAAGTCTCCTGCTGTTCCCGCCGCTCAAACGGCTGCCGTCCCAACTGCAAATGTTTCGGCTGCCCCTCGCAGCCCTGTGTTGCCGGCATCGTTGGCTGCGGCCGATCCACCCAAGTCGGCGGCGTCCACAACGGATGGCTTTGGTGCTGCCCGTTTGAGCCCCAATCGACCCTTTGCAGCGCAGGCCGTCACCAGCGGCTCTGCGTCTGTCCTGAGCGGCAAGTCTGGCTCTCAGCATGGAGGTTTCGCAGCTGTTCAGTCCCAGAACAGTCGAAGGCTGTCCAACGTGTCGTCCTGCCGCAACAGCAGCCAAGGCCATGGTTCGAAAGCGGCGCATCGCGTCTCTGTCTCGAGCGATGTGCTGCCCTCATACCAGCAATGGTCCAGCTCTGGTGGACTGGATCCTCGAGTGCCGCCGCCCAGCATGCTGCCTCACACGCCGATCGACCTTGTCCTCATGATCTCGGTGCCCTCGGTGCTCCCAGAGCACATCACCGGCTCGATCAGCTCATCTGCAGCGCTCAAGCTGCGACTCATTCGCTCCTCGCTTGACTTTGTCATCCACAATCTCGGACCCAACGATCGTGTCTCACTCGTCGCGTTCACTGTGGGCATTGACGGTGAGGTCAAGAGGACCGGTCTGCTGAATCCACATCGCGAGGCCAGCCGCAAGCTCTTGGAAGAGTTCGTCCAGAACATTGGCCAGCCGTTGGAAACGCAGGCCGCCGACTCGTTCAGCGTCGACCTCAGCAAGCTGGGAGGCTCGACCGAGCGCATCGACTCGGTGACCGCCGTCAATGTCGGTCTCGATGTGGTGCTGGCGAGGAAAGCCAAGAACCCGGTGACGAGCATGATGCTGATCAACGACACTTCTGACGGTCCCAAGCGCAACCAGATGGATCTGGTCATGGCACGAGCCGAGGCCGCCAACGTCGCCATCCACTGCTTTGGCTACGGCAAGACGCACGACCCCTCCTCACTGTGGCTCATTTCGAACCACACGCGAGGCTCGTACACGTTCGTTCGCGAATGGTACCAGCTGCGCGAGTGCATCGCCGGCTGTCTTGGCTCGATGATGTCGGTCGCGCTCACCGACGTCAAGGTCCACATTGGCGTGCCTCAGGACAACTGCTTCAGGATTCGCAAAATTGCTGGTCTGCCCGGTGCGATCATCTCGTCTTCTGGCAAGGACGTCGACATTGACATTGGCGAGATCAAGTTTGGCGAGGCCAAGGATCTTCTGGTCGAGCTCGAGCTGGACTTGGCGAGCCTTTTGCCGACGCTCATGGAGAACAGGCGCGAGAGCAAGAGCATCGGTCTCAGGCCGATCGAGCAGGGAAGTGCGACGGACGACTTTATGCAGAGGATGGGCATCCAGGATCTCAGCCTCGTCGAGTCGGATGGCGCTGACGGCTTCCTCGAACAGATGGTGGAGGAGATTGGCGTGTTTGAGGCTGACGTCAGCTTCAAGGACCCTGCCACGGGCATGATCACGTCGCGCCTGCCCAACCCGGGTGTTCTGACACTCGAGATCGACACGCACTCGACCGATCCATTGACCAACGGCCCACCTGGCTTGGCGGCCATTGTAGCCGAGCCCACCGTGACGCGCCGAAGACTCGAGGTGCTGGTGTCAGAGATGATCACGCGATCGCTGCTGCTCATCTCCCGCAAGAACTACGGTCAGGCGCTCAAGGTCATCACCGAGACGCGTCGCATCATCGATACGGTGGTGCAGGCGCTCAACGGGCCGAACCAGTCGAAGCGTCGTTCGCTGGTGGTGCACCGTTCGAATCAGAGACGCGTCCGTGAGGCCGCCAACCAGCGAACCATCTCGTCGCTCATGGCCATGATGAGTGATCTCGACATCCTCAGCGAAGGCCTCGAACACCAGCACCGTTCGAGCTTCGACCGCGACGGACGCAACTTTGGCGCCCAACAAGCGATGATTCTGCGCGACCAGAAGGCCTGGACCGCGCGCACGGATACCGAGTATCTCTATTTCAGGGATGACAATGCTGCTGCGTTCACGGCTTGGTCTGCCTCCTTCGCTTCGATGCGATAACAGACGAGAACCTTGGCGATGCGAGAGGATAAGGTTTGACCGATACCCGATGTCTCTTCGATGAGATTCACACTGTCACTTTTTGTTGTTCCGGATTCGTGGGTAAATGGTCACGCTCTTTTTGTCATGGCCGCCGTCGAAGCGTGAGCGAGAGAGACAGGCTTGGCAGCGCCAAGGGTCTGGTGCGTTCGTGGGCGTTGAGAGTGCGCACACAAGCTTCTTGGTGATGAGTGGACATTAGATGGGGTCCAGAACGTCGTACACAATTCATGCTTTGAGCGTGCGGTTGCAAATTCACACCTAGAGTCAGAGAGAGAAAGGTACGTGGGCCAGCTGTCAGCTCTGACGGAGAGAACAAAGTGGGTCGAGGGTTGAGGGTTGGCAGCTGCCAAGGAAAGGCCAAGCGGCTGGTCTAGCAGGGAGGGGCGAAAAGGGCGCAGCGAATCAGACAAATTGCCCGATTTCCGTCCCCTGCCAACCCACCACAGCCAAGACGATGACCCAAGTGGCTGGGACACCCTTGGCCTGCATACACTCGAGACTACAATGAAGCGGCCAAGAAAGCCCTGACGACGCCGAGAGCAGACTATCCTCTACGCGGTGCGTGGCGAGGGCGTCCTCGGCTGGCACGGATGACGATCTCACAGATCGAACGGGTTGCTCGGCTAGGCAGTGGCATAAGCGACAGAAAGGTTTAGAGGACCATCGCAGTGGATCGAGCGGTGGGATGTGGAGTGATCGCATCGGGAAGCATCCTTTTGGCGAGGCGAGGGGTGACGGCGCTTTGCCTGGCGAGAAGGTCGGCAACAAGATCGGTCTTGGCTCGCAAGAGCGAGCTGGGAGGCCATCACAACCTCTCACTTCGGTCATCACCTCAAGCTGTCAGCCTTGTCTAGCTCAGTCATCCACCGGGCGGCTAACGAAACAATGACAGCTCAATCCTGCGAGACAGGCTGTACCATCCACTGCGAGTCATCAACAGCGCGAGTCGGGTGGCGAGCAGCGGAGAACGAATCCGGCCCCGAACTCAGCAAAGCGCGACCCAATGAACCCTGTGAGCAGCTGGCTTGCAGAGCTGCTGATGATCGACCCTGGGCACGGGTCAGCACGACAGGTGGGCAGCAGCTGTGAAACTCTGACTTGCCAAGAGAGGAGCGAGGCAAGTGGGTTGGGCAAGTCGACTCTGCTGTGCCAAGCCGGGTCAAAGGCAAATGCCAAGCTTCTTGGGATTTGGGCCCTTTCTGCCTGCCCAACCGGACAGCAGCGCAGCGCAGCCAAGGCAAGGCGGAAATTTATTTTAGGCAGAATTGGACGCACTGCGCTGCGCAAGCGCAGTTCGGTGAGGGTAAACGCCAAGAAAAAATAAACCCTGCTGGTTGCTTGGCCCTCCTCCCCTTGAGCTGGTTGATGGCTTGGCTGCGGGTGAATGCTGCATGATGAAGAGTGGATTCTGTCGCCTGCTGGTAGCGGTATGAGTTGTTCATGCTTTGATGCGCAGCTCATGCCGAGGTTTCGAGGTTGTGCTGAATGGTCAAGGTGATATATATGCTGAAGGGTTGATCGTTAGTACCCTCGACATCACCCATCGACCTTTCGCACCTCCTATGAACACCTCACCGCATAAATCGGCATAGCAGCATTGAGCACAGTGCTCTCTACACCTCTCACAGCGCGCTAGCTTCACCACCACCCAGTTGCTCTCGCCAACATGCCGCTTCTGATGTCCCGCAAGGCGTCGCCAGAGGCCTCGTCCTCCTCAGCCTCGTTTCGCTCTCGCTCCAGCGCCTCGTCCTCCTCGCACCGCTCCACCAAATCATCCCAGAAAGCGAGCGAGCTTCGTGCGCGCTACGAGATGGCGCAGGCAATCCAAAAGCCCTGGCCTTTGCATCTGCTGGAAAACGGCGTTAAGCCGGCCGCACCCACCACCGCTAGCGCGCCCACACCTCGTGCTGCGTCCACCCACAACTCTACCGCGCGCCCGTCATCGCGCCCACGCAGGGAGCACGAGGAGCTGACAAGTCTCGATACGGAAAGGAGCTCTAGGAAGCGCGTTTCAGCGGGGTCAGAGAAGGGCTCGCTCTCGCCAACACTGCCCGGGATAAGCAGCTGGATTCGCCGTGCAAGCAAGGACTCCGAGAAGAGCGTTGGTAGCAACAGCAGCGACTCGTCGAGCTCGCCAAAGGACCTTTAATGAAAGCCGAGTTTCAGTCACAAGCACCATGGTGGTGCCAATATACCCTCCTTCTCTGTTAATCCTCCCGGGCATTTCACTTGTAATGGACTACGCATGACACATCACCCTTTGACGTGTTGGAATCGTGATTGAGATCAAAGTGGCCGTGATGCCGATCGAGCTCGTGCCGATAGCTCTACGCGACAAGTGTGAAAGATGAACCGAGATCACCCAGATGGTTTCGAATATTGCGGGTCACAATGTTCTGCCGTTACTCGTGTCGCCCACGCCGAATGACAGAGGCTCAGCTCAAGTGAGGTTGATGTGCGCGCGCTCGCAAAGTTCAATCAAAAGTCGACGGTGGCCTTCTCAGTATCGTCATTTCAGCTGCTGGTAGATTCTGAAGTGGTCCTAGTCTGTCATGATGTCTGAAAGCATCCTCCCACATGATGCCAAGGCGGATACGAGACCATCTCTGGCCGCATTGTAGCTGGACGTGTCGTCGTCTGGCTGCTGGTAGGATTCCCTACGAAGAGGAATGACAAACGTATCGCGCTGGCAAGCACGTCGCACGAGACTGTGAGCTGAAGAGATTGGCTGGTTGGCTAATTTACAATGCATGGAAAGACATCGGAAGCGATGTCATGTCGACGTCAGGACAGAAGGATCGTTCTGAATCCCTGGTGACATCTTTTGGGCGGCCGCGTGGCGTGCGTTCGAGCCGGACTGTGGTGAAGAACAAGCTGATGCAAGGGCCTGCTGGAAAGGCCGCTGAGTGTAGCTGCGGCGCTGCGGCATCTATTGGTCCTCGAGGGCTAGCTCGAGGTCAGCGCCATAGAGCTTGGTGTTGAAGAAACCAGGGTCGAGCCAGTTGACACGGACGTAACCGTCCTCACCACCTGACGCATATGCGGTACCGGCAGGGTGGATGGCGATGGTGTTGATGGGGCCGAAGTGACCTGGGAGACGGGCGCACTCCTCCTCGAAGACCTTGTGCCAGAATCGGGTCTCAAATCGACCTTGCCTCGCCGACGTGGTGGTGACGTTCATGGCATCCTGACCACCTCCGACAATGACATATGGCTTGGTGGGGTGAATCGAAGCGCTGTTCAAGGGTGTCTCGGTGGCGTATGTCTTGATCACCTGCAATGTCTTGGAGTCGATGAGCTTCGCCGTCTTGTCTCGGGACGAGGTGACAAAGTAGGTGCGGTCGGCGCTCATCTGAAGATCCGAAAGGATCTCGGTGTGTGCCTTGGTCGAGTTCTCCTCCAGCTCGGCGTCGATTCCGCTCTCGGGCTCCTTGTCGTCGTGGTAGTAGAGTGCGACCTTGCCGTCCTCATGGCCGGTGACGATGTACTGGTCGCATGGGGCGAAGGCTGCAACGACCGCCTTGGGACCGGAAAAGGTGATGGTGCGAATAGGTTCAGAGTCCTGCTGGGTCCAGCTGGCAGGGTCACGGTTGATGCGGAAGACACGCAACGAGCCTCGGAAGCCCATGCGCTGTTCTGTGACGACGAGAACCTGTGTGCAGTCTTCTGAGAAGGCGACCCGCTTGGCGGCGGTGGTGAACTCCCAGACGAAGAGGCACTTGCCGGTTGCCACCTCCCAAAGGCGCATCTGGTTGTCGGCGGAGCCAGAGACAAGAAGAGTGGAGGTGGAGTCTACGTCGACGGTCCAGACGGTACCGTTGTGGCCCTCATAGGTGCCGAGACGCTCGCCATTGTGCGAGAACCAAGCATTGATGGTGGGGTCCTTTGCGACCGAGAAGAGAAGGTCACCTTCGCGGTTGAACTTGACCTGGGTGAGCGAACGCTCGTGACCCGACAAGAGAATGGGCCGCATGATATGTGTATCTGCGGTTGCGAGAAGCCGTGGTGGAGATCAGGTAGGAGGAGGATCGCGAAGACGATGCTAAGCTTGACACTCGGGCGAGGGGCGCAAAAAGATTTCTCGCCAGAACACGCAGTCGAGAAAAAGCGCGGCAGCAGCTCAGTACGTTGTTCTCGCTGCTGACCCTTGCCCTCTTCAGGACCCTCGAGAAGAAAGGGCCGTTCTTCGTGCCTTGACTTGAATCGATTTGTATTGGGCGTGGCCACGACTCACTACAGGTGCAACGTAAGAAGGAATAGAAACTTTGTGGCCATTTATTTTCAAATGAACGCGTTGCCCCAAGGCAAGGGTGTGGGACTTCGCAGTCTAACAGACTGCGTCAAAACCCGTGCGAGTGGAAAGGTCGTCCTCCTCACGCGACTTGCTGATCCTTGCGGCGTAGGTAGAAGCTCACTCGCCAAGCGAGATCAGGGTCACGGTGACTGGCTTTTCGCTCAGATGGGATGGTCAGCACTGCAGTCACGCATAGAGCTTTGGCTGATCTGCTGCCACAACGACGACGTATCGGTATCGGAATGTATTGTCAGCAATCACCCCGAGCCCGGGTGAGTTCCGACAGAACAGGCGGTTGCAAGTGGCGTCCAAACACCTTCATGCTGCACCGAAAGAGGTGAAGGTGTGATTGATTGCAGGCCAAATCGCAGAGTGCGTGCATTGTGCATGCTGGACCTCAAGACAGGCATCAGGGCCAATACAATTTTCGACTTAGGCCCGCGTGGGCGGATAGCAAAAATGCGACCAACTTCCACGGCCAAGAGAGAGGGCAATTGGGAAAGGAAAAGCCCGGCGAACGACCCTTTGAAGCGAGTCGAGTGTGGGACAGAGTGCGGGACTCACACACTGCTCAGCTGTGGAGAGAAAGGGAAGACTTCTATACCCAAGGTCCATTCTGGCTCAGACGCTTGCCCTTGCTCGACTCCCTCGCTCACACGCACAAACACACACTCACAGACGCCGCGCGTCACCTGCTGCAAGCAGATTGCGATCTCCACCTGCTCTCGCTCTCTCCCATAAACTGCATCTGCAAGTGTGCCTGTCCGCCGCCGCTTGTTCCGCCGCTGTCTACTGCCCCAAACAGCTCAGCTGTGCTCCCTCTTGGTGATAGTTGGTCGGTCGGATCCGTCATCCTGTTGCTCCTCTGTCCCGAACCCTTGTCACCTTCCCTTCCTCTTCTCCGTCACCATCCGGCATCGATCCGATCCTGCTCTCCTCTCTCTCGCTCTCGTTGGGTCCTCTTCCGCACTCAGTCGGCTTCTCCGACCTCTTCCGCAGTCAACCAATCATTGGCATCCATCCCTTTTTACGGACGGCATTCGCATTCGAAATCGTCTCGTCAATCAAGGCACTCCTCTAGGCTGCCATCCTTCCTCATACCAAACAATCATCAGTAGCTTCTCATCGGTGCAGACATTCTGACAACTCGACCATCGGAACGCAGTCTCGAAAGCAATCGAACTCAGTCGTAGTTTCTTCTGCATTTCAGCGATCCACGCTCCACTTCCTAAAACATGGGTCAGACACTCTCGGAGCCCGTCACGGAGAAGACCACGTCTTCGGGCGGCAATGACTCGGTTCTTTACGCAATCTCCGAGATGCAAGGATGGCGCATCAGCATGGAGGACGCCCATACCACCATCCTCGACATCAAAAATGGCTCGGGTGGTATTGTTGGCAACTTCTTTGGTGTCTTTGACGGCCACGGAGGTGAGTTTCTCAGCACGCCGCTGCAGCCCGCCAAGGACATCCTGAACTGACAATCTCTGCCATGGCTCATTCGACTCGTATCATTCACAGGCTCTTCCGTTGCACAGTATACCGGCCGCAGCTTGCACAGCGTTCTCACCGGAGAGGAAAGCTTCAAACAGGGCAAGTACACGGATGCACTTGAAAAGGCCTTCATTAACGTCGACGAGGATCTCAAGAAAGGTATGTTATCTTGCAGCCGCTTCTGGCCGCCTCCAGCTACCTCTCACTAGGAACAAACGAGGCTGACACTCACTTCTTGCTGATCGCGCCACAGATCCTAACTACACAAACGATCCCTCGGGCTGCACTGCCGTAACCGCTTTCATCAAGACCACCGCAAACGACCCGAAACGGGTCGAAAAAGTCTTTGTAGCCAACGCAGGTGATTCCCGATGTGTCCTCTCTCGGGGTGGAGCGGTCATGGAGATGAGCACCGATCACAAGCCTACACTCGACTCGGAGCGCCAACGTATCGAAAATGCAGGAGGCTACGTCAGCTGGGGTCGTGTCAACGGTAACCTTGCCCTTAGTCGAGCTATTGGCGATTTCGAGTTCAAGAGGTCTTTCGAGCTGCCAGTGGAGCAGCAGATCGTCACCGCCTTCCCCGAAGTCCTCGAGAAGGACATCGTCGAATCCGAAGACGAGTTTCTCGTGCTCGCTTGCGACGGCATCTGGGATTGCCTCAGCAGTCAGGATGTGGTCGACATCGTGCGCCGATCCGTGGCCAACGGCAAGGAGCTCACAGAGATCTGCGAGGACCTCATGGACCGCTGCCTCGCGCCAGACTCGGACACCGGCGGCATTGGTTGCGATAATATGACCGTTTGCGTCGTTGCGCTGCTCAACGGCCGAAGCAAGGAGGAGTGGTACTCGTGGATCCAGAAGAACATCGAAGTTCCCAAGTTCAACCGCACTACTCCTCAAGATGTGGCTCCCATTTTCAAGAGCACGCAGCCCTCTTCGCGTGGCCAGGACAGCGGCCAGGACGGCACCGTGAGCATCCAGTCGCTCCTTGCAGGTGGGTCGGCGCGCGGCGAGGACGGCGACGACGAGGCAGGAGGCTCGCTTCGATTGCCAGGTGGTCTGGCGGGTGCGCTGAGCGGCGCTGGTATCGTGTTCCGACCTGGTGGACGCTCTGAGGGCGGTGAAGTGGTGTACGAGGCGCATGTCGTTGACGAGGATGACAGTGGCGATTCCGACCAGAGCAGCGGCGAGTCTGGCACCAAAGCATCCACCGCCACCTCGACCGAAACAAAGGACGCCGAGCCAAGGCTGGTGGAGTCGCCTCACGCGGACGCCAAGCCGGCCAGCTCCAGACAAGAGGCGGACAAGATGGAGGTGGATGACGAGACCGGCGCGTCTGGCAAGACACAAACGAGCATTTGAAAGGCGCAGCGAAGCACGCTTCCTATCCGTTCTCACTCTACACAGTCTCCGAAGCCAAGTCCGCCAACAAATGCCCCTCTCCCCTTACTGGTCAACACCAATCATTCTCCACGCCGACCTCAACCTCGTCCGGTCCCCGCGAGCATTCTCTTCCGTTCCCCGACCAAAACAAACGATCGATTCCTCCCTCTGCGCGGGTCACCTGACGTTGTAGACAATACGATACCAGCTTTGCCATATGCCACGAGAATTATTTAAGCGACCCCATGCGTGTCCGATCGGCTTAACCGTGGCTTGCTTCTCTGTTGGTAGTCGTTCGATGTCGTGATAGTGAGCTGGAAGCAGTGAATGGAGGATGGCGGAGAGTGGCGAGGTCGAACATCAGATCCTCGGACGAGGGCGGTGAAGAGCTGCAATAGGGTTTGAGCGCGAGATTGGCGAGATGCGGCTTCCACAAAGCCGAGCCGCTAACAAGCAAGGCGACCCTGCGGTGGACCCCTGTTGATCATGTGGGGGCGGGCCTTCGACACGCGCGCTGGCGGGCCGGCGCTCCAAAGTGACACATGCACACCCGAAAAATGGCGCAGCTCAAATTCAGACCCTGGCTACATCTCGCTCTCCTCCCTCTTTGCCCCTCTCTCGTTCGACCATTGTCCGCTTTCTCGAGTCTGCTGTGCTTCTGCTACGACATCTCCTCACGCCTCGATCGTCAGAGACAGCAGATCATGCGAGACACATCCAGCTCGTCGTAGCAGTCGAGGGCACACGTTGCTTTGCTGCTCCTGGCGAAAGGCGTCGTCGCTGTTCTACAGCCATACATCTCTGTGAATCCCTCCAGCTCTTCAAGCACACGCACACTAGGCATCAGGCATTGTCCACACGATGCCTTTCAACTATGGCTTTCTCAGCCACAGCGACCCGCTTACCTTCGACCCAAACAATTACGTACTCACCACCAACGGCTTCGGCCTCTTTCTCACGCAAGTGATTATCATCATCGTGCTATGCCAGCTCCTCGGAAAGCTCTTCAAGCTGATCGGCCAACCGGCCGTGGTCGGAGAGCTACTTGCTGGCATCCTTCTTGGCCCAACAGCCCTGGGCAACATACCCGGCTTCACAGAGACCATCGTTCCAACACAAGCCTTGGGTCTTCTCAAGCTCATGGCCAACATCGGCCTCTCTCTGTTTCTCTTCCTCATCGGGCTCGAGACCGACACGGATCTCATGGCAAAATACTGGCAAAAGGTCGTGCTCATCACTTTGCCTGGCATGGCCATCCCCTTTGGCATCGCGGTCGGCATCTCGAGGCTCATCTGGATGATCGAAACGGACCAGACGGTCAAGTTTACCACCTTCTTCCTCTTCGTCGGCACGGTCATGGCCGTCACTTCGCTCTCGGTGCTCTCACGAATCATGGCGGAGATGAATATCCTTAGCACTCGACTCGGATGCATCACCATCGCTGCAGGCGTCTGCAACGACCTCATCGGCTACGTCTTGCTCGCACTGGGGTCGGCTCTCGGTACGGGCGGCAAGCAGATTGATGCTCTGTACCAGTTGCTAGCCGCCGCTGGCTACATCGTTCTGCTATGGTTCATTTTCCGACCTGTCATGAACCGTCTCATCGTTCGTAGCGGATTCGATATGGCAACAGGAGCAGAGGACCGCGTTCCTGAGCATTTGCTGGTCATCGCGCTCTGCGGTGCTCTTATCAGCGCCTTCTACACCGATGCCATGGGCGTCCACCCAATCGTCGGCGCCTTCAGCTTCGGCGTCTGCTGTCCACATGGCAACTTTGCTGTCAAGGTCACAGAAAGCATCGAGACGCTGGTGATGCTCGTCCTGCTTCCCCTTTACTTTGTCACCAGTGGCCTCAGCACCAATTTCAAGCTTCTCGACGACGGAACCTGTTGGGGACTCATCTGTCTCTTGATTGTCGGCATCTTCGTCAGCAAGTTCGGCGCCACTGCCGCCTCTGCCAAACTCGCTGGGATGACATGGCGCGAGTCGATGTGCGTCGCGAGTCTCATGCAGAGCAAGGGCATCATCGAGATCATCATCCTCAATGTCGCTCTTCAGCTGGAGGTGGTCAGTCCGAAGGTGTTTGCGATGCTGGTCATTTGCTTCCTGTGCACCACAATGTCGGTGCGTCCCTTGTCGCGGTACGTCTACTTCTCCAGTCTGGCGCAAAAGGGCGCCGCAAGCAAGAGCAACGAAGGGGATGAGAAGCATGGTCACGGCGCGAACGAAGAAATTCAAGACTCGAAGCTGAGAGATGACGCAGATTCGGCTGACTTTCCCATCACGGTCGCGATAGCATCGCCAAGTCCAGCAACGAAAACGCTCATGTTTCTGCTCAACCTGATCGGCCCAGACTCGGACGGACACAGCCCGAACGCGAACAGTAGCGGCCATGAGGCAGGACAGATCGCGGTCGATCTCCTTCGCCTGCTACCCACAGAATACACGACCTCCTCGATCATGCAACTGATCAACGTTTCGGACGAGCGCCAGCGCGACGAGATGATGGAAAGCCTCAAGAAAGTGCAACAGCTCTGCAGAGTTCCCACGTCGGCGGTCCTGGCGAGGGAGAAGAAGCTCAGCCATTCATCTGCGACCGCCACCGCACCAGGTGCGAATGGCGTCTCATTTGAAGTCCCGCCCGACACTTTCGTCGTGCCCCGCGACGAGATGATCAAGATGATTGGACAGCAGAATGCAAAAGCGCAGCACCGACTCGGCACATCCGACCCGACGCTTTCCGAACTCGGACGAGGCCTTGCACTCGTCACATGGGAGGCCCATCACTCGTACGGTCGAGGTCTTTCATGGCTCGGCATGGCCGCAGCTGCTAGCGGACTTTCCTTCTCCAAGGCGCTGAACGAGGAAGATGCTTCCGTCAGCTTCTGGCAGGCTAATTCGGATGCACAGTCACTTCCTTCGCGGCTGTTCCGCGACCTCCGCAAGCAGTGCGCCACGGGCGTCTTGCTGGATCCTAGCATGTCACAGCAATCGGGCTCGTCGGTCATTGTTTCACTCGATCACGGAGCAAAAGCAGCGCTGCGGCGAGAGCTGGAGGGCCGTCATGACCTGCGGAGACCATCTGGCATGCGCCGTATCCTGATCCCCTTCTTCGGTGGAGCGGATGATCGCGCCGCTGTAGAGCTTCTGCGCAAGGTTGTTCTCAACTCTCCCGGCAGCATCCAAGGACTGGTCATCACATTCACCAATGCAGACGAAGCGGAGACTAGCAACGCCATCGCATCCCAGGTGAAAGCGCAAGCCCCGATGACACCCTTGCAGCATCTGACGGTTGACGACGACGAGCACATTCAGTCGATCAACCTGCAGACCGTCCACCAGAAAGAGGCTGCTCGCGTGGATGCTCGATTCCTCTTCCACCAGCAGGATGCGTCCAATGCTGCGACCACCGTCCCACCGATTTCGGAGGACCTCGTGGCTACCATCGACACGCAAGGTCAGAGCGAGTCTGAAGACAGCTCCTCACCGGCGACAGAAGACGAAAGGCTGGCAAAGCCGCTTGCCCAGCGAACGTCGACTACGCGCACCGAAGCGGGGATCATCTTCCTTACTCTTCCCTCCTCACCCGAGACCGCCACAGCCCCCATCAGCACGATGAGCAAAGTCCTTCTGCCGCTCCTCGACGAGCAGCAGGACATGCTTTTCATCGGAAGAGGCAAGTGGAACCAACGACCCAAAGAATTCCGCCAAGAGGTCGAACGCATGCACGCCGAGCAGCTTGCGTCATCCTCACCTATACCCGAGGAGCTGAGGGAGGAGCACCGTGCCATCGGCAACTGCCTGGGCGCCGTGACCGAGGGTCTGCTGCTGCAGTCGCTGCGGTCATGTGCGATTGTCGTGCAGGCTGCCCAGCAGTGATTTGTCAAGTTATCATGGGGATCTTCACATTGCGAGTAGGGTCGCTTGTTCTCCCTCATGCCTTTCAGATACCTAGACGTTCTTACACGTATTTCACCTAGCATAGCATACCTAAGTTCGGAGCATCAGTCCATCGCATTTGCAATCGCATCTTGTTCAGCATCATCGTCTTTGTTCGTTAGCTCGGTGTCGAACGCGCCCCTCCTCTCTCGGAATGCACTCGATTCGGAGAACCCTGAACGAGCACCACCGTCGCGAATCGACCGCGACGCTCTCAAAGCTGTCGTCAGAATCACAGACTGCACACGTGTCGATCTCAGCGATGATGTTGAGTTTGATGCGAGTGTGTGCAATTGAAGCAAGGACCTTTTCGCTGAGCAAATCGTCCTTCAACCGGAATCGCATCCCCACCCCGCCCAATTTTCGCCATCCATCGGATCCCTCCCCCAATCGCCCACGCCATACCTACACCCTTTACCATTGACAAACGCATCGCCAAACCACTTCTTCATGAGCAGCGCGACGCTGTTCTTGGCGGCGACGGTGGACGTCTCCATGGTGCTCACCAGGCTCTCGAGGGCGTTGGAGTAGTAGAGATTGTCGTCGATCTCGATGTGCGGGAAGCGATCGGTGGGATGCAGTTGAGGGTAGCTGTCCCATTCGTGGCGTTGAACCCACGAGATCGAATCGCCGAAGAGGGAGTCTAGCAAAGAGACGGGGATGGCGGAGGGGGAAAAAATCTTGACAACCCATTCCTTACCCCCGTCCTGCGGGTGCGTGACGCTGCGCAGGTAGGTGAGGGAGAAGAATTCCAGACGAGGGCCCTTTTTGGAGGTGTCGCCTTTGGCACGACGGACGCTCTCGGACGAAGTGAGGATGGTCCGTGGCACAGCGTCGTTCTCGCCCATGCCAAAGTAGGACCCGCGTGGGCTGGTGCGACTGGTGGTAAGCAGCGTGACGTGCAGATGGACGAACGGTACACCTTTAACTCGGTGCGGCGTGTTGAGCAGCGTGATCCCGCTGTTGTGCCACGGCGTGGCGAGGATGACTGCATCGAACAGCTCCCCTTCGCCGCTCTTTGAGCCTACATACCACTTGGTCCCGTTGGCCGTCGGGTAGCGGATGAGACCCGTCACTTCGCCTTCCACGCCAGTGAGGATGCGTGCGCCGCTCCGCTTGGCGAACTCTTCGAATATGCGAAAGTTGCCCGTCTTGACGCCTGTCGCTCCGGACGCAGCGAGGCTGACCATGGCCCCAAAGGCATGAATCGCATCCGTATCCTGGGCATAGTTCACCCGCGTCGCAGCCTCGACCATCTCCTCGATGAACAGTTCGCCCACTCGATGGTCCTTGAGGAACGCCATGCCTGTTTGGCCGACCAAACTCGATGCGTTCACAGCCTCTGCAAGCTCGCCTACGGTAGACCATGGGTACCCGGACACCGTCTCCTTTCTCTCTTTCTCCCCCTCCCTCTCCCTCGAATGCAGAAACGGCGCCCGATACAGCCCGCTGAACCACCCCAATTGCCTCGCCACCAACCCCTGCGTTGTCACCGCCCCATACCCATACCTCAAAAAGAACCTCGCGCTCGTCCACCAACTCCCCTGGTCGCCAGTGAATAGGAACTGCTGACCATCCCAGATACCCGTTTCGCCACCAACACCCGTATGTGCGCCTGTGTCCAGTTTGAAGTCCTGCACCGCCCGGCGAAGGTTGTAGTTGACATCGGCGAAGATGCTCGCTCCGAGCTCGATGGGGTCGTAGGAGGTGTTGGTGTAGGGGTGCGTGATGGCCGCTCGCCCACCGAGGATGGGGGATCGCTCGAAGAGGGTCATAGAAAGGGTGGTGGTGTGGTTGAGGGAAGAGAGGTGCGACGCGGCGGTGGAAAGGAAGTATGCTGCAGATGTGCCGGAGGGGCCCCCGCCGACAATGGCGATGCGCCGGACGTCGGCGGTCTCTCGAGATGGGAAGAGTGGCGGTTGAGGGACATCGGACTGTGTTCGTGGTGTGGTGGTGGCGTCTTGTGCGGCCGAGAATGGATGCTGATGCGAGACGACCGCGTGGACGAGTGCGAGGAGGAGGGTGAGGTGCGCTAGCAGCGAGATGCGGATCATCGTTGCTGAGCCCGCCCAAGCAGGGGCCGTTGCGATTCCGCTAGACTGACTTCAACTAGGGCGCAGAGGATAGGGCTGCAACGACGGCAGGTGATCGATCTGCCCAAGACGGTCTTGAGCCGCTCCTGATGGGAGTGTGAGCAAGATGATGGCAGAAAGCCCGCGAGACGATGATGAGAGGCAGGATAGGTCCTGTCAGCTCTAAGGAAATTCAGGGTCTCGCGCAGGGTTTTGGTTGCGCATGGGGCATCGTCAGCGCGCAGCTGCAGCTTTTTCTGCCGAAAAAAAAAAAGAGAGCCTAATGCGGTGAACCAAAAAAATTGAGGTCGCAAAAATGCAGCCTTTCGGGCATCCCATCAGGCTCTTGGCCCGCCATCGCGCAATGGACGAGGCACAATTTTCTTACACTGATCATCAACCATTGCGCGAGATCCGTGACATGTTCGCAAGAGGAGCTGCGTTTCTACCGGTGACATTGAGAAGCCCTGCGAGTGTAGGTAAACGGCGGATGGTAGACTACATGATTAGAAGGAAACGGAAACAGGTGACTTAAGAGGGGTAGGCAGGGACGGAAAGCGAAGGGATCCGTGACAAATTGTTCAATTGGGAAGGGGTTTCGCGACTAGACACGGACCGCAGAGTCGACCAGCGGCCTGCCTTCCATACGCGGGTGCCAGTCGGCGCGCGGCTGATCCAGCATCGTCTGCGAGTGGGCGAGTGGCGATCGGGCGTGGGTGGCAATGGGAGGAGGGGGAACAGCAAAGTAGTAGGGACCGGCGGACGAGCGTTGCGACGCCTCGTCCTTGTCGCCGTCGGACACTCTGCGGCGAGCAGGCGAGCGGTCGTCTTCGTCGGAGTCCTCAGCCCAGCGCTTGACGCCGGGAGAAGCACCGTTGACTCTGCTCGCCTCTGTAGGCGGTGGGTGCGCTGGGTGGGCGTGTGGCGAATACGGACGGTACTCCCTCATGTGTTGCGGCGCTGAAGCATGAGTGAAACCTTGAGCGATACCCTTGCCAAACGCGTTCGACGGCAGACCACCGACCCTCGGGCCGTTGCCCGCCTCGCTGCTGCTGCTGCTCCCGCTGCCGCCAGCCATTTGCCCTGCACCACGTCGCTCTTCGTCCCCACCCGGTCGGCCAAAGCGCCTGAGGTCGTCCTTGTCATCAGGCGGACTGCGGTGGTTGCCATAGCTGATCGGGTGGCTCTCCATGGGCATTCTGTGCTGTCGGTCTACGACGCCCTCCAGCTCGCGAATGTACTCCAGGGCGCGCTTGAGGATGGTCGCTTTGCTATCCTGCCCGTCGCGGCAGGCAGGAATGGCCTGGCGCAGATCTTCAAACCCGGTGTTGATGCTTTCGCGACGCTTCTGCTCCGACAGGAGATGGGCGACTCGACGGTTGGCGTTGACGGTGGTGGGTGGGGCGGGCGCCGGTGCGACCGAGGTGCCGGCTGCAGTGTTGGGGCGGGGAGGCTCCATGCCCGCCATCATGCGCATCGGAGCTTGACCGGGTGCGGCACTGTGACGACGTGGCTCGGGCGGGCTGTAAGGGCCAGGTCCATACGGTCGAGCGGCGGAATACCTTGCATCGTCCTCGCCGGTACGAGGGCGGACACGACGTGCGTCCTCCGCGAGATCCTCCATGGGTCGACCTTGCGCATAATGCGGGCCAGGTCCGAAGCCAGGCCCATTCTCGTATCCATACGCTGGCGGACGGGCTCGCTGGTCCTCGCGCCACCGCTGCTGCTCCTCCATCGCTCGCTCGCGTGCGTACTCCGGATGGCCAGGGGGAGGCGCAGACCTCCACGCTCCTTCATCGCGCATCCCTGCGGCTGGCGGCGCAGGCATTCGCTCGCCCGATCGCTGCCAAGGTGGCATGCGCGGACTATATTCTTTGGCGGGCGGGAAACGGTCGTGCGTGCGCCAAGCCTCGTCAGTGGGGGGTGAGTTGCGCTCGTACGGACCGCTGTGCGCGAACTTGGAGGAAGGAGGGCCGTAGGGTTCGTCGCCGCGAGGGTAAGGGCCGGAGCGGACAGGCTCCATGTCGCGGGCGGGCGGCAAGCGAGGGAGAGGTCCAGCAGGTGGAGAGCGTCGGTGGTCCATCACAGAGGGTGGTCGCAGAGGAGCGCGGCTGGACGGGGTGGTGGATCTAGGATGCGGCGAGCCCTCGTGGGACGAGAGGGCCGAAATGGGCGGGAGGGTTTGGCGGTCGCCTTCGGCGGAGCGGGTGGGGAACATGGCTGGTCGACGTGTCAATCAGGTGAAGACTAGGGTAAAGTCGCAAGATGGGCTGCTTAAGCGTCTGTCTGTATGCAGTCGGTACTGTAGCAAGAGCGCTGAGGACCTTTGCAAGTGATCGAACAATGTGGCGAGGCAGCTACCTTCGTCGATGGCGGTAACAGTGGTAGAAGGTTCGGCCAAAGAAAGCTTTCCACGACGATGAGTGTGGTGCAAGAAGCGTTATAAACGGACAGTACTAGGGATGATGTCGTGAGCTGGGAAGACAAGAAGGAGAAGGATGATGATGATGGTTCTGGCGAGAGCTGTGGGCGAAGCGGGGATGATCTGAGAAGGGAGGGGAGGAGGAGGAGGCGAAGGGGATGAAGGGTACCCCCTTAAAGATGCGCAGCGCTGGAAGAACAATGGGCGAGCAAGCGTTACGGCAGAGCAAGTCTGGGTTCGGTCACCTGAGCTGTCATGCAAAGTTCACAGGGAGCGAGCAGATGCTTTGTGTGTTCGGTAAAAGGGCCATGTCCAGCAGCTGCGCAGGCGGGTGGTGGGGCGATCAAGCGGAAGAAGGTAGGCGAGGCCAAGATCCAACGGCTTTCTGCTTAGTTCCCATGCGGGTGAGCTATTGTTCAGATGGTGAGCGAGCGCCGCCTGTTTCATGCCGAGCGGACAAAAGCGTGAACAAGCAGGTTGACTGATGCCAAAAACAGAAGCGAGGTGAGCCAGAAGCGCCATTTGAGCGGACAACAAGACAAGCAGGAACAAGCCGCACTGACCTCACTATCTCACTCAAGGCATGCATGCAATGCAGGATGTCCAAGCGAAGCGAGCGAGACAAGCTTGTCGAGGAGTCTAAGCCATCGCTGCATTACCATTACGAATCAGCCAGGCTGCAGATGAGACCAGCGCAAAGGCGAAGGCAAGAAAGTAAAAGAAACAAATAAATCCCCAATTTCGAAGCATTCGCAAAGGCCGAAGCACAGGCATTTGAACGCATGAATCAGCTTTCTTAGGGTAGATATACACTGGAACCCGCTCGGGCATGAGCGGCAGGATGCTCTTTCATCGTTTCACTTGCCAGCTCAGCACAAGGCGAGTGTTTCAAGGCGGCGGCGGGGGACCCGAAAATGTGGTTGAGAAAGCGTCGGAGGGAGAAATAATGAATTGGCAAGAGCCTGGCAGTCAGCGTGTTGATTCATGGGTAAGTCAACGCAGCTTTTCTCAATTTGATCTCGGAAGTGTGCCGCGATAATCGCTTTTGTGATCAGATGGCGCCGCGTGCGTGCGTGTGCGTGTGCGTGATGCCACAAGTTAAGTTGCTTTGCAGCTAAAAACATCTGGGTCCTGACTCTGGGTTGCGGATCTTGAAGCGCACCACTGCAGCGGGTGTCACGATGCGAATCCAAGTGGGCTGACCCAAATTGCGAACAAGAGTTACAGTAGCATCTGCTCATCGCCATTGTTCGTCGCTTGCAAGCATGCCGTAGCCGCACCTGCTTAGCTCACAATGACCAACTGAGCAGGTGGGAGCGGCGCTTTTCAATGAACAATGGGTACAAGGCTTGCTAGAGCGCGCACCTTGCGCACTCGACGCAATGCTCGTTTGAGGAAAGCAGGACGGCGGTGGGCATATCAGCGCGAGGTTCGCACAAGGCTGATGGCGAGTGTTTGTGGATACGATGCAAGACACAGCATTGCCCTTCCGTCTCGAGATGACAGAAGACAGGGTCGTTGCATGAGAGAGACAAGGACAAAGCGTGCCCGAAAGCGGTATTCAGCAGGGCTAGAGAGACACACATCGAGAGGGAGCAGGAAAGGGGGTAAGAGAGAGAGAGAGACACAGCTAAGAGTCTTCGGCATTTCTCGGCGTTGAGCAATTTTACGTTTTCATTTGCCCTCCGACGGGATGAGATTCAGGTGCAAGAGTCGCTGTTTGTCAATCTCGCTTCCAGAAGCGGTGTGACTAGATTGAACTGCCCCTCCCGTCAAACTCTCTTTCCTAGCTTTCAACGTCTGGAAAAGAAAAGTCACATGAAGCCGGCCAGCCAGTCGACCGCAAGCAACGCGTACAGCCGAGTTCTATTAATGGGATCTCGTGCTGACGGAGTGACAAACTCGGCTGCACACAGACATGCGCGATCAGGCTCGATCCCACCTCGCTTACTTTCTGAGTACGCCACTCCTTTTTTCGCGTCCCTTGTTTGGTCCGCAGATTTCAAGCTCGTCCGCTGGTGGAGCCGCCACCAATGCACACAACTCACCTTCAGCCGAGAGTCCCGCCTGAGACCTGCTCTTCCCTAGCTCGAGAATGCTGATGCGGTCGACGATCCTTGCTCATGCGCTAGCCCTTGTTGCCGCGTCTTGTCTCACACAGGGTCGTGCCTGGTCATGTCAAGACCTGCACGGTTTGCTTCGATCCCGAATCCGCATCTTGGCGAGAGAAAAGAAGACGAGCATCGACATGAATCATACAGTCGCTTTCGCCGAGCCAAGAACGTGCTTGTCGGCATGGATACCTTGGCAACGCCTTGTCTGCACTGCTTTGGCCGGCACTTCCGTCGACACGGTTGCCACCTTTTCAAAGTCACACAGAGGTAGCGGGCCAAAGACCTGAAGACCCCACTCGTGCTCGGTGCGCAATGTCGATGAGGGACAGCGAATCTCTCAACCGGCAACGAGTGTTGCTCGATGGTCAGGCGGCACGGGTACAAGCAGTGTATGCAGCTAGCCCATGCTTCTTTAGTTGTTCGAACAACAATGACAAAGCGCAAGCTCTGATCCCTTCTCGGTTCGAGCCGCATCTGGTTCTTTGTTGTCCGAGATCTACATGTGGAAGCCAGCAGCCTCTTGCCGACTATCATCGACATCTTTGTGAGTGATATGTGACCTCGGACTCTGCCAAACCAGCCAAACAAACCCGAGTCGAATGCGACAAGAGCAGCGGATAGTCGACATGAACGAAACCCGGGCGAAGGGCATACTGTAAATTGGTTTCCCCGTTCACCGCGGCGAATGTATGTCGAGGATGCAGGTCAGCCACAAATCTGGCTTCACATGCAGAGGACCCTTTCGATCGTTCCTCGTTTCAATCTAGATGCTCCGCACAAGCAACCGGCAATCCGAGCTCGTGACATCGAAGCTGCCTCTCTCTCAAAAGAAGCAAGCTCAAATTCGTCTTGGTTTTGTCTCTCCGCTGCTTTGCCACTCCGCCTGCGCTAGTTCGGTTTCGTGTTGTAGCAGCCTTCCCGATCGGTCCCAGCTTCGGGCCAATTCGCATTGGCCATGCAAAATGTCTGTGTGCCGGCGAGACATGTCTCGAACGGAACAGTGTATGATGAGTTCTGTACCAAAACATGCAGCTGCAGCCCGAGTTAACCGAGGCAGCTGAGCACCTCGATCCACAGAAACAAGCCTTCCCGCCTCTTCTTTCCTGCCATCAGGGGTGGCTTCCATCAATCGGCTTGGCCGGTGCCGGTATCGCTCTCCAATCTGCGACGATCGTGTTCGTTGAGGCCTGCTCCGAGATAGCCGTGCCTGGCTGCTCCGCCGAACCAATGGCCGTCATCGCCACGCATCAGGTCTGGTTACCGCCCGAACAGATCAAAATCTGTAATTGAAAATCAAAGCAAAGGGGGTTGGCTGCCGCCCTTTGACACTCCGATCCGGTTCCTAGCTGACTGCTCCCCTGCTTGCGGGTATGTGAGCGGAGTATACAGCACGACCTGGACTCGAGGCGAAGAGTCGGTCACGCCCAGAATGCGATTCCACTCATCTGTTTGAAGTGTCCAGTGTGGAACAGAGTGAGCCCGAGTTCAAGACCGAAAGGACGCCGACACCAATTTTCCGTATGAATGGCTGGCGGCTCTGCGGAAGGCAATGCAAGCGCCGCGTTTCTATTGTCGTGACGTTGAGAGGAGGAAAAAGGGTCCGAAGCGCATCGACTCGGTCTTGACGTTGCTAATTGGTGCGAGTGTAGTCGTCGCTCGATCTGGCAGCTTGTCGAGCCTCACATGCAGGCTCGGATGGTTTCAATCTGTCCCTTGTCAGAACATCAAATTGATTGGCCTTACGATTCGCTTGCTTCCGACGGGATTGTCTATGCATGGGTTAGCTGGAAACGCTCCGGTGTCGTGAGGGCAGCTGGACGACCCGCAGGTATCCCGAAAAGGTCACGGATGCACCCGCTTGCGGGCAGCGCGTCGGTCAATCGTTCAGCATCACCCAACAATGAACCCAAGGTTCGTGCGGGCCATGAGTAGAAGCGACCATTTTGGCGGTACAGACCGCACACACAGCCATACGCATGCAGTCGGCCAACCTGCTCACGTTTTGGCGCGCATCCATCCAACCGCTTCGTTCTCATGTTCTTTTCAATGCTTCGATCTCCGCTCCTGAGATTCTCCCGTTCATCACGGGCACATGAGCGCGCGTGCCTGTGTACGTACATCCACACAGACAATGGAGTCTCCGTTTGATGCGACTGCCGTGGTGCGGATCAACATCCGTGCCGAGACCTGCTGACGCCTTTGCCTGGTGGATTCGCACTCCGGTCGTTGATAAAACACGATGCCCTTCCTCACCCAGTAGAGCTGACCTCGAATCGGATGTGCCTTTTCCCCCTCAGCTCCGACCCTGAGGGGTTCGATGGTGTGCTGGAACCAAAGTGTGTCACCCCCGGCTGTCTGCGTGACACGTCTTAACCGGATCGAATCGAATCAGTGGGGTCAAGCCGCTCAAACGGGTAAGGAGACACTGCCCTTGTTTACAGGTGCATGAACCCACATGGCACTTACATTAGCACTCGCCCCTTCGTGTTCCAAGAACTTTGTCAGTGCTCGCCCTTTGTCCTTTTGTGAACCTCCTTTTGTTTTGGCACGACTCGAGCGGTTCACCTTACCGTTCCGAAGAGGTCACGCAATCATGCGACGAACGAACCTCGCGAGGGTACATTGTGCATATGGGATGTGGATTGTTCTGCTTGACTGCAGAACTCCAACGGAAGCAGTTCAATGGAGTTGATGAGGAGAAAATCCCGCTCTTAGCGCTCGTCGAGTCGCCTCGTGCACGATCATGATCGTGTCTCGAATCCTCTGCCTGGCTAGAGCGGCGGAAATCACACAACCTGCTGCCGTCCTCACCCGGAGAAGGGGCAAAGCAATAGGTAGGCCGAGCCGATAGCGATTGCACGAGGTCACTCGCTTCGAGCGTGGAGCTCGTCGACCTTTCACACATGCCTCACACGGGCAGGCAAGCAGCACGGGTCATTCGAATACCTCACTATGGAATCGTGTCAGCATTCGCCGGCAATACAGACGGCCGCACGTGTAGCATCGTCGAACAGGCATAAGCGAGGCGTACATCCGGCTCGCTAGGCGATTCGCCTGATGCGTCTTGGTTTGTGGCGGCGTGTTCTCCTGCATGCAGACGCTAGACGCTAGTGCCTAGCGCATTGTAGCTCCTTGTTGTGCAATTCTTTGTCAAGCGAGCCGCACAAATTTCCCAACGGTCCGGAGCGACGCCATTGTCTGTCTTTTGACCTAACCATGGTCGACGTTGGTGTGCGAATCGCCCATTAGTTTGCATGCTTAGGCCCGTCGATCGATGCGATCCAGCTGGGACCGGCTGGTGCGCACAATGTGCCGAGCCGAACCAATCCAAGACACACGAAAGACCCGACCCAGGACAGATGACAATCGGCGGGGTCGGTCAGCAGCGATTGTAGACTATCATGGAAGCGAGACGATGCGAGTCGAGGGCGGAGTCCGGTCTAAACTATCAGCCTAAACAGCACAAAGACACCCGAGCGGTCCGGAGCGTTTTCAGCGTGACTTTTGTTCTGGTCTTCCGGTGCAAGGACAAGCCACCTTGCACTTTCGCGCTCCGAAAACGCATTTTCTTGTTGATGCCACCCAGGTCTGCCCCTTTTCACCCTTATTCATTATTTTTGTTTGGAGCAAGCCGCATCGAAGCGAACCAGATCGAAGACTCGATGCTAGGATAAGACGTTCAGTAGATGGCATAGAAGCTGCAAAATTTGCTGTCAGCATGCTTCTGGCCCAACCGACGCCATCGAACAATGGCTTGCTGATCCTAACACAAAAGAAATGGTGCTCGACGACGTGTGTCGGCGAGCTCCCGTGGCGAAGCAAGCGAGCGTCCACGGGAATGCGCGTATCTGTTTTCTTTTTTCTCGGCTGCCTGCAAAAGAGCACACGCACAGATGAGATTTTTCTCTTTCTTTTAATCGGAAGAACTGATTTTCCGTCAGAGCTATTCTCGGACCCGTGGACGCGAGGCTAGTCGGTCACTCGGGCGACACATTGAGTTTGGTTTCATTCTTTTCAAAGATAGATAGCTCGACGTAACAATGGCCCTGAAAAATCGATGCCCACCGTTCCTGCCCCCCTTGAAGCAATTGGAACGGGCCGTGTTGGAGGTCGATCCACCGAATTACATTTCCTCCAAATTGATTTAAGTGAGGCCGCTCAACTTGTAATCCAGCAGTCGCTTTCCATGAATCGGTGATAACGATGGCGAGCCATGTCGAGGCTGTGTGTGCTCTGTGACCTCGCAAAGGCGGACTGTCGGTCGGTGTTGGTCTCTCCAACTCCACTCTCTCTCTGTCAAGCGACGCAGCAACACACGCAAGCCTCGACAACCACACAGCGCGCACGTCCGTCATCTTCGCGCGATTCGCATCGATTGCTATCAACTCTCACTTCTTCCTACATCCATCCTCGTCGTTTCGTCTTCGGTCCTATATCTTCTCATCATGGTGAGTACGCGCGCTTCAGAGCGGACTGCAGCCAGAAGCAATGGCTGACATCCTAGTGTTGTTGCCGACCCTTTCTTCTGAACGCATCATCGCGCAAACTACTCTGTCTCGACATCTCGAAACACACGTCATCCGCTCGATTGCCTTTGTTTGCGATCCGATCCTCTCGCTCCGACCGGCGCTACCTTTCTCCGCAGTCGTCCGGCGTCAAAGTCTCCCAGGAGTGTCTGGACAAGTTCCAGGAGCTCAAGCTCGGCAAGAAGCTCAAATACATCATTTACGGCCTCAACGACAAGAACACCGAGATCATCGTGCTCAACTCGTCCACCTCGGCCTCGTACGACGACTTCATCGCCGAGCTGCCACCCGCGGAATGTCGCTATGCCATCTACGACTACGAATTTGAGAAGGAGGGTGCGGGCAAGCGCAACAAGATCTGCTTCTTCACCTGGTCCCCTGATGACGCCAAGATCAAGCCCAAGATGATCTACGCCTCGTCCAAGGACGCACTGCGCAAATCGCTCGTCGGTATCTCGGTCGAGGTGCAGGGCACCGACTTCTCCGAGGTCAGCCAGGAGACCGTCCACGAAAAGGCCAGCCGACAGAGCTTCTAAGCCGCAGATACCGCACAACATCCCATGTTCGGCTGACGAAACACACCTTTTAGCTATACATGACGACCGAGCAATCGATACTTCTCTTCGCAACTTGGCGTACTTTCCCTCAGGTTGTCACGGCATTTTTCCTCTGCAGTCTCACACCACATCTCTGACGGAAGAGGCAAGCTCCCGTGAGCGGTGGATACGCGATGCTTCCATTCCAATTGATGGCACAATACAAGTACAGATGAGGCGGGCCGCGGCAGGGAACGGAGTGAGTGATGGTGGCTGTGCTGTCCAGAGCGTAGCAGCCATGGTAGAAAAGAAGGGGATGGATCCTAATGGGTAAAAAGGCGACTCGTTCATGAGCTTGCCTCGATCATTTGAGCCCTTCGCGGATGGTCGCCGATCTAAGCTTGCTCTGCAGGAAGGCGAGCCGATCCTGGTAGCGCTTGACCACGGCGGCCTTTTGTGTGTAAATGCCAATGAGTTCTGTCTCGAAGGCGGTGACGTCCGCGGAGGTGGAATCGTCATCCATCGGGAAAGACGAATCCGGCGAGACTAGGCCCGACGCCTGAGGAGCCGTGCGCGGTGACCGATATGACGAGGGAGGCGGTGGGCGCGACGGTCGTCTAGCGTGGCTTCCATCCGAGAGATCAAGGCAGGAAACGCAAGCTAGAGGGTTCGACGCTCGTGCTCTCTCCGCAACGTCCTTCCGTACTAGTGGCTCGAGATTGCTGTGCTTGGCCATTAGGGTCTCTTCCAGAGCTGCAAAAGTGGCGAGCATTCGATTGCCCTCGGCTTGCACCACGCTTATCTCCGCTCGGATCTCTCGAGAATGCTTGCCGACGTACTCTGCGCCGAAAAGAGAGGTCGGAGCGACGTCCATCCGAGCGGATGCTGGCGGATTATTGCCTGTAGTCTCGACGTCGCTCGCGTCGTACAGTGACACAGCGCGAAGAGAGTACGCAGTTCTCTCGGCTGAAAAAGCGTCCTCCATGTCGCGAGCCGACGTCTCTGCTTGCTCACGACGTGCTTGGCTGTTAGCTCGGAGACGGCCGAACGTCGACAACCGAGACGACTTTGCAGCGGATGACTGCTGCGTGCGGAACGACGAGGCGCGATGCGACTGACCATCGTCATTCGACAGCTGCGAGGATCTGCTGATCGAGTCGACCCGCATGAGTTTTGATCGACCCGTTGCGCTGCGATGCAAACTGTCCTGACTCGCGTGCGACTCTTGACTGGATTGCTGTTGCGTGGCTTTCGAGGCAGCGGCCTGACCTTTGAACAGCCGCGTGACGTTCTGAAAGCTCGAGGGCTTGCCACTGTGACCGCTGCGGATGGAGGAAGAGATTGAAGCCGCAAACCCGAGCGAAGATCTGGATCTGCCCGTGTCGACGTCGAGCAGATCCGAAGAGAGCCTCGCGTTGCTGCTTACACTGTCGTCCGCAACGGCAGGCCTGAGATTCTGGTCGCTTCCAGTCAAGCTGAGCGCGAGCGGTGCGCTTGCTGGGCTTGTTGGCGTACAACGCTGCTCGGCGCGCATCATCCGGTCGAATACAGCCTGGCGTAGGATACGATATTCGCTGTCGGTGAGAAGGCCGTCCGCATTCGCCACTGCTAGCTCGTTCAATCGTGCCGCCAGCTCTGCAGAGGTCATGCCAGAGAGATCGGCGCCAGCAGCATCTTTGCTCGACGGACTGATAGCACGGGTATGCAATGTAGGGTGGAAGGCGCTGTTCGGATGTAATGCGCGGCTGGTCGACGAGGACCTGGACCCAGCCGAGCCGGGGCGCGATGCCGAAGTCAAGTCTGCAGACCCTCGAGAAGCGGAAGCTGCGTACTGCGACGGCGATGCATCCCTGCTGTGAGCCGTCGACAGCTTCCCGACAAGCCCTCGGGCGACCCCATCGGCGTTGGAAGTCGGCCTGGACGGCTTCCTGTAGCTCGATGGAGGATGCGATGGCAAGCGTGACGATGACCCTGAGGGGCGGGCATCTTTGACGGCGCGCTGAATAGCTGGCGAAGGTGCATCGCCTATGCCTCCGCCTGGACCTGTGGAAGATGAATAGCTAGTCCGATAGGTCGGCGTATGCGAACTGGAAGAGGCCACCGCAGGCTTGAAATGGTACGAAGCTTCTGGGGCCTCTCGCCGATCGACATTGGCGCGTCTCCCAAAGCTTGTCAAGATCGCCTTCATGGCTGGGAGCTTTGCGAGATGCGGCTGAGTCGTAGATTGAGATCCCAGTCTAAGCGGTGGAAGGGCAGAATCGACTATGCAGATGAGCCCGTGACAGGCGTCGATGCTGCGTGTTGAAGTCAGCGGCCTATGAACGGCAACGAGAAGACGTCATGGCGGCTCTGGAGAGCTCTGAGCTTGATGCCGCGCCGACAGATGGTGATGGAGGTTGGTGTAGTGATGCAAGCAAGGTAAAGCAGTATCAAAGGGAAAGCAGCGCGAGGGCAACAGCATTCTGCACCAGTCACTTGACAGCAGCGGGCGATTCTGCGCTGGACCCTAACCAACTTTGTACCTCGCTTTGGACTGCCACGGCGTGCTGCAATGCAACTCTCTCACATGGCCGTTCCCACGCGTTCGTCGGAGCACCCTGACAGAAATTCAGGCAGCGAGAAGAGGGAGACAGAAAGCGCGTATTACGTTTGCTGCTCGGGGTGCCTCAAAGACACAGGGACGGAGCGAGTTCTCTGTCCTTCAGCTCATCACAAGAGGTCACATGCTACTCAAGCGAGGGCGCAAGGCTCTCTGTCGAGTGATAACAGGACAGTCCTGGAAGCAGTACAGATCTGGGCGATTGCAAAGACGTTCGGTCCTGCATATCATTCGAGCTCGAGTCTCCTCGGCCAAGGCCCGCCGCTCGTTTTTTCATCTTGCAAGGTGGCCGGACGGGCCCTTGACGCAATGAAGCTCGATCAGACCCCCTTGCCTTCCTCGGCAGGGTCGCCTGGGGTCTATGGGTGACCCCCGTCAAGCTGAAAGCGGCCCACTGTCACAACGCCAGTCGGACCTCTTCCGACCCGATCGCGTCGACCCGATATCGGAGACTGCCGCGGTCAGGTGTTGGTCTCGCTTTCCTTCACGCGTTCGCTGTAATTTATTAATTTATTTTTTTAAAACAGGAGACGAAAGTAACACAGCAACGGCGGCAGCGGCCCTTGGTTGCCCGCCAAAGGTGGAGATGTTGGTGGTTGCGCTGGGGGGATTTTTCGGGCCCGTTCTCGGGCGGAGCTGCTTTCGAAGCTTTTGCCTTACCATCACATCGATTGGCAAACCATCAGGAGACCCGCCTACACAAAGTCACAGACATCCCGACACTATCATCATTCGAATCGTCGGCTGCTCCGAGGATCGATCGATCGGAAACCAGCCGCAAAGCATCATTGCTTTCGCGTGACGCACTCAGCTTCGGAAGTTACACAGCGAATCTCGACTGGCGCACGGCGCAACACCGCAGAGATGGCGTACAAGAGGTCATCCGTCCTCGTCGGTCTGCCCGATCAGGATCGCGGCTGGGAGGAAGTGCAGGCAAAGACATTCACAAAATGGTGAGTCTCATCGGCACCTGCTCAGCGTTTGCAACTGCATCCCTGATCTGACTCTCTCATTTGCTTTTGATCGACAGGCTCAACACCAAGCTCGAGTCGAGACAGATTCCTCCGATGCGATCACTAGCATCCGACCTCTCGGACGGAGTCAAGCTAGTGCAGCTCATGGAGATCATGGGCGACACAACCCTCGGGCGCTACTACATGAACCCTCGCATGCGCGTACAGAAGGCCGAGAACGTCAACCTAGCCCTCGAGTTCATCAAGAGTCGAGGTGTGGTGCTCACCAACGTCGGTGCAGAAGATATTGTCGATGGCAACCTCAAGCTCATCCTCGGCATGATCTGGACCCTCATTCTCCGTTTCACCATTGCTGACATCAGTGAGGAGGGTGTCACTGCCAAGGAGGGTCTGCTCCTCTGGTGCCAGAGAAAGACGGCTCCTTACCAAGAGGTCGACGTCACCAACTTCACGACATCCTTCAAGAACGGACTTGCACTTTGCGCACTGATCCACCGACATCGCCCCGACTTGCTCAACTACGACGCGTTGCCCAAAGATGATCCTCACGCCTGCACAAGGACCGCCTTTCAGATTGCCGAAGAGCACCTTGGCATTCCGCAGTTGCTCGACGTCGAGGATCTCTGCGACCGGCCCAAGCCAGACGAGCGCAGTGTCATGACCTACGTCGCTCAGTACTTCCACGCTTTCAGCTCCATGGAGCAGGCGGAAGTGGTCAGTCGGCGAGTCGCTACGTTTGCCGACGTCATGCAGGGCGCATGGGTTATGCAGCAGGACTACGAAAGGAGAGCTCTTCACCTCATTGACACCATGACAAGCCTACAGAATGCCTGGGTCGCAGCGACATTCGTAGGGACCTACGCCGATGCTCGAGCTCAGCTCACCCAATTCAACGAATACAAGATCGGCGTCAAGCGCGAGCTGGTCCGTGAAAGAACCGACTTGGCAGCTCTCCTCGGCAACATCCAGACCAAACTCAAGACCTATCATCTTCCCGAATGGATTCCACGGCACGGTCTTAGGCAGGCTGATCTCGATGCTGCATGGGTCACTCTCGCGCTAGCGGAAGCACATCGCAGTCGATCCATCAATGCTGAGATCCGCAAGGCCAAAGAGAGTCTGCGAATCAAGTTTGCCGAGGCTGCCAATGAGTTCGAGCGACAGCTGCGCGAAGTTGCAGGCGGCATCACCACGATCGAAGGCGACTTGAAAGCTCAGCTCGAGGTGGTCAAGCAGCTGCTCGCGCAACTAGATCCCATCAAGGAGCGACTCTCGTTGATCACCACGCTCGAACAGGAATGCACCGACGCCAAGGTGGAAGAGAACGACCACACCATCTTTACGCTCAGCGATCTTGCCTTCGAGTGGGAGCTCGTCCGCGCGAGCGTCTCGAAGAAGCTGGCCTTCATCGAGAATCAGATCGTTTCGCGGCAGCACACCAACCTTACCCCAGCCCAGCTCGAAGAGTTCGAGTCGACATTCCGCTACTTTGACAAGGATGCTTCCAACACACTCACAGTGCCGGAACTGGGCGCAGCTCTTGCCAGTCTGGGCATCATCTATACCGAAGACGACATTGAGCAGATCCACTTGCAGCTATGCGAGACATTTGGCGCTGTCTCGTACGATGCGTTCCTCACCTTTCTTCGCGAGATCACCGAAGACACCACCTCGCCCGATCAATTGTTGGAGGCGTTCCAGGGCCTGGCTGGCGACAAGCCCTACGTCACCGAACTCGACCTGCGTCTGGCGCTGCTTCCTCAGGGATCCATCGACTACCTGAAGTCTGCCATGCCACAGGTCCAAGTCGAAGGCGTCGAGGACGCGGTGTACGATTATGAGGGCTATTTGACCGGGCTGTTCGGTGTAGCTCAGCCATGACCTCGCATCCATCTCTTCCGTGCAATACCCACACACATCGGACGCGATAGTTTGCAAGGAGATTCAGGCCGTGTTGTGAGGGACGAAGAAGCTGTGATCTGACTCATGTGAGCCTGAGCAGTCGAATCGGCAGTGATGAGAGGCAAAAATAGTGAAGCCTTTCGCATGAAAGAATTCTTCGCGTAAAGAGTCACACGAGCTTCGGAGGAACCGGCGCACGGTCTTTTGACCGGCCATTCTGCATCGCTTTCCTTCTTCGTGGCCACAGTTCTCAAGCTTCTTCGTGACTCAACACTCGTCGTCATCACATCATTTCCTGAGCCTCGTCTCCGCTCCATCCGACTCGCCATCTCGATCGTGGATCCTACGGCTCAGCTCATCTGCTACAAAGCGAACTACGTACAGGCTTCAGACACGAGGCGGCACAGCTGTTCGAAGCTCGAAGGTCGACACTGCGGCTTCTCGATTCATTCGTCTCAGTCTCACACCAGATATCGCCAGACTCGGGAGCGGACTAAGGCAAGAGCTAGACCATCAACATGTCACCTGGTGAGAGTGCGACCGCGAGCTCATCCAAAGGGAGCCTCGAGACCCCACACGAACGGATACCTCACCTGTCAATACCTTCTGTCCTCGAACCCAACGAGCCGAAGCCAGGTCTCGTCGATGCAGCAGCGACGGGCCCACCGTTCGCCTCGGCGCTCGCAGCGGGTGCTCTTTCGGGTCTCACCGTCGATCTGCTCTTCTTCCCGATCGACACCATCAAGACTCGCCTGCAATCCTCACAAGGCTTCTGGGCGGCAGGTGGATTCTCCGGTGTCTACCGCGGGCTCGCCTCGACAGCAGTAGGTTCCGCTCCCGGTGCTGCCGTCTTCTTCACCACCTACGAGTCGATGAAGCCGGCGTTGGTGCGGTGGGCGCCGGGCGTCTTTGGACGCGATGGCACTTTGGGACCTGCAGGCGTGCATATGGGCGCAGCATCGATTGCCGAAACAGCGGCTTGCCTCATCCGCGTGCCCACCGAGGTGATCAAGTCTCGACAGCAGACCATGACGTATGGCAAGGGAACAACCACGTTCCAAGCATTCAAGAAGGTCTTCCAAGAAGCAGGCTTGAGGGGCTACTACCGAGGATTCGGCAGCACCGTCGGCCGTGAGATTCCCTTCACTTGCATCCAATTCCCGCTGTATGAGAGGCTCAAGCTCGAAATGGCTCGATCGAGAGCGAGATCGCAGTCGTCTTCCACCACGACCCTCTCGGATGAGCAGCTCGTGCGCAATCTTCCAACATGGCAGGCCGGACTCGCAGGAAGCATCGCAGGCGCCATCGCTGCCGGCCTCACTACACCGCTAGACGTGGTCAAGACGAGAATCATGTTGCATACCAAGCATGCAGCCGGTGTCGGATCGTCCGCCGCTGCGGCCATGGTCGACTCATTGCCGCGCGGTGTCAACACGGATATCATCCCAACTCTGTTGCATATTGGCAGGACAGAAGGCGTCAAAACGCTGTTCAGCGGATTTGTGCCGCGAACGATGTGGATCGGCCTGGGCGGCGCTGTCTTCCTCGGCACGTTCGACGCCGGAATTAAGGCACTTGCATGAGGTTGCAAGCATCTCCATCGAACATTCACAAGCTCCACAGAGGCTCAGTACGGCGAGCGACAGTCTGGGCTCCATCAACACCACTTTGCCTATAGAGAGGAACTGTACACACATACACACGTCACGCATATTGGGACCGGACGATCACAAGGAAATGCTTATTCTTCATCTCCCATGTGCTACCGCAGGCTCACATTGATGATGCGCACGTCCTGCCTTGGCTTGTCGTTCTTATCCACCTTGACCTCCTCAATCCGCTTGACGACATCCATTCCGGCCTCGACCTTGCCAAACACGGTATGCTTTCGGTCCAGCCACGGCGTCGGCACGGTGGTAATGAAAAACTGGCTTCCGTTGGTGTTCGGCCCCGCATTCGCCATGCTCAGCGTAAACGGCTTGGCATGATTCAAGCTCGGGTGGAACTCATCCTCGAAGTTGCCGCCCCACAGGCTCTCGCCTCCCGTGCCGTCGCCCAGCGGATCGCCCGTCTGCAGCATAAATTTGCGGATGATGCGGTGAAAGATGACCTTGTCGTAGTAGCCCTTCTTCGCGAGGCCGACAAAGTTGCTGCACGTCTTGGGGACCAACTCTGTATAGAGAGTGAGGTGAATGTCGCCCAACGTGGTGTGGAGCGTCGCTGCGGTGTGCTTTGTGCCGCTCGAAGCGGTAGTGGAGCGACGACCGTTCCCGATGGCGGTAGCAGAGGCGATGGTCTGCTCTTCCCGCGTAGGTCGCTCGTTGAACACATCCCGGTTCTCGTTGTCGCCAGCTCCCCCAAGGGCGTCTGGATCGACGCGCGTGAACATGTAGAACCTCGCCCGCCCGTACGCCGTCGCAAACAGTGTCGGATCCACCAATCCCTGTTTCGCCAGCAAGGGGTTTTCAGATGCAGCCGCAGCCAGCGAGGTGGTCTTTTTGTCTGGCGCACCTTGAAACATCGCCACATTGATGAAGCGGACGCTTTCGTCCTTGCCCAGCAGCCGAACACATCGGTCAGTGACAAGGTTGATAAATTTGACGCCGTGCAGCGAGCCGTAAATGAGGAAGTGGCCCGACTCGTCAAATGTGACGTTCCACAGCGCGGGCGAGCTCGCATTGGCCAGGCCAGAGAGGGGGCCGGACGCATTGGAGGACGTGATCTCTCGCTCGAGTGCGATCCTGCGTCCGAACTCCATCTGGTCCAGTCTGAAATTAACTTCCGGCTGCACAGCGGCGCCTTCTCCATCGGCGTCTGCCGAAGCTTCGGGGTTCGGCGCAGGCAGGGCTTGTATCGCTTGCAGAGCCTCTAGACTCTCGTCGTACCGTCGAACAATCTTGGCGGTGCGGAAGTCGAACACGCGGATCTGACGATCGACGATGGAGAAGATGGCAACCTTCTCGCCGTCCTTGGAGAAGGTGAGTGTCGTCGGGACCGTCTTGGTTTTTTTGAAGTCAAACAAGTCGGTGGTCGATTTGAGCTCGAAGATGCCAGGTATTCTGGCTGAGGATGGAGCGGCGAAGGGCTCTTCAGGCACCCAGTACTCGACAAAGCCTGTGATATCGCAGGAGACGACGACGTTGTGCTGTGCGTTGAAGGCAAGGATGTGCACGGGCGAGCGGTGCACTTTTGAAGCTGTGAAGATGGGCTGGTGTGACACAGTTGAAGCCCTCGTTGCTGTCGAGGAGCCTGTCGCTACTTCTTCTGCATCGATGTCACCGCCCTGCTGCTGTTGCACAGGAGCGCTTCTGCCATCGTAGATGCGAACGTTGCCAGATCCCTCGTCGGATACCGCCAGCAGCGTGCGGGCGCTACCTGATCGATGCACCCACGCTAGAGTTCGCGCCTTGTACGGCAGCTTGATCATGTTGATCAGGTCGAAGTTGTCAACATCAAAAACCTTGATGTTGGCCTCAGCATCCAAAGTCGCGTATGTCGCGCCGTCCGCTGAACAGCTCCACGCGATGATCGGTGAAAGATGTGCTCTGTACTGCTTGACGAACTCGACGACCGACGACCCGCTAAACACGGAAGATGCCGGAGCGGAACCATTGGTGGACGCGGCTGATGATGAAGATGCTGGTGGCGCGAGCGACGACTTCTTCCAGAACTTGACCCAGCCATCGACGCTGGTGGTGATGACAAAATTGGATCGTGGAGTAACGGTGACCGAGTTGACCGTATCTCTGTGCATCAGCGACTTGAAGTAGCGGTCGGCGGACGGTAGGTTGGAGAGGTAGGTGGCTTCGTGAGGTAAGACGGGTGCTTTGCGCTTCTTGTGCTGCTGTGCCGGGTCATCTTCGATTGACTCGTGCGCTCGTTTTGATATGCGCTTGTCGGGACCGTGAATTGCAGAGGATGCATCTGCTGCGGGCGGAGGAGGTGGACCAACGTCACCATTATCACCATTGTCGCTGGAATTGTCGTCTATCGCAGGTGCAGACTCAGGCTGCGGACCCGGCGCATCGTCTGAGTCGTCATCTGAGTCCGAGTCGGTCGTGTCGAAAGACTGCGATCTCCTCCTTTGCCGAATAGAGCCATCCTTTTGGATCTGCGGTCCTGGCGTGACAGAGCGCGAGGATGATGCAGAACTCGCCGACCGCGAGGATCCTGCGTCGGACATGCTTGCAGCTTCCTGTGTCGCGGATCGTGGATGAATGGAAGTTGAAGCAAAGGAAGCCTAAGACGAGCAAAGAAGATGCTTTCGCTGCCTCCACGTCCGACTTCCGGCCTGGAAATTTCGAGATGTGGTGCGTTGACCATCCTCGCGTGCAGTTCAGACCCTTCTTGCAATCTTGGACAACCGAACAGTCCCCAGGACCCTCGCTGCTATCACCCGCACCTGACGGAGACGCACAGCCATCTGGATCTGTACCTGCAACATCGATAACTGCAAAGGGTGACATGGACAGCAGCCGCCTCGACGTCTTAGGCTGTCAGCCATCGCTCTTCAAGCTGTACACGCAGATTGCTTTTATCTACGCCATCGTGGACGAGCAGGCCGCGCGAGATGATGCGATAAGAGTCCTTCGCTCCGGACTTGACCATCTGGCGGCACAGCTGCCCTGGCTTAGCGGTCATGTCGTCAACGAGGACAGCAGTCCGAGTCGCACGGGCTCCTACCGCATTGTCGAGAGCAAGGAGATCCCGCTCGTCGTTCAAGATCTGAGCCTTGTCGACGGCGCATTAACATTGGATGAGCTTCGCAATGCTCAATATCCGTTCTCGATGCTTGACGAGAAGCTCATCGCCTCATGCATGACGCTTAACCTCCCCGGACAAACAGCGGGTCTCGTCGCGGAAACAGGACCCGTCCTTGCGGCGCAGGCAAACCTCGTTGCCGGCGGTCTCATTCTCACCATCGTTGGTCAGCACAACGTCATGGACATGGTCGGACAGGCGACAATCATGACCTGGCTTTCAGCAGCATGCGCTGGACGACCACTCACACAGGAGCAGCTCGCGATCGGCAACATGGACAAGAGCAAGGCCATCGATCTGTTCGATGAGCACTGGCAACCGGATGAACAGTGGATCCGTCGTTTGCAAGTTCCGGCTCCGTCCAGCCCTCCATCCGAAGCAGAATTATCGATTGCGGCACCTCAAAGCTTGTGGGCGTACGTGAGCATCTCAGCTGAATCAGTAGCAGCTCTGAAGCGACTCGCAACGGCGACAAAGGACCCAGCAATCGACTACATCACTTCCGACGATGCAGTATGCGCCTTTATATGGAAGCATCTATCTCTCGCAAGAGCTACTCGTCTCGATGCAAAGGCAGCAACGGTGTTTGCTCGTGCTGTGGATCTGCGAAGCCGCCTGGTTGTCCCTGCAACATATCCTGGCACACTGACGAACATGGCGTACAACGAGTCATCAATGGAAGAAGTAGGTCGCTCGTCGCTTGGCCAGATTGCCTCGAAACTGCGACACGCCCTCAACTCACCAAGCGTGGCTCATGACACTCGAGCCTTGGCCACGGTGGTCAACAGGCTCGACGACAAAGGCAGCATCAGCATCACGGCGCCCGTCGATCCGTCTACCGGCATCATGCTGAGCTCATGGGCGTCGGTCAAGCTGCACGAGCTCGACTTCAACCTGGGACTTGGCAAGCCGCTCGCCGTACGACGTCCTGCATTCATTCCCGTCGAGAGTCTGATGTACATGATGCCGAAGAGCTCGTCGGGCGAGACCGTCGTTGGCATGTGTTTGCGGAGCGAAGATTGGAGCGCGCTGATGCGAGATGGCGATTGGGCTTCGCATGTAAGATATATTGGCTGACTGAATTGCGGTTCGCATGCCCCCGACAATGAATTGCACATGATGGCTAAGTCTCCATGCCCTCGGCATTCAGCATGGTGCAATGCATGTACTGAGTTACGTCTGACAGGCTCCTATTCGATCGAAGACTTAGGGCTCAACGTTGTGCGCCGGTCAGACACAACAAAGAGGCATTGAAGTACTGGCTCGGCAAAAGACGAGGTAGCATTTTGGAGCATCGTTCCCGAGAGCCCAAAAATTAGGAACCTACGTCACGTACTGCCACGTGCTGGTAAGCTGACCATGATGTACAGTATACCCGTGTGTTGTCGCTGGTCCATATCAATGCTTTTAGCCTTCAATAGACAAACCATTCCCACTCTCCATCCTCGACTCATACGCGTATCCAACACTCATCACCATGGGTCAAGGTAACAGCAGAGGGAGCGTCTTCGCCGAAGGCCTACCCATCGTCGCTCCGCCCCGGGGTCAGCTGGGTGCGATACCAAACTACACCGACCAGCACCAAGCCCGAACATGGGTCTTCAGCTCGTCTCGGCCTGCCAAGCTGACCACAAAGGACGAGGAGGCAGCTGCTGCGGCAACAGCGAGCTCTGCAATTGCTCATCAAGAGGGCTACTCTGACACGGACAATGAAGATAATCTCGAGAAGCCCAGTGCTACACCGGGCACCAACAGCAGCAGCAATGCGTTCGGCGGCGCGAAGCCGAAACACCGCTTCGAGCCACGTAAGTACTTTGTCTCCGACCCTGCCAACGGTACCGTCGCCTTCACCTTGCGCCGGCGCTTGCACAAGGGCATCATCGAAGACATCGTCGTCGCCGATGCAGAAGGACGACCGCTGTATCGCGCGATCAGCAAGCACGGGTGGAAATCTTCTTTTGGCACCTTCCACGCCTACGCATACAACGAGGAGGCACAAGCGGCAGATGAGCATGCGGAGGACCAGGAAAAGAAGCAGGACAGAGACTACCTCGTGGGACTGGCGCAGGACGAGGCGGACGAGACCCTAGGTGTTCGGGCGAGCTTTACCATCACCGTTAGGTACCGAACGCGGATCAAGCTCAACATTGCAGCAAGTACGATTGCCGATGGCGGCGCTTCAGCCAAGCTCGTCGAAGACGCGAAGAACAGCTTGTCTGGCGAGCCTCTGGATCGGGTGCATATGCAGATGCGTGTGCAGCGAAGCCACGGCGCACTGATCATGCAGCAGGACGGCGAGCGAGTCATGACCAAGAAGGAGCGCGAGAAGGCATCCAAACAGGATTCGCTCCGCGCACATCAAGTGAATAGCAACAGCGCTGGCGCGCTACCTCACGACGACGACGAAGAGTCAAGCGAGGGCAAGAAAAAGCATTTCTGGAGCAAGAGGAGCAGCAAAGACAGCGAGGACGAAGAAGAGGAAGATGACGAAGACACCCAGGTGCAAGCGCTCGGTGGTCAGTCGCTGCTCAAGCTTGGGACCGTCGAGTCGCGCAAAGAAACGGGCTTCTTCAAGCGGACCTTCTTTCCAAGCTGGGACGTCACCGTTGCGCCACGCATCGACCCGACAATGATCGCAACCTCTATGGTCGTCGCTGAGATCGTCGCTGAGCAGGCGGCTGCGGCTAGCGGCGCAGCGGGGACGGCAGGTGGCACCGCTGCTGTTGTGTCGGTGTGACGCATTTGGCAATACGGGGTTACAAATTTCATCGTATTTTCGTGCCAAAACTTCTGAGAAATTTCACTCGGTGACCCTCGCGCGCGACGAGTTGGACAGATTGCCCCCCAAATTCCGATTTCACAAAGTACCCCTCTTCCTTCCCGACCACCACCATCCCCGTTGGTCTTGGATTTTGGATTTTCGCATTTTCCTCTGCCCCGTGTGGCCATCTTTGGATCTCACAGCCCTGAGTGGCTTTTTCGCATTTTTGGCCTCGGACCTCAGCCATTCTCGCAGCCCGGTGTGGCATTCTTGCAGACTTGCAGCCCCGTGTGGCAGTCTATTGGCCTCTCGCAGCCCCGTGTGGCATTCTCGCAGCCCGGTGTGGCATTCTCGCAGACTTGCAGCCCCGTGTGGCAGTCTCTTGGCCTCTCGCAGCCCCGTGTGGCCTTCTCGCAGCCCCGTGTGGCCCTCTCTGTAGTCTACCGGCGTACTTTTGCAATTTCCATCTTTGAGGCTTCGCCATTTCTGCATTTTTGACAGCCGTCAGACTGCGCACACCATGGTTTTGTCTCGAGACACTCCTGCAGCTCGAAGGGAGAGAGAGAGACGCCGTCGCTTTGCAGCCACCAAGGAGCACCCTGAGGTTGTCGAGGTAGCCAAGTCAGCTGGCGCATTCAGGACTCTAGGGCAGGCCAGAGCTGTTGCTGGCTTCGAGGAGCTCAGGACCAATCTCACCCTTGTCGACAACAAAGGCCAGCCCCTCTTCCAGCGCATTGCCCCCACCTCACCTGACAAGCTCACCGACGCCATCAAGTCTGCCAAGAGCGGCTTGGAGAAGTTCAAGACTCTCATGCAGTATCAGCCTCCAAAGAACGGACGGGGACTCTATCATCTTGGTTACTGGCATTCCGCTGGACAGTCCTATCTTGGTCTGACTTCTCAAAGCCTCAAGCCTCGAAAGACAGACAAAGAGACTGGCATCCAAGATCCAGAGACTGCACTTTTCCAGCCCTTGCTTGGGCAATGGCACACTCCTATGCGTTCCTGTCCCATCTTCTGCCCTTGGTTCACCCGGTCTATCAGCAAGCCTTCAAGGATAGGAAGCATGGCCTAGAGCAGCTCAAGGCAAAGCATGTCAACGCCAAGGACTACACTCATGACTGGTGGACAGGTGTCTTGTTCTTCGACAGCTTCTAGGGTTAGGGTTAGGGTTAGGGTTAGGGTTAGGGTTAGGGTTAGGGTTAGGGTTAGGGTTAGGGTTAGGGTTAGGGTTAGGGTTAGGG